AAGGCAACAATGCCACATGGCCCATGGGGAGGCAGCAGCAGCCATGTGGGCTGAGACAGGTGCCGCTTGAGCTTAGCTCATGTCGTGAGACATGAGTGATGGTCACGGAGCAACGCACATGTCCCCATGCTCCGTGCCACTGTTGGAAGTGGACACTAGGATGGCCCAAATGGGTCTTCCCATCACTGGCACTGGCACATGCAGGTGTTGTCCTGGGAGTATGGGTGCGCCTACCCAGCACCACACAAACATGGCCTACCGGTAAATTCCACCTGGTTACTGAACTGGAGCCATCCTGCAGCCACCATACCGCCATGCCACTATCCTGCCATGCCACCATGCGACCACCCCAGGCCTGTACTCACAGAGAGCAGCAAAGCAGGGCTGGGAGAGGGCGGGGTCCTCGGAGAGGGGAGGGGGCATCTGGCCGAACACCATCTCACAGCTCATGTTCTCAAAGTCTGCCCACGGGTGGGGAAGGAGGGGGTGTGGTGGGAGGGTGCGTGGTGGAACATAGGTGGTTGTGCGAGAACATGCTTGGGTGAGAGCATGGCAGAGAGCAGAGCAGATCGGCGAAGAGGGAAGGGAGGCGTGCAGTGAGGGAACTCAACCAGAACAGCAAAGCAAGGGAGTGCAGCAGCTTGCAGTTGAGCAGGGTAAGCTTTCAAGAAGAGTCAGCAGCAGTGTCAGTAGTGCTAGGGTGGGACGTAGTGGGTGTCATGGTGAGGGGGAGACGGACTGGGTGTCATGGTGAGGGACGTACTGGGTGTCATGGTGAGGGACGTACTAGGTGTCATGGTGAGGGACGTACTGGGTGTCATGGTGAGGGACGTACTGGGTGTCATGGTGAGGGACGTACTGGGTGTCATGGTGAGGGACGTACTGGGTGTCATGGTGAGGGACGTACTGGGTGTCATGGTGAGGGACGTACTGGGTGTCATGGTGAGGGACGTACTGGGTGTCATGGTGAGGGACGTACTGGGTGTCATGGTGAGGGACGTACTGGGTGTCATGGTGAGGGACGTACTGGGTGTCATGGTGAGGGACGTACTGGGTGTCATGGTGAGGGACGTACTGGGTGTCATGGTGAGGGACGTACTGGGTGTCATGGTGAGGGACGTACTGGGTGTCATGGTGAGGGACGTACTGGGTGTCATGGTGAGGGACGTACTGGGTGTCATGGTGAGGGACGTACTGGGTGTCATGGTGAGGGACGTACTGGGTGTCATGGTGAGGGACGTACTGGGTGTCATGGTGAGGGACGTACTGGGTGTCATGGTGAGGGGGAGCCCAAAGTCGTTGGTGAAGAAGTCCTGAGTGGGCAGCTTGCACATGTTGACGCACATGCCCACACACCCACTCACCTCCAGGTACCTGCTTGCACCGCACCGCAAGGAGGATGGGAAAAGGAGAAGGGGGAGTAGCAGAGTGGGGCGTATGTTGTGGCGCGTACAGAAGGGGTGCAGACACAGAGGGCGGGTGAGAGTGGCAAGCGGGGTAGCTGGTAGGTCAGTTTGATGACCCAAGTCTGTGTGTTTGGTGAGGTGACAATGGGGAATGCCAAGTGGAGCATGAGGCATGCAACATGAAGAAACAGATGGGAAGTGGTGGGAAGAGGTGGGCAGAGGTAGGGAGGAGTTTGTCACCTGCACTTGGTGATCTGCACGCCGCTCATCTGCTTCTGCCCGTTCACCTCCACCTCCTTCAGCTGTCCCCGTGCAACAGCAGCAGCAGCAGCAGCAGCAGCAGCAGCGATGGGTAACAGCAGCAGTAGAGCATGGAGGGCAGGGCGGACGCACCGAGAGAGGGACATACCGGGTGCAGGATACGAACGAGACAGCGTTATCAGCATACGAGGAGAGGCAGAGTGAGGAGCAGGGACATGGTGGGGTGCACAGAAAGACTGGCATGCACGCAAAGCAGCAGTGGGACACATGGCATGGAGCATGGTGCAGCATGAGTGGCACGGCATGCAAGGCATCTGGCTGAAGTGGCACAGCGCACCTGGCAGGGCCCCACGAGCCACTGGAAGGCGCACCTGGCAGGGCCCCACGAGCCACTGGAAGGCGCACCTGGCAGGGCCCCACGAGCCACTGGAAGGCGCACCTGGCAGGGCCCCACGAGCCACTGGAAGGCGCACCTGGCAGGGCCCCACGAGCCACTGGAAGGCGCACCTGGCAGGGCCCCACGAGCCACTGGAAGGCGCACCTGGCAGGGCCCCACGAGCCACTGGAAGGCGCACCTGGCAGGGCCCCACGAGCCACTGGAAGGCGCACCTGGCAGGGCCCCACGAGCCACTGGAAGGCGCACCTGGCAGGGCCCCACGAGCCACTGGAAGGCGCACCTGGCAGGGCCCCACGAGCCACTGGAAGGCGCACCTGGCAGGGCCCCACGAGCCACTGGAAGGCGCACCTGGCAGGGCCCCACGAGCCACTGGAAGGCGCACCTGGCAGGGCCCCACGAGCCACTGGAAGGCGCACCTGGCAGGGCCCCACGAGCCACTGGAAGGCGCACCTGGCAGGGCCCCACGAGCCACTGGAAGGCGCACCTGGCAGGGCCCCACGAGCCACTGGAAGGCGCACCTGGCAGGGCCCCACGAGCCACTGGAAGGCGCACCTGGCAGGGCCCCACGAGCCACTGGAAGGCGCACCTGGCAGGGCCCCACGAGCCACTGGAAGGCGCACCTGGCAGGGCCCCACGAGCCACTGGAAGGCGCACCTGGCAGGGCCCCACGAGCCACTGGAAGGCGCACCTGGCAGGGCCCCACGAGCCACTGGAAGGCGCACCTGGCAGGGCCCCACGAGCCACTGGAAGGCGCACCTGGCAGGGCCCCACGAGCCACTGGAAGGCGCACCTGGCAGGGCCCCACGAGCCACTGGAAGGCGCACCTGGCAGGGCCCCACGAGCCACTGGAAGGCGCACCTGGCAGGGCCCCACGAGCCACTGGAAGGCGCACCTGGCAGGGCCCCACGAGCCACTGGAAGGCGCACCTGGCAGGGCCCCACGAGCCACTGGAAGGCGCACCTGGCAGGGCCCCACGAGCCACTGGAAGGCGCACCTGGCAGGGCCCCACGAGCCACTGGAAGGCGCACCTGGCAGGGCCCCACGAGCCACTGGAAGGCACACCTGGCAGGGCCCCACGAGCCACTGGAAGGCGCACCTGGCAGGGCCCCACGAGCCACTGGAAGGCGCACCTGGCAGGGCCCCACGAGCCACTGGAAACCGGGCACTGTGATGGCGGCGTTGATCTCCGCCGACCACTTGCTGGGCGGGAACCACTTGCGGAACTGGGGGGAGTGGGGTGGGGAGAGAGGGGCGGGGAGAGGGGGGTTGGGTAAGAGGTGGCGTGGGAAAGAGGGCGAGTGGGGCCGCAGAAGGGAATGAAGTGATTGAAAGGCGTGGGGAATGTAGGGAGAGCGAGGAGAGCAGCGGGGCTGGGGAGAGAAGCGAGTGCGGCGGTGCAGCGTGCATGCACATTCGAGAGAGCAGAGCACGCATGTGTGGGGCAGCAGCAGGAGGAGTGACGGGAGGCGGGCTGTTCACAGTGGCAGGGGCGTTGGGTGGCAGCAGCGACACGAGCACGTTGGCCACGATGGCGCGCTGCTCCGCGGCTGACCGCCCTTGCATCACCCGCCGCGACACCTCCACGAACGCCTCGTACCCGCGCTTCCTCGTCGCCACCTCTGATTCCTCGTGCCGCCGGGACGTCATGTCGTCATGCCGCCATGCCACCATGCCGCCATGCCATGAAGCAGGAGGGGAGCAAGAGGCACAGTTGGTCACACATTCAAGAAACCGCCATGCATCGTTTATTTCAGCTGAGCACGCCCAAACGTGTCTGTAACCACCACTCACCACTCATCACACCTCACCGCTTACGACTCTTATCAACGCTCACCGTGCGGCACCGCTCACCACCGATTTGTTGCTCCATCTTGCGGCGGAAGAGCCCCATGAGCGCGAGGTCGATGAACGAGTCGTTGTACCGCGTCACCTGCCCCATCGGCGCCGGCTCCCCGCCCGCCTCCGCCACGCCCGCGCGCACCCCCTGCGCCGCGCGGCGCACCGCCCCGCGCATCATCCCCCGCGGGTGGAGCGGCAGGGAGGAGGCGCGGAAGGGGGAATGGCGCGCGGCGAGGCGAAGGGGCGGCGGAGAGAGCGCGGAGTGGCATGGTGGCGCAAGCGATGCCGCCATTGGCGGAGGCGGGGGGATGGGCGCTGGTGAGCGGAGGCTGGGGAGAGAAATTAGCGAGCGCAGCGAACGCAGAGAATGCGGAATGTGCCTGCGCGCGCGCGTGTGTTTTTGCCACGGAGACTGAACGGTGGTGTGGGAGCGCGCGACAGGTGGTGTCAGTTGTGCGGTGCGTGGCAGGACAGAGCAGCACTGCGGACTGGATTATGAAAGACTGGGGCCACTGGCACGCCAAAACAAACCAACCTGGAAGAGTTTGCTTCGCCACAAACACGCTTCGTTTCGGTTGGAAGCGGCGAGTGGGAAGATATGATTGGCCTATATCAGAAGAAATGTGATTTCAAATTCGCCACACACCTGGAAATCCCTGATCGTACAACATTGGGCGAAAATAATACGATGCGCACGCCAAGCACGTCAGCGTCGCCGTTGTGAGTCCGCGCGAAACGACGCGCTGCCAGCCGCGCACGGCTCACGGCGATGGCGCACGAATCTCTGCCCGCGACCTCCGCGCTTGCCGCTACTCACGGCGCGTCGTCCTCGCTGTGACTCGTCCCCCGCTCTCATCCACTCCGAAGCGCGCTCGACGGCTCGGCGCCATGCCCGCCTGCTCGTCCCGCGCCGCTGCCGCCCTCGCCTCCGCCGCACCCGCGTACGTCGAGCCGCTCGCTCATCATGCGCTGCCGCCTGGGAAGCGCGACCGTCCCTCCGCCGCGCTGTTGCGCCGGCGCTCCTTTGGCTGCCAGATACGGTCGTGTGGCGGCGATTGTCTGGCACACGACCATAACCCTAACCACTCCATTCCTGAATGCGCGCCACGGCCACGTGGCAACGCGTCCTTACCTCCGTGTGCTCACGTTTCCTTCGTTCTCATGATCCCTCATTATGCCCGCCTGTCCCTGTCCGCGCTGCCTCCCTTCCACCCGCCCGCACCAGCAGCGCATTGGCGGCGGGTGACGATCGCAGCGCGTGCGCGGCGGAACTGCTGCGATTCCTGGAGGAGGTGAGCGTGGCGAGGTGTGACTATAATCAAATGGGTGAACGAGGTGCGATTATGAGGAGGTGAGTGAAGCGAATTGAAGATCCGCTGCTGCTGCCTCCGCCTCCTCCCCCGCTTTCTCTCCCTCCCTCCCCCATCCCATCCGTCCGCCCTCACGTTCTCATGCGCCTGCCTGCCCCCCACCCCCCAACCGTGTCCCCCCAACCGTGTCCCCCCAACCGTGCCCCCCCACCCCACCCTCTTCAGGGCGGGGACGTATTCGACTTCCCCTTCTCCGCCCGCCTGCCGTCCCCCCTCCTGCTGCCGCTCTCCCCCGCCTCCTCCCCGTCCCCCTCTCCCCCACCCTCTGCGCCCACCCGGTTCGACCTTCCGACGTGCCCCAGGTGCGCTCACGCCCCTCATGCCCCAATCGTCCCCCAGGTGCGCTCACGCCCCTCATGCCCCAATCGTGCCCCAGGTGCGCTCACGCCCCTCATGCCCCAATCGTCCCCCAGGTGCGCTCACGCCCCTCATGCCCCAATCGTCCCCCAGGTGCGCAGCCCACTTGTGGTGAACTGTGGACTTTTAGAGAGCACTGCAACCATGCGCTCTCCATTCACCCCCACCGCGCCACACATGCACTCCTTTGGCTCTGCTTGCTAAGAGCTTCCTGTCCCTCCCTGCCTCTGCCGCACGTCCACTTGCCTGTCTTCACTGCGCTGCCCTCTGCTCTGCTCCCTCCGTCCTGCCATGCCCCCTGCCGTGCGCACTGCCTGCAGCCCTGCCGCGGAGCATGCAAGGGAGGATGGTGTGGAGGACGAGACACAGGATGGCGGCGAAGCAGCAACACTAGATGAGAGTGTGGTGGGGGAGCAACAGGGGACGGAGGGTGGGAATGGAGGAGGAGGAGGTGAAGGGGAGGGGGATGAGGAGGAGGAGCGGGAGGAGGAAGGGGAGAGGCGGCGTGCATGTGAGGTTGATGCTGATGTGGGTGGGGGGGATGGGAGGAGCATTGGAGGAGCTTTGAGTGTTGATGCTGCTGACGCTGCTGATGCCGGTGTGAATGCTGATGCTCATGCGCATGCTGCTTCTGATGCGGTTTCTGATGACGATGATGGCACAGCTGACGTTGTGTGCATGGACACGGATGAAGATACCTGCACCGCAGCAGACCCCCCTCAACCCCCCCACACCGCCACAAATGCAACCCCTCCCAGCGCGGGCGCGGGTGAGGAGGAGGAGGAGGGGGCGGGCGAGTGTGTGGTGGTGACGCTGCAGGTGGGGGCGCCCCTGCAGGCCATGCTGCACTCGCACTCGCACATGCTCGCCCGCCTGCACTCCACCCTGCCCCCCCACGCCCCGCGCCCCCGCCCCCTCGCCTCCTCCCTCTCAGGCGCCCCCATCCCCGTTGAGGTCACCCTCCCCGCCAGCCCCCCTGGTGGTTCCGCGCAAGGGGAGCTGGGGGAGGGGAAGCGGGGAGAGGGGAGCGGAGGGGGCGCGGGTGGTAGCAGGGGTGGCAGGGAGGGGGCGCAGGAGGAGAGAGGGCAAGGGGAGGGAGGGGTGGATGGGTGGCGGTCGGGCATTGGAGGGATGGAGCGAGGGAGGAAGAGGGGGAGGGAGGAGGAGGGGGCGGAGGGCGAGAGCAGCAGCCGCATGTACGAGGTGGGGCGTGCCCACTCACAAGCACACGCGCTGCCTGCTGGGGAGGCGGGTGGCGCGTCAGAAATCCAAAGGGAGATGGGAGCTGGCACTGGTGGTGCCGGCAGTGGCAATGGTGGGGGCAGCGGCGGTGGTAGCGGGAGCGGTAGCGGTGGTGGGAGCGGCAGGGGTAGGGCAGGAGGGGGAGGCGGGCAGGGTAGCAGCGAGGGGGGGGGAAGGGCAAGCAGCTTCAGCGGGCATGAGTGGCAGGCAGGGCAAGTGCAGCAGCGGCACGCGCCTACAGCATCCAGAGACCCTCTCGGGCTGCTGCTCACACAGCAGCGTGCCCCTCCACCCACCCCCCACGCGCCCCTGTCGCACGTGCCCGTGCCCATCCCCATGCCCGACCCCTCCTCTGTGCCCATCCCCACCGTCTCCTCCTCCTCCGCCCTCGCCGCCTCCCCCTCCGCCCTCGCCCCCTCGCTGCCCTCGCTGCCCTCCCTCGCCTCGCTCTCCTCTCTCCTGCCTGATGCTCTGGAGGGAGCGCGGACTGACGCGTGGGGGGAAGGGGGCGGGGCTGGGGGGAGTGGCGGGGGCAGGGGAGGAGAGGCCGTGGCAGGGGCAGGGGGAGGAGAGGGCGAGGGGGGCCGTGGGGGAGCGGGAGTGGCTGGGCGGGCAGCAGCAGGCGGGGCAGGGTGGAGTGGGTGGGGCGGCGGTGGAGGAGGGGCGGATGGGGGTGCAGCGGCAGGGGGGGGCGTGGGGAGGACGGGGGAGGCGGGGGAGTGGGTGGCGAGGCATGTGTGGGAGGGGAGGCGGGCGGAGGAGGAGGAGGGGCGGAGGCGGGGCGAGCTGGCTGCAGCGGCAGCGAGGGCGCATGAGGAGTGCGTGCTGGAGGAGGCTGACGGCATCTGGGTGAGTGGGGGGGCAGTGTCGTCAGTGGGTCAGGGGTCGGTGTGTTGCGGTAGGTACAGGGCGTGGTAAGACAGTGAGAGAGGGTGGTGGGGCAGTGACACATACTTACCCATTCTCCTCCACTCTCTCCGCCCCCCACCTCCCCCTTCCTCAGGCCAACCGTTGCCTGCTCGCTGCAGCTTCCCCTACTGCCACCACCTCTGCTGCTGCTGCTGCTGGCGGCACTGGCAGCACAGAGGCAGGCATAGGGGGCGCATGGAGGGAGATGGGGATGGGCGAGGAGGGCGGGGCAGAGAAGGGAGACGCATGGAGGGTGCGGGCGGGGGGCAGCAGTCAGTGGGACTACGTGTTGCAGGAGATGGCATGGCTCGCCCTTGATTTCCAACAGGTGCTGCCCCCCCTCACTCCCTGCCGCCCCGCCTGTGCGCTCCTTCCACCTTCGTCTTTGCTTCTCCCCGGGCCTCCTTGTCTCTCCTGTCCTCACCTCCACACTCACATGTGTACTTTCTGCTGCCACTAGCCACTCTGACTCACGCCCATCTCTTCCCTCTCGTTCCTCTCTTTGCCCTCATATTGCCTGCACCCTGCGCCCCACCCCACTCTGCACCCACACCTCCTTGCACCCACCCCACCCCACTCCATCCATCCCAACCTACCCTACCCACCCCACCCCATTCCACCCGACCCCACCCCACCCCGCTCTGCATGGGTGGCAGGAGCGGCTGTGGAAGAGAGCAGCGGCGAGCCACCTAGCCACTTGTGCACAGAGGGTGGGCAGGGAGAGGGCGGAAGGTGCAGGCGAGGGGAGGGCGGGGCATGAGCCGATGCATGGACGAGGAGGGGAAGAGGAGAGGAGAGGGGAGCGAAGTGACGAGGGAAGGGAGGAGGAAAGCAAGGCAGGTTGGAGAAGCTGTGGTGCTGCTATTGCTCGCCCTCTCTCCTCGGGGCAAGGCCAGCGGACACCACGCGATGGTGGCGGGCCGAGGAACCGGAAGCAAGAGGAGGGGGCGTATGGGGACGTGGAGGGGAAGGGCGCGGGGAGAAAAGCGAGGGTTCAAGTGGAGGTGCCAGGGGGAGAGGCTGGCAGAGGGGCAGCGGAAAAAGGGGCAGAGGGGCGACGGGCGGAGGGGGAAGGGGGCATGGAGGGAGGGGCAGAGGGTGGAAGCGGCGCAGCAGAGAGAGGGGCGAGTGCACCGGTGACGCCAGAGAGGGAGGAGGGCCGAGGGGCGGACATGAGCTGCAGTGACTGGTGGTCGTGGGTGGACGAGGTGAGGGGCGCGGTGAAAGAGGGGCGAGGTGAGGGGCGAGGTGAGGGGCGAGGTGAGGGGCGAGGTGATGATGGGGTGATGGGTGAGTGAGGTGCGAGTGGGCGAGGGGTTGAGGGGGTGAGGGAAGTGTGTTGCACTGCGTTTCCGTTGGTCGTCCTTCCCACCCACCGTGAGCTTTTTTTGGCTCGTACATGCCCCATGTCTCATGCATCATGCCTCATGCACCATGTCCCATGCCCCCCATGCCCCATGCCTTCCACACCATTCGCCCTGCTCTTATCCCTTGCATGCACTTGAGTCCCCTCCCCCCCCTCCCTCCCTCCCTCCCTCCCTCCCTCCCTCCCTCCCTCCCTCCCTCCCTCCCTCCCTCCCTCCCTCCCTCCCTCCCTCCCTCCCTCCCTCCCTCCCTCCCTCCCTCCCTCCCTCCCTCCTTCCCTCCTCTTCCCCGCGGGCCTCCCTCCTCCTCTCTCTCCCCCGCTACACCTCCGCCTCTTCCCATGTGTGCACCCCGGGGGCCACCAGGCGCCACTCACCTTCCCCATGCCACAGCCTGCCGTCACAGCCCTCGCCCTCTGCCTCATGCCGCCCCTCCACTCCGCCCCTGTAAGGCCGCCTTACCCATGTACGCCTTTCCACCCCATGTACGGCTTTTCTGCCCATGTACCGCCCACGTATGCCTTTTCTGCCCATGTACCGCCCACGTATGCCTTTTCTGCCCATGTACCGCCCACGTATGCCTTTTCTGCCCATGTACCGCCCACGTATGCCTTTTCTGCCCATGTACCGCCCACATATGCCTTTTCTGCCCATGTACCGCCCATGTATGCCTTTTCTGCCCATGTACCGCCCACATATGCCTTTTCTGCCCATGTACCGCCCACATATGCCTTTTCTGCCCATGTACCGCCCACGTATGCCTTTTCTGCCCATGTACCGCCCACGTATGCCTTTTCTGCCCATGTACCGCCCACGTATGCCTTTTCTGCCCATGTACCGCCCACGTATGCCTTTTCTGCCCATGTACCGCCCACATATGCCTTTTCTGCCCATGTACCGCCCACATATGCCTTTTCTGCCCATGTACCGCCCACATATGCCTTTTCTGCCCATGTACCGCCCATGTATGCCTTTTCTGCCCATGTACCGCCCACATATGCCTTTTCTGCCCATGTACCGCCCACGTATGCCTTTTCTGCCCATGTACCGCCCACGTATGCCTTTTCTGCCCATGTACCGCCCACATATGCCTTTTCTGCCCATGTACCGCCCATGTATGCCTTTTCTGCCCATGTACCGCCCACATATGCCTTTTCTGCCCATGTACCGCCCATGTATGCCTTTTCTGCCCATGTACCGCCCATGTATGCCTTTTCTGCCCATGTACCGCCCACATATGCCTTTTCTGCCCATGTACCGCCCACGTATGCCTTTTCTGCCCATGTACCGCCCACATATGCCTTTTCTGCCCATGTACCGCCCATGTATGCCTTTTCTGCCCATGTACCGCCCACATATGCCTTTTCTGCCCATGTACCGCCCATGTATGCCTTTTCTGCCCATGTACCGCCCACGTATGCCTTTTCTGCCCATGTACCGCCCACGTATGCCTTTTCTGCCCATGTACGCCCGCCTTGCATCTGCTGTTCATGCCCATCCTCCCATCTCTCTCTTCCACCCCCTCGTTCCCTCTTCTTGCGCCCTCCCTTCTGCCCTCAGCTACATTCCCTTCTCACCACTATCTGCCCCTCTCGTTTCCTCCTGCTTCCATTTTCAACCCCCTTTTTCCGCACCCCGTCCCTCTTCCCCCCACTTTACAGGACCACATGACACTCCCCCCTGCCTCTTCCCCCGACCCCTTCCCCCTCCTCCTCCCTGACTTCCTCCTCTCCCCCTCCCCCTCTCACCCCCTCCCCTCGCTCCACCCGTCCCCCTCTCCCCACCTCTCGTCCCAACCCCATGCATCTATCCCCATCCACCCTCCCTCCGCCTCACCCCTCCCTGCTGCCACTGCCCCTTTTGCTGCCGGGTCTGCTTCCATGTTGGATGGCCCAGTGGGGCTGGGCGGGCGGGCAGGGGTAGCTGTGAAGGAAGAAGGGTATTTAGGTGGGGGGACAGAGAAATGGGGAGAGGACAAGGGGAGGGAGGACATGGGGAGGGCAGGTGGGCAAGAGGTGGTGGGGGGAGTGAGCGGCGCAAGGGAGGGGGAGGAGGGGGTGCTCGAGAGGGCGGTGGCAGTGGGGGTGCAGGGGCAGAAGCAGCAGCAGGGGGGTGTTGGTGCAGTGGGGCACAAGGGGCAGCAGATAGCGCAGAGGCAGCAGGGGAAGAAGCAGGTGCAGGTGAGGCAGCGACCCCTCACACAGCTGCAGCAGCGCAAAGAGGGCGAAGCAGGGGGAGACGGCTTGTGTGGGGAGAGAGAGGGGGAGGCGGAGGGGTGGGCGGAGGTGAGGAGGAGTGATGGGGACTCTGGTGAGCCGAGTGCGATGCTATTGGCGGGGCAGAAACAAGCAGGGCAGGCAGCAGGGGGCGCAGGGCAGCACGGCGCAATGGCGGGAGATGGGGAGACGGGCGGGGTGAGTGTTGCAAGGGTGGGGGGCGAAGGGGCGGGTGCAGGGATGCAGGGAGTGGGGGCACAGGATGGGGGGAAGGCGCAGCTGGCTCAGGGCAGTGGTGCATTGGGGGCAGGGGGTGCAGTTGAGGCGGCACAGCTAGCAGGGAGCGCAGGCCCGGGCAGAGGGGGGTTGGGCAGAGGAGGGTTGGGCAGAGGGCAAGGTATGAAAGGCGTGGGGGCGAAGGGAGGGGGCGAGGGGCGAGGACGTGGAACAGGGGCAGGGAGGGGGCTGGGTGGGACGAAGGTGGGTGGCATGGGGAGGGGGGGCAAGGGGAAGCAGCAGGGGGAGGGGCGCGGGCAGAAGGGGAAGGCATTGGGAGTGGGGGAGAGAGGGGGTGCTAGTGTGGAAGGGGAAGGGGCAATGCAGCAATGCGCATGGGGTGGGAAGCAAGGGCAGGGCGTGGCCGCAAGGGAGGCTGCAGCAGCAGCAGGAGGGGGAGGGGGAGGGGGAGGGAAGGCGGGCAGCAAGGATGGTGGCATGTTGGCTGCGTCTCCCTCCGCTGACCGCTCTTCCCAGGACATGGCGGGTGGCAGAGGCGAGGGAGAGGTGGAGGGGGGCGCGGAGCAGCAAGGCATGGGTGGTGGGCAGAGGGGGGTGGGAGTTGCGATTAGTGCTGATGCGGGAGCAAGCAGTGTGGGTGGTGGGGTTGGGGGTGGGGGTGGGGGTGGGGGTGGGGGTGGGGGTGGTGAGGGAGGCAGTGTGTGCAGCCCAGCAGTGGGAGCAGCGGCGGCAACAACAGCAGCAGGGGATGCTGCTGCTGTGGCTGGCAAGGTAAAGTCAAGCGTTCTGCTGTGGTATGTGTGTGGACCATGACGTGCATGTGGTATGTGTGTGGACCATGACGTGCATGTGGTGTGTGTGTGGACCATGACGTGCATGTGGTATGTGTGTGGACCATGACGTGCATGTGGTATGTGTGTGGACCATGACGTGCATGTGGTATGTGTGTGGACCATGACGTGCATGTGGTATGTGTGTGGACCATGACGTGCATGTGGTATGTGTGTGGACCATGACGTGCATGTGGTATGTGTGTGGACCATGACGTGCATGTGGTATGTGTGTGGACCATGACGTGCATGTGGTATGTGTGTGGACCATGACGTGCATGTGGTATGTGTGTGGACCATGACGTGCATGTGGTATGTGTGTGGACCATGACGTGCATGTGGTATGTGTGTGGACCATGACGTGCATGTGGTATGTGTGTGGACCATGACGTGCATGTGGTATGTGTGTGGACCATGACGTGCATGTGGTATGTGTGTGGACCATGACGTGCATGTGGTATGTGTGTGGACCATGACGTGCATGTGGTATGTGTGTGGACCATGACGTGCATGTGGTATGTGTGTGGACCATGACGTGCATGTGGTATGTGTGTGGACCATGACGTGCATGTGGTATGTGTGTGGACCATGACGTGCATGTGGTATGTGTGTGGACCATGACGTGCATGTGGTATGTGTGTGGACCATGACGTGCATGTGGTATGTGTGTGGACCATGACGTGCATGTGGTATGTGTGTGGACCATGACGTGCATGTGGTATGTGTGTGGACCATGACGTGCATGTGGTATGTGTGTGGACCATGACGTGCATGTGGTATGTGTGTGGACCATGACGTGCATGTGGTATGTGTGTGGACCATGACGTGCATGTGGTATGTGTGTGGACCATGACGTGCATGTGGTATGTGTGTGGACCATGACGTGCATGTCCCGCCCTGCATGGACCATGACGTGCATGTCCCGCCCTGCACTATCCTCTGCCATGCACTCCTCTCTACCACCCACTCCCCACTACCATCCACCTATTCCCCCATTCCCCTCTACCATCCATTCCCCTCTACCATCCATCTCTTTCCCCTCCGCCCTGCACTCCTCTCTGCCCTGTGTGCTCCCCATCCCTGCCAGCAACGCCAGCGCCCATCTGCTCACCGCAAGCCCAAGGGTCCTCCTGCTTCCCCAAAGGTCACATGTGCGCCCTCTGCCAGCCCCGCCCTCCCTCCTCGCCTGGCTGCTTCTGCTCCCTCCGACGCCACTGCTGCTGCTGATGGCGCGGCATTGGCCACAGGTGAAACGGATGTGCTGTGGGTCACTCTCTGCGTGTCACACGACTTCTCCTCGGCGATGCTCTGTTCTACTGCTCCATTCTGCTTGCCGTGCTGCTTGCCACTCCTGCTGCAGCTTCACCGGCCACCACGCTGTTGCCTTTGCCAGAACAAGGCCTTTGCCAGAACAAGGCCTTTGCCAGAACAAGGCCTTTGCTCATCTGTGAAATCCCACACTGTTGTTGTCCTCCCATCCGCAACTTCTCCCACCTCCCCCTTCCCCAATGCTATCCCTCTTCGCATCTCTTCTTCTCTCCCCCACCAGCCACTGGCTCTCAGCCTGCTGCGATAACACCCTCGCTGCACCCCCACACCCATGTGCTCGCTGGGGCGAGGAAGCAGGGGCAGGCAGAGGGCGGGGAGGGGGGAAGGCTGGAGACGGATGGTAGAGATGGGGAGGCATGGGCGGAAGGCATGGGGCGGGCCGATGGCGAGGTGGGCGGCGGGAGGAGGGACGTGGCGGCGGGTGGCATGGGCAGGGAGGCGAAGAAGAAAGGCAGCAAGCGACAGTCGGTGAGTGGCAGCAGGCAGGGAGACATTCTAGGTGATACACACAACTGTGGCTCCAGTGTATGACTTCCTCTCACGCTAATGCTTCAAGTTTTGTCCCTACTTTTACCCACATTCAAACTCTCGCTAGTTCTGTTCTGCCACACCCCTCCCTGCCCCTCCCACTCTCCAGTCCCCCCACCATCTGCCCTCACCGCCAGGAGCGCACGCCCTGCCACCTGCCACCACACCCTCGCAAGTGGAGGCAGCAGGCGCTCTCCCTCTGCCGCCCGCCCATGGCGATGTGCTGGGCGGGTCCCCGGGCAGCATGGACCTCGCTGCTGCACGCGTGCCTGGCAGCGATGTTGCTGATGATGCTGATGGTGCTGATGACGCCCTGCCATGGTCTCCCATGGAGGAGCAGGTGCGTGCATGCCATGACATGGCCATGGCCATGGTGTCACATGCCTCGTTCGTAAGCACGTATCCTTGTTGTTCCCCCCCGCGTCTCACGTTCCATTCGGCCACAATCTTCCATCACTGACCCCTCCCCGCGGTGTGCGCTGCTGGCAGGTGCTGCTGGCAGAGGTGGGCGAGCTGGATTTTGAATGCCAAGCCTCTTCCCTTGTGGTGTGCCGTGCTGGCAGGTGCTACTGGCAATGGTGAGCGACCTGGGCACCAACTGGCGCCTTCTTAATCGCAATGCCCCCCCTTCCCGCCCCTCCCTCCCCATGGTGTGCCCTCCCTGGCAGGTGCTACTGGCAGTGGTGAGCGACCTGGGCACCAACTGGCGCCTTGTCACCGATGTGCTGCTCTCCATCACGCACCTCACTGTGAGCCCGCCCTCTCCATCACGCACCTCACTGTGACCCCGCCCTCTCCATCACGCACCTCACTGTGACCCCGCCCTCTCCATCACGCACCTCACTGTGACCCCGCCCTCTCCATCACGCACCTCACTGTGACCCCGCCCTCTCCATCACGCACCTCACTGTGACCCCGCCCTCTCCATCACGCACCTCACTGTGACCCCGCCCTCTCCATCACGCACCTCACTGTGACCCCGCCCTCTCCATCACGCACCTCACTGTGACCCCGCCCTCTCCATCACGCACCTCACTGTGACCCCGCCCTCTCCATCACGCACCTCACTGTGACCCCGCCCTCTCCATCACGCACCTCACTGTGACCCCGCCCTCTCCATCACGCACCTCACTGTGACCCCGCCCTCTCCATCACGCACCTCACTGTGACCCCGCCCTCTCCATCACGCACCTCACTGTGACCCCGCCCTCTCCATCACGCACCTCACTGTGAGCCCGTCCCCGGCCAGCCTTTGCTGATTCCGTGCACACACCACAGTGACCCCATGCTCTCCTCTGTGCACTGTATGCCGCCATCATGTGTTCTCATACCCCCCTCACCAGGGCGTGTATCGCAGTCCCAGTCAGTGTGAGCGCCGTCACAGCGCCCTCCTCTCCTCGCCCCCTGTCCCCTCCTCTGCGCCCTTAAAGGTCAGTCGCATCTCCACCTTCGATTCCCCTTCCCATCCCGCCCTTTCCCCCTTCCTGCACCACTCGTTGCACATTCCAACCGCCCTCTCATGCCACTGACGAGGTCATGTGGGAACGTACTGCAGCAATGTGTAAAGTGTCACATCACCCACCCCTCGCCCCCTGTTGCCTTGTGTGCGTCGGCAGGAGGCGGGGCGGGGCGGGGGGCAGTGGGTGGGGGGCGAGGAGGACGTGTTGAGGGAGCACCGACAGGCAGTGCTGACAATCTTCTCCAAACACCATGCTCGCATGCTGGCCGTGAGTCCTTTGGAAGAAACTTAAAGCCCAAGACCTGAATTGCTCAACGCAAGTCAACGCGGGACAAAACTGTGGGCAGCGGGAGGCAAACTGTTGTAATTCGGGTTTTGGGATTTAAGTGCATGCTATGAGTCAACAAGTGAATGCTAGCCCTGATTGTACACTCACTTTCTGTTTTTTGCGTGTCTGTGCTGGGTGTGCGCGCGCGCTCGTACACGTGCGTTTTTGTGTTGACATATGCATGCGCGCATGCGTGGGGGAGCAGTTGGAGGCACAGGAGTTGAAGCAGCAGGTGCAGCCACACGCCTCTCACCTCCTCGTCCTCTCCAACGTCGCTGCCTCCTCGCCCTCCGCGCCCATGCCACCCAGGTGTGTGTGACACGTCACCCATCCTCTGGTGCCGCCCAGGTATGTATGTATGACACGTCATCCACCCTCCTGTGCCTCTCATGTATGTACGACAGGTAACGCACTCTCCTCTGCTCCCATCTCGCCCATCCATTCCCGCTGCTACGCCACCATGCTCTCCTGTCTCTGTCACCCCACTCCACTCTCTCCCCCATCTACCCCGTCCCCATCCCCTCCTCCCCATTTCTTCCTTCCCATTCCGTCATCACAACCCCATCACCGCTGTTTAACACATCCTCCAGTTTGCCTACCCTGTGCCCACCCTCCGTGCTCCCTGTGCGGCGCCACAGCCCCTTGGATCTCAGCAGCAGCCCCCCGCTCCCACCAGTTGATGCACCCACGCTCGCTCTCACTACTGCTGCTGCTGCCACATATGCTGCCTCGGGAGCCACACTGCCAGCCGCCACCATTGCAACAGCAGCAGCGGCAGCAGGGGCTGGCAGTGGTGCAGAGGGGGCAAGTGGTGCAGCAGTGGCATCAGCAGCGTCTGCAAACTATGTGTCAGCATCAACCCCACCACAGGCCCACATGCCCACTCAGTCAATCGCCTCTCGCACTTCCCTCCCCTCCCTGCCACACTTCCCTTCCTTCTCCACTACACTCCCCCACCCCGCCTTCCAATCCCCTTCACCTTCTCCCCACACCCCTCCCTTTCCCAGCAGACCCACTCCTCCTCCCACTCTCCCGCTCCCTCACTCCATGCCCATTGCCTCCCCGCCCTCTCTCTCCACCACCCCCCCTCCTCCTGTCACGGGACCCATCCCCCAAGTCCCCCCAGCCCCCATGCAAGTGTCCTCTGCTGCCACTGCTGCCCCTACCATGGCCTCACCGACACCTGCTGCAATGGCTGCCACAAAAACAGGCACTGCCACTGCACACTCTGCTTCTCCCTCCGCCCCTGCTGCCTCCCCCTCCCTCCATGCATCTTCCACTCTCCACACTGCCTCTGCTGGAGCCGCTCCCACTGCCACTACTCCGTATGGTAACCAGACGGCCATGGGACACAGTAACCAGACGGGCATGGCACATGGTAACCAGACGGGCATGGCACATGGTAACCAGACGGGCATGGCACATGGTAACCAGACGGGCATGGCACATGGTAACCAGACGGGCATGGCACATGGTAACCAGACGTCCATGGCACATGGTAACCAGACGTCCATGGCACATGGTAACCAGACGTCCATGGCACACAGTCATGGTGGGAGCATGTCACAAGCCTCTATGCATGGCCATGGCCGCTCATCTCCTCACGGGGTACCTCATGGCTATGCACCTCCACACACCCACCCACATCCCCATGCACACTCATACAGCCATACATACACCCATGCACACACCCATGCGCACACCCATGCGCGCACGCATCCTCACGCCCATCCTCACGCCCATCCACACATGCATGCCCACATGCAGCAGTCGGCACTGCCATTCCCCCAGTCCCCTGCACATGCGCACCCACATGCCTCTGCCCTCCCGCCATCGTCCACACCCCACGCCCCTTCGCCTACAACCGCCCCGCCACATGGCCCCCCAAGGGCTCCTGCTGCTGGGGGCGTAGCTAAGGGACCGTCAGCGCCCGTGGGGGGCACAGGGGGGCGCAGCGCGGGTGGTGGTGCAGGTCGGGGGGCTGGTGGGAATGTGCAGGGGGGCAGAGGAAGGGGTGCGGAGGTGGCGGGGATTGCATTGCCGGGCAGCAAAGCGACAGTGCCTCTCAGGTATGAGTTCATAGTTTTCCCCGTTATAGTGCCGTGGTTTACTGTTAACACTGGTGTGTTGTATGTCATGTGATTCTCACACCTGATATTGATACCCTTTTGTCCTTGGGCACCATGCACCTTTTTTCTGAATCAATACCCATCACTACTCAAACTGTTCCTCTGGCTATGTCTGTCTGCCTTTTCGCCCCAGCAACGTCAGAGGTCACACTCGGGTGCAGCAGCACCGAGGGCCAGCCATGCGGCCACAGCAGCAGCAGCAGGGACAGCAGCAGCAGCAACAACGGCAGCTGCAGCATCAACAGCAGCAGCAGCAACAACAGCAATGGCAGCAACAGCAGCAGCATCACCAGCAGCAGCAGACCCAGCAGCAGAAGCAGCAGCAGAAGCAGCAGCAGCAGCAACAGCAACAGCAGCAGCAGCAACAGAGGCAACAACAACAGCAACAGCAGCAGCAGCAGCAGCAGCAACCGTCGCAGCCGCAGCAGCAGCACCCCCATGGGAGCGGGCATTCTCAGCCTGCCAGCGGCTTTGCTCCATCTGTGTCTCCATCCGCACCACACCCACGTGCTGTGCCTGCCACGTCACCTCTTGTGCCTGCCACCCTCCCTGCTGCTGCAAGTCAATGCTTGCCAGGCCTCCCGTCCCTGCCCACTCCTCCCTCTCTCCCCGCCCCTCCCTCTCTCCCCACTGCCACCTCTCTCCCTACCCCCCCATCACTCCACACAGCACAGACGGTGGGTGCCCTACCTCATTCTGCTCCCGCCCATGCTCCTGCCACACTCCCTGCCTCCTCTGCTCCTCCACCCTCTTCCCTGCCCCCGTCTCCCGTTACTGCTGTGCCTTCCGCTGCCACCGTGTGTGCCACTGCTGCCATGCCTGCCACTGCTGCCCCGGCCACTGCTGCCGTGCCGTCTACTGCTGCCCCGGCCACTGGCAACCGAACTGTGCCATTGGCCTCTGCTGTCCCCTCCTCCCAGCTGCCTGCTGTCGCCTCCTCCCAGCTGCCTGCTGTCGCCTCCTCCCAGCTGCCTGCTGTCGCCTCCTCCCAGCGGCCTTCTGTCGCCTCCTCCCAGCAGCCTTCTGTCGCCTCCTCCCAGCGGCCTTCTGTCGCCTCCTCCCAGCAGCCTTCTGTCGCCTCCTCCCAGCAGCCTTCTGTCGCCTCCTCCCAGCTGCCTGCTGTCGCCTCCTCCCAGCGGCCTTCTGTCGCCTCCTCCCAGCAGCCTTCTGTCGCCTCCTCCCAGCAGCCTTCTGTCGCCTCCTCCCAGCAGCCTTCTGTCGCCTCCTCCCAGCAGCCTTCTGTCGCCTCCTCCCAGCAGCCTTCTGTCGCCTCCTCCCAGTCACCCCTGGGCCGTGGAAGCAGCGGTCATGCGGCGAGTGCAGGAGGGGTGGGCAGAGGCAGGGGCGCGCCAGTCACAGGTGTGGCACGGACAGGGGGCACAGCTCCTGTGGCAGCACCAGCACCAGCACCAGCACCACCAGCAGCAGCACCAGCAGCAGCAGCAGCAGCAGCAGCAGCAGCAGCAGCAGCTGCAGTGCATCCTGTCACATCTGCTCTAACCCCGGCAGCATCAGCAGGTGCAGGAACAGTAGCAGGTAGCAGTGGGAGTGGGAGTGTAAGTCACTTGCCTCTGCAGCAACTGCCTGGCCACGTACCGTCAAGCAATGTGGCAACACATGCAGCAGCAGCAGCAGCAGTGACAGCAGCAGGATCAGCAGCACACACAACAGCAGGTGCGGTAAAAGCAGTGCCATACACAGCAGCAGGTGCAGGAAGGGGATATACACCTGCACAGCCAAGGCCACAGCAAGTCTTGCCGAGCCCTGCGCTGCCAAGCCAAACAGTGCCAAGCCAAGCTGTACGGAGCCGAGCAATACCGAGCCAGGCACTGCCGAGCCAAGCAATGCCGAGCCGAGCAGGACCCAGCCAAGCAGTACCCAGCCAAGCAATACCGAGCCGAGCAGTACCGAGCCAAGTATTGGCGAGCCAAACAGTATCAAGGCAGGGCGTGGCGAGGCAAGGCATGGGAGGAGCATCAGTGGCAGGCGTGGTTCATGCAGCAAGTGGGCAGACCTCCATGCACCCCACAGTGCCACACCCACCTGCACTGACACACACAGCCTTTGCTGCCACTGCTTCAATTCCTGCTCGTCCTGCTGCTACTGCTGCCAGTGCTGCTTACAGTTCTGTTGCCGCTACTGTTGCTATTCCTGTTGCTAGTGCCGCAATTTCTGCTGCTACAGGTGGTGCTGCTGCTATTCCTGCTGGTGGTGGTGTTGCTGCTGATCGTGCAGGTGTGGCAGGAGCAGGTACGGCAGGTGTGCCTGGTGTGGAAATGGCTAAAGCAGTGGGAGTTGCGGGGGGCGAGAGGGCAGGAGGAGTAGCAGCACACACACGACATGTGGCGCTGCAGAATGGGCCGCAATCGCAATTGCAGCACACACACCCACAGCAACCACACTCACAGCAACCACATGCAGCTTTGTCAGGCTTGGGAGCACTGACCACCACGGCACCAACCACAGCAGCACCAATCACAGCAGCACCAATCACAGCAGCACCAATCACAGCAGCACCAATCACAGCAGCACCAATCACAGCAGCACCAATCACAGCAGCATCAATCACAGCAGCACCAACCACAGCAGCACCAATCACAGCAGCACCAACCACAGCAGCATCAGTAGTACCAGTCACAGGAGCACACACAACAGTGTCAGCGGTGGGCTCAGCAGCAGTATCAGGTGACTCCCAGGCACGCCCCTCGCATGCATCGCCAGCAGCAGACACAGCAGTGAGCCCAGGCTCTGCAGCACCAGCAGCAGGAGTGCCGTCTGTGGGAGCAGCAGCAGCGCCAACCCAGCTGTGACAGCAGCAGCGAGAGCCGCAACACCACAGGCTCCTTCCGCAGTACCTTAGTAATGTAGTAATGCCAATTTGTGTACAGACAGGGAGTTTGCTTCTGCAAATGCAGTTTCATCAGCAAGCTTGTCCTGGAACAATGACAATAGGAACTTCTATAAGGGATTGTTTCTTTCCAGGTTGTGGGCAACTCGTTGGAAATTGGTTTAGTATTTGTCTTAGGAATTCAAAAATGGGCCAACATATTACCAGTTGTAGTTGCGTTACCGAACCGAGTCTTTGTACAGCGCAACTGCCCCTCACCTATCACGGGTGGCGGTACTGTCAAGGGCGTACCCAACCGCGCGGCTCCCCCATTATCAACCGCACTTCCCTCCCCTTCCCCCGCGTGCATTGCCCCCCTGCGCGCACCCTTATCCCCTCTCCCCTTTTCTCCCTCATCTCATCATCCCTCCACCTGTTCTCTCATCGCGACCCCCACCGAACTAACTCCTGCCCGCGTAGCGTCTCCACACCACCCATCCCTGAAATGGCGGGTGCTCTTGCCCTGCGCGTCCCCGTGGCGGCGGCAGCCGTGCCGGCCGCCGGCCTGACTCAACCCGCTGTACACTCCCTAAGGCGCGCCGCACTCGTGCCGCTGCGTGTACGTCAAGCCGCCTCACTCGCCGCGCAGCAGCAGGCGAAGCGCGGTGCCGTAGTAGCGCCGCGCAACGTGGCAATGGCTGATTCGCTGACGGCGGAGGAGGAGGGCGCGGCGCGTCAGTCGTACCCGGCGGGCGTGCATCGGTACGAGGCGATGGTGGTGCTGCGACCCGACCTCACGGAGGACGAACGCGTCGCGCTCACCGAGCGATACGAAGAGGTGTGTCGCAGGGATGGAGGGATGCGACGAGGTGCGTCGCAGGGACGGAACGATGCGACGAGGTGCGTCGCAGGGACGGAACGATGCGACGAGGTGCGTCGCAGGGACGGAACGATTCGACGACGTGCGTCGCCGTCGCGCGACTGTGCGCGCATTCCGCTTTCCCCTGTTAGCCCTTCACGACCCGGCCCTCTGTCGGTCATTCGCTTGTACGAACCCCGACTGTGCCGTGTTTCTTGCTTCTCTCCCTTCGCCCTCGCAATTTTCCCCTGTCTTCCCGCTCACTCTTCCCCGTGTATACGCACCCCTCTCGTCTGCACTCACTTCATGTGCACTCCCCTCATGCGCACTCCCCTCATGCGCACTCCCCTCATGCGCACTCCCCTCATGCGCACTCCCCTCATGCGCACTTCCCTTCTGCGCACTACCCGCATCGGCACTCCCCTCAAGCACACGTCTCTCATGCATCCTTCCCCCCTTCCGCTCCCCCTCCCCCCTCCCCCCCCCCACTTTCCGCACGTGCAGTTTCTCGTGGCGGGCGGCGCACTGGACGTGGAGATCTTCAACCGCGGCATGCAGCCTTTGGCGTATAGCATAAAGACAAAGAACATGGGCGGCGTGATGAGCCGCTACCTGGACGGCATCTTCTTCCTGTTCATCTTCGCCGCGCGCTCCGAAGCGCAGGTGAATCTGCAGCAGCGCCTCAACCGCGACGATGACGTCATCCGCTCCACCACCTTCCGCCTCAAGGCGTGACGCGCGCAAACCGCTGCAGGTAAGGCGCGGCCAGGGGAGGGGCGGGGAGGTGAGGGGAGGAGAGGAGGGGAGGCGAGACGAGGCGAGATGGGATGAGGGGAATATGCGAGGGGAAGAGAGGCCGATTGGAAACAGGAGTGTAAGTGGGAACAGAAAGTGAGTGGATTAGGCACACAGTAAGTGGAATAGTCACACGGTGAGTGGAATAGTCACACGGTGAGTGGAATAGGCATAGGGTCTTTGGAATAAGCATAGGGTGTTCGGAATAAGCATAGGGTGTTCGGAATAAGCATAGGGTGTTTGGAATAAGCATAGGGTGTTTGGAATAAGCATATCGAGTGAAACAGACAGCGGTGGAGTGGAACAGAGAGTTTGAGCATTGATGAGGCAGCGGAGGGCAGAGTAGGGTAGGGCGAGTGGGGTAGGGCGAGTGGGGTCGCCCCCCTCCTCATGCCTGCAGGAGTGCATGATTGTTTTGCAGGGCTCTACATGGGGGCATTGTCATACCCATTTTGCTACTTGTCAATCATGCACTCCTGCATCTGATGCCTGTACCAGTAACAATCAAATCTGCTGTTTTTGCCTGGATCATCCTTGAAAACCTTGGCAGCTGAAGAATCAGATCCCGCTTGAGTTTCGTTTGAAGACCCCACTCATTGTGTTTTCTGCTTTGAAAGGAAGTTGCTGCAATGCCACCTCACCTGCTTGGTTTTTGCTGTAGCATAGATAGTCAAAGACTACAATGTGAATATATGATATCACATCAACTCGAGAAACTATTTGCAGGAGATGTAGAAATTGCTAACAGGGCCAAATTGATAATGGTTGCCCAGATCCAACGGTTGTCAGAACTGACTCGCTTTCGAAATATCACGGGTTTCCTGGCTGGTGATCTGTGACGAACAAACTTCAGGGGGTTCCGTCGTGAGGGAGCACTCCCGTGCTCGCCCGCTCATGCACTCACCGCTCCGAGTTCATTGTCCCTTTCACCAACTGATGAGATGACACGATCCTCTGCCCTCCGAGTTAGCATGCCACATCATACCGTACCTTCCTCTACGTACCGTCCGCCCCCGGATAGAAGCGCCCCTGGGGGTATAAAAAACACTGTTTTTTGGGGGGTGCGCTTATAATTGAGGAATTTCATAAGCGCCGGCGCTTATAAAATGGCAAAAAGAATATATATTTGTTTTACACCAAACTGTATATCTCGTTCTACCGATTGTAATCGAGTCAAAAACATATAGGGTCGCAAATCTGATTCTCGCGCAGCTTGGCAGGGAGTGATTCCCTGCCAGCTCGCCCTGACAAAATTACAGCACATGCTGACTAGACGCGCAAAAAGTGAGTTCAGAGTGTGGGAAATCGAAATTGTAGTTAGTTTCCCTGATTATGCGAAATTCGTTTCTGAAATTTGAAAGGTTTTCAAATGAAAAACAAACATGCGCTTATAATATATCATCTTTTTCTAGGGGGTGCGCTTATAATCGAGGACAGGATATAAGCGCCGGCGCTTATCCGAGGCCTGCGCTTCTATCCGGGGGCTTACGGTATTGGGATTGTCCATCGACCCACCTGCTTATCCCCTCCACTGTGCCACCTAGCTCAGGTAGAATCCATGGCCAAATTCGCCGTCACCTTGAAATCAACCAGCACCCGTCAGACTGGCCAAATCTTTATTAAGGTTCCCGTCAAACTGTTGGCATGGTGTCTCGCGAGTAGTTATACCAAATCCACCTACCAACGCGAACTAGCACAGGTTCGGGGGATCTACAAATCGAGTTAGGTACGGTAGCTGCGACCAGTACATTGCTGTGTGGTGGCGCGAGCAACAGCGTTGGCGAGGAGGGTATGGCCGAAAATGTGAGGAAAAGGGAAGTTTCGGATGTTATCAGCGATGCTGACGCTTTGATAAGCATTAAGCTTTCCATAATTTATCCTCTTTGTTATAGTTTCCGAATGAAAATTAACTCAGTACGAATTCTGTCCATGCAGGAACTTCTAATCGCGTTGGACTCTTCAACAATTGCAGAGGACCCATTCAAGGGGTACTACGACAACGATATGGAAATCCTAGCTCGGGCTTATCCGAGATTGGGAAACAGGCCAGCTGATGTAAGTGACGTCTTTTAATCTCCCCTTGAAAACCATGCAATAAGTGGCACTTTTCGAGATCGTTACATGCCACCTGGTGAAAGAGATGTACCTATGTTCATGTCGTGCAGAATGCGAAGCGATGTGAAATTCAGAGGGACTATATCCGTCATTTGAAGGCATGCGTCAACGCTGCTGTCAAGTCTTACTCTTTGAAAATAATCGCAGGTAAGCATCCACCTGAAAGCTCTAGTTGATAATTTTTCCGCATCGACTAGTAATAATACTGTGTTACGTATGTCGCAGAGGCCACGCTTGAAGAAGAGAGGAATATGAGGCAAAGTGCAGAAGGCAAAGTGTCGGTGAGAAGTACCTTGCAAGGCCCCGTGCTTTGTACTGCCGTGGAGTTGGAGGCGGAGGTGCTGTTGCATATGTCTCATGCTGCCCTGCTCCACCCGTCCATCACCAGAAGCTGGAGGCACAAGTGGTGCAGCTGAAGGAAGAGAAGGAGCAACTTCGCGCCCAGCTGCTGCTGCTGCAGTCCCACATCCACGCGGTGAGTCAACGGTCATGGGTTGAGTGCACAAATGCCGCTGCTGCCTATGCGTAGCCGCCTTGCGCGTGTGCATGCACGTCTGCATGGTACCCACGCGTACCCAAAAGTCATGTGCTGTGTGTGTGTGTGCGTATGTGTGTGCGTCTGTGTGTGTGTGTGTATGTGTGTGTGTGTGTGTAAGCCACACTCTACTCACCTCGACCAGTGTCTTCACTTGCCTTTCTGTCAGACCCGCAGGCAACACAAGCTGAACAACACCGTGGCAAACTGATAAAGCACTTCTTTATTCTATTCAACTCAATGGCGCACACATGTGAATGATTCCCTTTTCACCCCTCCTTCGCTCTTGTTCCTCCCCCCCTCCTGCCCAATCTCCAATGAATTCCTCAGTTGATTCTCTTCTATCCGTTCCTTCTGTTTCACACCTCTACCCCCCTCGACCTTGTCCCTCTCCTCACCTCCCATGCTCTGCACCATGGCTACAACATCGACTATTTCTCCCCTCAATCCTGTCCTTCTCACCTCACCCTTCATGCCATGTAGCTAGCAGCCACTGTCAAAATTCTTAGCAAGGCTTAGGAGCCATGGCTAGTGAGGTAGGAGAAGTTGAGTTCGAGTTAAAGGAAAAGTGTCGAGAGAATGAGGGTTTCACTATAGGTTCAAGGGTACAAATATGAGAGAACAAGCAAGAAAGGTGCACCACCAAATAGGAAAACGCTATAACTACAGTAACCAATCCTACAGGCAGTTACATATAGAAAATATTAAATTATATTTTCCGACACGCCCCCATAACTGGCTGTAGGAGATGAGTATGCAGTTAGCGCCCTCTGAAGGGGTACATCACGATTGCGCAGGAGGAGAAAAGTGTTTCAATAATAGTGGGAACGAAAGGAGGAGGCGGGCTGGCGCTGGCTGGTCTCCCACTCCATCCCCTCACCCTCCCCCTCCCCCTCCCCTTCCCCCTCCCCCACACACTGCTGCAGGAGCAGCAGAGGGGGGGAAGAGAGGAGAGGTGGAGGGACGGCTGCTGGGTGGTCTCACACCCGCCACCCCAGTGCCACTCCCCGGGCTCCCCCACACCCTCACACCCTCCCATCCAGCGGCAGCTGCAGCAGTGGGAACAAAAGGAGGAGGAGGGGGGGGGGGGCCGACGCACGGCCTCCCCGGGCGCCAAAGCAGGCGGCAGAGGGGGCGGCACCTGCCCCCCCCTTCCAGGTCGCGGCCCCCTCAGGTCGCCTCGACAAGTGACGGGAAAAGGGGGGGGGGGGGGCGGTGCACGTGCCCACGGTGTGCCGCGACTGGCGACGGGGCATGGCCGGGGCGGGGTCGGGGCCGAAGTGGGCGACGGGGCCGCAAGGGTGGGCGGGGCCGCAGGTGGCGACGGGGCCGTAGGTAGGCGACGAGGCTGGGGCCGCAGGTAGGCGACAGGGGCCAGAGGCCGCAGGTAGGTGACGGGGCTGTGGCCGCAGGTAGGCGACGGGGCCGTAGGTAGGCGACGGGGCCGCAGGTAGGCAACGGGGCCGCAGGTAGGCAGGTAGGCGACGGGGCCGTAGGGCCGCGGGTAGGAGACGGAGCCGGGGCCGCAGGTAGGCGACGGGGCCGTAGGTAGGCGACGGGGCCACAGGTAGGCGACGGGGCCGCAGGTAGGCAGGTAGGCGATGGGGCCGTAGGGCCGCAGGTAGGAGACGGGGCCGTAGGGCCGCAGGTAGGCGACGGGGCCGTAGTTAGGCGACGGGGCCGCAGGTAGGCGACGGGGCCGGGGCCGCAAGTAGGCGACGAGGCCGGGGCCGCAGGTAGGCGACATGGGCCAGAGGCCGCAGGTAGGTGATGTGGCCGGGGCCGCAGGTAGGCGACGGGGCCGTAGGTCCGCAGGTAGGCAACGGGGCCGTAGGGTCGCAGGTAGGCGACGGGGCCGTAGGGCAAGGGGCACGTCACGGGGCGTGCCAAACACAGATTAGCAGCGGAAGCTGTAGGGTGGGCCACAGGTCAAGACCTTGGTCACTCTGATAACATGTCAGAATCCCAACCACTAGACCATTGGGATAAAAGGGCTTATTTCAGTAGTGGGTCAGTGCGCCCATAACCCCCCAGGCGAACGCGCCTGTAACCCTCTCTAGGATCAATCGGGCATCCACAGTGCAGATCTACTGACACCCCCCGATACTGGGAGGCCCAGGACTAAGCACAGCGGCAACGGCCTACATGTGCATACACAGGGAATCGAACCCGAGACCGCTCTGATACCATGTCAGAATCCCAACCACTAGACCATTGGGATAAAAAGGCTTATTTCAGTAGCGGGTTAGTGCGCCCATAACCCCCCAGGCGAACGCGCTTGTAACCCTCTCCAGGATCAATCGGGCATCCACAGTGCAGATCTACTGACAGCCACGTCTACTTCTGTAATTACAACAGCAACACCAACACCAACAGTAGCACCAGCAGAGCCAACAGCAGCACCAGCAGAGCCAACAGCAGCACCAGCAACGGCAGCAGCAGTGGCAGCCGCAGCAGGTGTGCCACTCACTCTGCTACCACCAGCAGCAGTTGGGTCTTGCAATCCGCCTGCACACCCCCCCTCAACTGCTTGACATCTGCACACAGACTCACACAAGTGTTTAGCTGAATGCATTCTTTATGCCATATTTGTTTGTACGGTAAGCGAGAGTGAGAACTCTGTACTGGAAGCGATGATGAGATAAGCCGATGCAGCAAGATGAGTCTGCTCAGCCGTTTATTGAACAACAACTTTGGATGTAGGATACCGGAAGGCAATCTTGCATCACATACAGGAAGAAGTTGCCAAGATCATCCTACCAGTCATCTAGATACCGTTACAATTTGTTTCTGTAATCCGTTATTTTTTGTTAGCGTGTTTTTCCGTACCAAGGCTGATGGATCAGTCTGGTCCAAAACGAATATATGGGCCTCCCCACATCTAACATGAGTTGAGCATCTACGTCTCACCAACAACACGTGCTCAAGTATCCAACGTTTGGGCACAACCAATCCAAGCTTCAAGGGACACTAGTACTGAGGCGCGCAATTTTTCAAGGTCATTGTTATAAATTCCATGCCAAAAGACGTGAGATGAACTGCATAAGCATGGTTGGCTTGCCGGAGATGCTGGGTAGTGAAAATAGGCCCCAATCGAATATGATGGGATTCGAATAGCTGCAAATCGCCCCCTGCTGTGCCGCTTGTGCTGCCTAAGCTGCAAACTCCGCCATTTTGTCCACTCCGCCCTTCAGCCTCGTGCATCTCACGTGGTGGGCAGCACGGGTGGCGGCTCGTTCCTCATCCAACGCGGAGGAGGGCAGTGCCACGAGTATGCCAGCACCGTCGCCGCCTTTTGAGGCGCCTCCAAAGACAGGCGCTCCTCCGCCGGCACGGAGGAGGTGAGCAAGGAGGTGCCTTGTCAGTCCGTCCCTCGCCCGCGCCTCGTCCGTGTTTTTGCAAAGAGAGTATGAGAGGAGGTGGGGGCAGGTGAGCAGGCAGTGCAACGAACGGGTCGGATGGGTTTGGGCCGACAGCAACGCAGTCAGGGGAGCGAGTGGAGCAGCTACGGCATCAGCACCTAGGTCAATGTGGGTGGTGGAGGTGGGAGCAATGGAGGTGGGACAGAGAGCGTGGGAGCGCGGAGGTAGGGAAGAGCTGCATGGAGCATGCAAGGGTGGTGCAGTGGGAGTGAGGAGGATTGGTGGCATCTGTGAGGTGATGGGGACAGGGAAGGCCTTCTGAGGCGCCTCAAAAGTGCTCCCTGCCCCGTTGCACCCTCCCCTGCCCATCCCCCCCCCCTTTCCACCCCGACCTCCCCTCCCTGCCCCCACCTTGGTGCACCTCACCTGACGACAGCGCCCTCGCCCGTGGCGGCAGAGAACACTTTTGAGAATTCTCAAAAGTGATTTCCAGGACAGCGCCGCCCACCACCGTCGCCCGTATCAAATCTCATGCTTGGCCGTCGCCAGCACTGCCTCTCTCCTCAACTGAGTCGCAGCGATCATGCCCCCCGGGCATGCCCCCAGGGACAAGCTGTAGCATGCCTTGTTGAGAAATACAGGAAACATGGGCGGGAAAAACGGGGAAGGGAGGGGGAGGGGAAGGGGTGATTTGGTCTAATATTCCCTCTCTTCCCTGCCCACAAGAACCCCCCGCGAGGGAAGAGCCGTACCCAGCCTCATAGAGAAACTAGGAAGAGGGAGGGTTCAGGGGTCTAAGGGAAGGGAGGTTTTGCCACGCCCTGCTTGCCCCCACGCTTTGCCTCCCCCACCCGCCTCGCCCGCACGCACCTGGGGCAGTTGTGTTGTGTGGTCTTGCCCGACCCCGTCTAGCCGCACACCAGGCTGGCAGGGCTCCCCCCACTGTACCTTTTCCCCCCACCGCATGCACCCTCCCCCCCACCCAAACGCACCTGGGGCACTTGTGTGGTTTGCCCAACCCATCTCGCCATACACAAGGGTGCCAAGGCCACCCCCATGCACCTCTCCCCTCAGACACCTCTCGCTCTGAGATGGTACCCATGCGGTAGAAGTGGACGTAAAAAATTCCCCACTGCTGCACTGCCCCGTGCTGGTGCCACTTCGCAGAGATGCCCCACGCCCACTCCTGCCGAGGGTGAAGATGGCGGAGGAGGGAAGGAGGCTGTTCTTGTGCGGTTCTGCCTCGTTTTACCCTATGCGCTGTATGTACCACCAATTGACTACATAGTATCTTCTTGTTGCCGGTAACGACCAAGCTCATCACTGGGCACACTACCTGGTGTCTGGGCGGCACGGGTGGCAATCGTACCTGCTGGCTGGGCGGGAAGAATAGAGGTCTCCAAAGATGGTGGGACGCGCGTTGGCAAGGCCACTCCACCCCGGGATCTGCGCGTTGCTGCACACATGTACAGTATGCTAGTGGGTTGAGCGGCTACATACCTGCTGGCTGGGCGGCAGGGGGTAGTGGTCCCCAAAGATGGTGGCGCATGCGTTGGCGAGGCCGCTCCACCCCGGGATCTGCACCACCACAGTGCAGCGTGGGTCGGATTGGAGGTTGCGCGGGTGAAGGTGTGTTTGAGTGCACTCTCACATCGTATCTGACCTGAGTAGGGCTGTGACGCCAAGGACCACAACAGCCCACCCCATGCAGACACCTCACGTCTCAAGGGACCCTACATCACAACACATCTTGCATAGCACAATGACTCACTAGGCAAAAGACAGTTATAGCAATGGCCCATCCATTGCAGACCGAAAGGAACTTGATCAGTGCAACTGGAATCACTGCAACACCTTTCCAGGCACGTCCTTCCAACCCCCCTAACTGATGCGGTGCCTGACACGTGGCGTGTCGCCATGCTGGCGAGCATTCCTAGTCAGCCGCGGTGTCCTCATCAAGGCAGGAGCACAAACTGCGAGAGATAGGGAGGGAGATGGGGAGGGAAGATGGGGAGGGGAAATAGGAACAGGAGATGGGAAGGGTAGATGGGGAGAGGGCAAATGGGGCGAACTGCGGCAAGGTGAATGATCTGCTTCTCTCGTCCATGGAGAAACGAAAGGCGTGCGGTGATGACGACAGGGGAGGGGCGATTACTCGCAGCGCGCACAACGAGACAACCACACACGAGCATCTGACACACGAGCATCTGAGTGCAAGCGTGCTTAAACTTGGTGCAATATGGAGCGGCAGCGACAAGCCAGCGAGCCACCACAGCACCAACACGAGCAGGCGGGGTGATGGAAAGCGGGAGAATGGGAAGGGGTGATGGAAAAGGGGGAAAGAGGCGGGCTGATGGAAAGCGGGAGACTGGGGCTGGGTGATGGAAAGCGGGTGAATGGGGCGGGGTGATGGAAAGAGGGAGAATGGGGACGGGTGATGGAAAGAGGGAGAATGGGGCGGGGTGATGGAAAGCGGGAGAATGGGGCGGGGTGATGGAAAGAGGGAGAATGGGGTGGGGTGATGGAAAGCGGGAGAATGGGGCGGGGTGATGGAAAGCGGGAGAATGGGGCGGGGTGATGGAAAGCAGGAGAATGGGGCGGGGTGATGGAAAGCGGGAGAATGGGACGGGGTGATGGAAAGCGGGAGAATGGGGCGGGGTGATGGAAAGAGGGAGAATGGGGTGGGGTGATGGAAAGCGGGAGAATGGGGCGGGGTGATGAAAAGAGGGAGAATGGGGCGAGGTGATGGAAAGAGGGAAAATGGGGCAGGGTGATGGAAAGAGGGCGAATGGGGTGGGGTGATGGAAAGAGGGCGAATGGGGAGGGGTGATGGAAAGAGGGAGAATGGGCCGGGTTGATGGAAAGCGGGAAAATGGGGCGGGGTGATGGAAAGCGGGAGAATGGGGCGGGGTGATGGAAAGCGGGAGAATGGGACGGGGTGATGGAAAGCGGGAGATTGGGGCGGGGTGATGGAAAGCAGGAGAATGGGGCGGGGTGATGAAAAGAGGGAGAATGGGGCGAGGTGATGGAAAGAGGGAAAATGGGGCAGGGTGATGGAAAGAGGGCGAATGGGGTGGGGTGATGGAAAGAGGGCGAATGGGGAGGGGTGATGGAAAGAGGGAGAATGGGCCGGGTTGATGGAAAGCGGGAAAATGGGGCGGGGTGATGGAAAGCGGGAGAATGAGGCCGGGTGATGGACAGGGGGAGAATAGGGCGGGGTGATGGAAAGAGGGAGAATGGGGCGGGGTGATGGAAAGCGGGAGAATGGGGCGGGGTGATGGAAAGCGGGAGAATGGGGCGGGGTGAAAGAAAGTGGGAGAACGGGGCGGGGTGATGGAAAGCGGGAGATGGGGCGGGGTGATGGAAACAGGGAGAATGGGGCGGGGTGATGGAAAGAGAAACAATGGGGCGATGTGATGGAAAGCAAGAGGATGGGGCGGGGTGTTAAAGAGAGGTAGAATAGGGAAAGGTGATGGAAAGAGGGAGAATGGGGCGGGGTGATGGAAAGGGGGTGAATGGGGCGGGGTGATGGAAAGAGGGAGAATGGGGCGGGGTGATGGAAGGAGGGAGAATGGGGCGGGGTGAGGGAAAGAGGGAGAATGGGGTGGGGTGATGGAAAGCAGGAGAATGGAGCGGGGTGATGGAAAGCGGGAGAATGGGGCGGGGTGATGGAAAGCGGGAGAGGGGGGCATGGTGATGGAAAGCGGGAAATGGGGCGGGGTGATCGAAAGCGGGAGAATGGGGCGGGGTGATGGAAAGCGGAAGAATGAGGCGGGGTGATGGAAAGCGGGAGAATGGGGCGGGGTGATGGAAATAGGAAGAATGGGGAGGGGTGATGGAAAGAGGGAGAATGGGGTGATGTGATGGAAAGCAGGAGAATGGGGCGGGGTGATAAAAAGAGGGAGAATAGAGCGGGGTGATGGAAAGGGGGCGAATGGGGCGGGGTGATGGAAAGAGGGAGAATGGGGCGGGGTGATGGAAGGAGGGAGAACGGGGCAGGGTGATGGAAAGAGGGAGAATGGGGCGGGGTGATGAAAGGAGGGAGAATGGGGCAGGGTGAAGGAAAAAGGGAGAATGGGGCGGGGTGATGGAAAGCGGGAGAATGGGGCAGGGTGATGGAAAGCGGGAGAATGGGGCGAGGTGATGGAAAACAGAGAATGGGGCGGGGTGATAGAAAAGGGGAGAATGGGGTGGGGTGATGGAAAGCAGGAGGATGGGGCGGGGTGATGGAAAGCAGGAAGATGGGGCGGGGTGATGGAAAGCGGGAAGATGGGGCGGGGTGATGGAAAGCGGGAGAATGGGGCGGGGTGATGGAAAGGGGGAGAAGGTGGCGGGGTGATGGAAAGCGGGAGAATGGGGCGGGGTGATGGAAAGCGGGAGAATGGGCCGAGGTGATGGAAAGCAGGAGTATGGGGTGAGGTGATGGAAAGCGGGAGAACGGGGCGGGGTGATGGAAAGTGGGAGATTGGGGCGGGCTGATGGAAAGCGGGAGATTGGGGCGGGGTGATGAAAAGAGGGAGAACAGGGCGGGGTGATGGAAAGGGGGCGAATGGGGCGGGGTGATGGAAAGAGGGAGAATGGGGCGGGGTGATGGAAAGAGAGGGAGAATGGGGCGAGGTGATGGAAAGAGGGAGAATGGGGCGGGGTGATGGAATGAGGGTGAATGGGCCGGGGTGATGGAAAGAGGGAGAATGGGGCGGGGTGATGGAAGGAGGGAGAATGGGGCGGGGTGATGGAAAGCGGGAGAATGAAGTGGGGTGATGGAAAGCGGGAGAATGGGGCGGGGTGATGGAAAGCAGGAGAATGGGGCGGGGTGATGGAAAGCAAGAGAATGGGGCGGGGTGATGAAAAGAGGGAGAATAGGGCGGGGTGATGGAAAGAGGGAGAATGGGGCGGGGTGATGGAAAGAGGGCGAATATGGCGGGGTGATGGAAAGAGGGAGGATGGGGCGGGATGATGGAAGGCTGGAGAACGGGGCGGGGTGATGGAAAGAGGGAGAATGGGGCGGGGTGATGGAAGAAGGAAGAATGAGGCGGGGTGAAGGAAAACGGGAGAATGGGGCGGGGTGATGGAAAGCCGGAAAATGGGGCGGGGCGCTGGAAAGCGGGATAAAAGGGCGGGGTGATGGAAAGCGGGAGAATGAGGCGGGGTGATGGAAAGTGGGAGAATGGGGCGGGGTGATGGAAATAGGGAGAATGGGGCGGGGTGATGGAAAGAGGGAGAATGGGGCGATGTGATGGAAAGCAGGAGAATGGGGCGGGGTGATAAAAAGAGGGAGAATAGGGTGGGGTGATTGAAATAAGGAGAATGGGGCTGGGTGATGGAAAGGGGGCGAATGGGGCGGGGTGATGGAAAGAGGGAGAATGGGGCGGGGTGATGGAAGGAGGGAGAATGTGGCGGGGTGAAGGAAAGAGGGAGAATGGGGCGGGGTGATGGAAAGTGGGAGATTGGGGCGGGCTGATGGAAAGCGGGAGATTGGGGCGGGGTGATGAAAAGAGGGAGAACAGGGCGGGGTGATGGAAAGAGGGAGAATAGGGCGGGGTGATGGAAATAGGGAGAATGGGGCGGGGTGATGGAAAGGGGGCGAATGGGGCGGGGTGATGGAAAGAGGGAGAATGGGGCGGGGTGATGGAAAGAGAGGGAGAATGGGGCGAGGAGATGGAAAGAGGGAGAATGGGGCGGGGTGATGGAATGAGGGTGAATGGGCCGGGGTGATGGAAAGAGGGAGAATGGGGCGGGGTGATGGAAGGAGGGAGAATGGGGCGGGGTGATGGAAAGCGGGAGAATGAAGTGGGGTGATGGAAAGCGGGAGAATGGGGCGGGGTGATGGAAAGCAGGAGAATGGGGCGGGGTGATGGAAAGCAAGAGAATGGGGCGGGGTGATGAAAAGAGGGAGAATAGGGCGGGGTGATGGAAAGAGGGAGAATGGGGCGGGGTGATGGAAAGAGGGCGAATATGGCGGGGTGATGGAAAGAGGGAGGATGGGGCGGGATGATGGAAGGAGGGAGAACGGGGCGGGGTGATGGAAAGAGGGAGAATGGGGCGGGGTGATGGAAGAAGGAAGAATGAGGCGGGGTGAAGGAAAACGGGAGAATGGGGCGGGGTGATGGAAAGCCGGAAAATGGGGCGGGGCGCTGGAAAGCGGGATAAAAGGGCGGGGTGATGGAAAGCGGGAGAATGAGGCGGGGTGATGGAAAGTGGGAGAATGGGGCGGGGTGATGGAAATAGGGAGAATGGGGCGGGGTGATGGAAAGAGGGAGAATGGGGCGATGTGATGGAAAGCAGGAGAATGGGGCGGGGTGATAAAAAGAGGGAGAATAGGGTGGGGTGATTGAAATAAGGAGAATGGGGCTGGGTGATGGAAAGGGGGCGAATGGGGCGGGGTGATGGAAAGAGGGAGAATGGGGCGGGGTGATGGAAGGAGGGAGAATGTGGCGGGGTGAAGGAAAGAGGGAGAATGGGGCGGGGTGATGGAAAGCGGGAGAATGGGGCGGGGTGATGGAAAGCGGGAGAATAGGGCAGGGTGATGGAAAGTGGGAGAGGGGGGCTGGGTGATGGAAAGCGGGAAAATGGGGCGGGGTGATGGAAAGCGGGAGAATGGGGCGGGGTGATGGAAAGCGGGAGAATGAGGCGGGGTGATGGAAAGCGGGAGAATGGGGCGGGATGATGGAAATAGGGAGAATGGGGCAGGGTAATGGAAAGAGGGAGAATGGGGTGAGAGATGGAAAGCAGGAGAATGGGGCGGGGTGATAAAAAGAGGGAGAATAGGGCGGGGTGATGGAAAGTGGGAGATTGGGGCGGGCTGATGGAAAGCGGGAGATTGGGGCGGGGTGATGAAAAGAGGGAGAACAGGGCGGGGTGATGGAAAGAGGGAGAATAGGGCGGGGTGATGGAAATAGGGAGAATGGGGCGGGGTGATGGAAAGGGGGGGAATGGGGCGGGGTGATGGAAAGAGGGAGAATGGGGCGGGGTGATGGAAAGAAAGGGAGAATGGGGCGAGGTGATGGAAAGAGGGAGAATGGGGTGGGGTGATGGAATGAGGGTGAATGGGCCGGGGTGATGGAAAGAGGGAGAATGGGGCGGGGTGATGGAAGGAGGGAGAATGGGGCGGGGTGATGGAAAGCGGGAGAATGAAGTGGGGTGATGGAAAGCGGGAGAATGGGGCGGGGTGATGGAAAGCAGGAGAATGGGGCGGGGTGATGGAAAGCAAGAGAATGGGGCGGGGTGATGAAAAGAGGGAGAATAGGGCGGGGTGATGGAAAGAGGGAGAATGGGGCGGGGTGATGGAAAGAGGGCGAATATGGCGGGGTGATGGAAAGAGGGAGGATGGGGCGGGATGATGGAAGGAGGGAGAACGGGGCGGGGTGATGGAAAGAGGGAGAATGGGGCGGGGTGATGGAAGAAGGAAGAATGAGGCGGGGTGAAGGAAAACGGGAGAATGGGGCGGGGTGATGGAAAGCCGGAAAATGGGGCGGGGCGCTGGAAAGCGGGATAAAAGGGCGGGGTGATGGAAAGCGGGAGAATGAGGCGGGGTGATGGAAAGTGGGAGAATGGGGCGGGGTGATGGAAATAGGGAGAATGGGGCGGGGTGATGGAAAGAGGGAGAATGGGGCGATGTGATGGAAAGCAGGAGAATGGGGCGGGGTGATAAAAAGAGGGAGAATAGGGTGGGGTGATTGAAATAAGGAGAATGGGGCTGGGTGATGGAAAGGGGGCGAATGGGGCGGGGTGATGGAAAGAGGGAGAATGGGGCGGGGTGATGGAAGGAGGGAGAATGTGGCGGGGTGAAGGAAAGAGGGAGAATGGGGCGGGGTGATGGAAAGCGGGAGAATGGGGCGGGGTGATGGAAAGCGGGAGAATAGGGCAGGGTGATGGAAAGTGGGAGAGGGGGGCTGGGTGATGGAAAGCGGGAAAATGGGGCGGGGTGATGGAAAGCGGGAGAATGGGGCGGGGTGATGGAAAGCGGGAGAATGAGGCGGGGTGATGGAAAGCGGGAGAATGGGGCGGGATGATGGAAATAGGGAGAATGGGGCAGGGTAATGGAAAGAGGGAGAATGGGGTGAGAGATGGAAAGCAGGAGAATGGGGCGGGGTGATAAAAAGAGGGAGAATAGGGCGGGGTGATGGAAAGGGGACGAATGGGGCGGGGTGATGGAAAGAGGGAGAATGGAGCGGGGTGATGGAAGGAGGGAGAACGGGGCCAGGTGATGGAAAGAGGGAGAATGGGGCGGGGTGATGGAAAGCGGGAGAATGGGGCGAGGTGATGGAAAGCGGAGAATGGGGCGGGGTGATGGAAAGCAAGAGAATGGGGCGGGGTGATGGAAAGGGGGAGAATGTGGCGGGGTGATGGAAAGCGGGAGAACGGGGCGGGGTGATGGAAAGCGGGAGAATGGGGCGGGGTGATGGAAAGCGGGAGAATGGGACGGGTTGATGGAAAGCGGGAGAGTGGGGCGGGGTGATGGAAAGCGGGAGAATGGGGCGGGTTGATGGAAAGCGGGAGAACAAGGCGGGGTGATGGAAAGTGGGATATTGGGGCGGGATGATGAAAAGAGGGTGAACAGGGCGGGGTGATGGAAAGAGGGAGAATGGGGCGGGATGTTGGAAAGAGGGAGAATGGGGTGGGGTGATGGAAAGGGGGCGAATGGGGCGAGGTGATGGAAAGAGGGAGAATGTGGCGGGGTGATGAAAAGAGAGGGAGAATGGGGTGGGGTGATGGAAAGAGGGAGAATGGGGCGGGGTGATGGAAAGCGGGAGAATGAAGTAGGGTGATGGAAAGCGGGAGAACGGGGCGGGGTGATGGAAAGCAGGAGAATGGGGCGGGGTGATGAAAGGAGGGAGAATGGGGCAAGGTGATGGAAAGAGGGAGAATGGGGCGGGGTGATGGAAAGAGGGCGAATGGGGCAGGGTGATGGAAAGAGGGAGAATGGGGCGAGGTGATGGAAAGAGGGCGAATGGGGTGGGGTGATGGAAAGAGGGAGAATGGGGCGGGGTGATGGAAGGAGGGAGAACGGGGCAGGGTGATGGAATGAGGGAGAATGGGGCAGGGTGATGGAAGGAGGGAGAATGGGGCAGGGTGAAGGAAAGAGGGAGAATGGGGCGGGGTGATGGAAAGCGGGAGAATGGGGCGGGGTGATGGAAAGCGGGAGAATGGGGCGAGGTGATGGAAAGCAGAGAATGGGGCGGGGTGATGGAAAGCAGGAGGATGGGGCGGGGTGATGGAAAGCGGGAAGATGGGGCGGGGTGATGGAAAGCGAGAAGATGGGGCGGGGTGATGGAAAGCGGGAGAGTGGGGCGGGGTGATGGAAAGCGGGAGAATGGGGCGGGGTGATGGAAAGCAGGAGGATGGGGCGGGGTGATGGAAAGCGGGAAGATGGGGCGGGGTGATGGAAAGCGGGAAGATGGGGCGGGGTGATGGAAAGCGGGAGAGTGGGGCGGGGTGATGGAAAGCGGGAGAATGGGGCGGGGTGATGGAAAGCGGGAAATGGGGCGGGGTGATCGAAAGCGGGAGAATGGGGCGGGGTGATGGAAAGCGGGAGAATGAGGCGGGGTGATGGAAAGCGGGAGAATGGGGCGGGTTGATGGAAATAGGGAGAATCGGGAGGGGTGATGGAAAGAGGGAGAAAGGGGTGATGTGATGGAAAGCAGGAGAATGGGGCGGGGTGATAAAAAGAGGGAGAAAAGGGCGGGGTGATGGAAAGGGGGCGAATGGGGCGGGGTGATGGAAAGAGGGAGAATGGGGCGGGGTGATGGAAGGAGGGAGAACGGGGCAGGGTGATGGAAAGAGGGAGAATGGGGCGGGGTGATGGAAGGAGGGAGAATGGGGCGGGGTGAAGGAAAGAGGGAGAATGGGGCGGGTTGATGGAAAGCGGGAGAATGGGGCGGGGTGATGGAAAGCGGGAGAATGGGGCGAGGTGATGGAAAGCAGAAAATGGGGCGAGGTGATTGAAAGCGGGAGAATGGGGCGGGGTGATGGAAAGCAGGAGGATGGGGCGGGGTGTTGGAAAGCGGGAAGATGGGGCGGGGTGATGGAAAGCAGGAAGAAAGGGCGGGGTGATGGAAAGCGGGAGAATGGGCCGGGGTGATGGAAAGCAGGAGAATGGGGCGGGGTGATGGAATGCGTGAGAAAAGGGCGGGGTGATGGCAGCGGGAGAACGGGGCGGGGTGATGTAAAGTGGGAGATTGGGGTGGGGTGATGGAAAGCGGGAGATTGGGGCGGGGTGATGAAAAGAGGGAGAACAGGGCGGGGTGATAGAAAGAGGGAGAATGGGGCGGGGTGTTGGAAAGAGGGAGAATGGGGTAGGGTGATGGAAAGGGGGCGAATGGGGCTGGGTGATGGAAAGAGGGAGAATGGGGCGAGGAGATGGAATGAGGGAGAATGGGGCGGGGTGATGTAAAGAGGGAGAATGGGGCTGGGTGATGGAAAGAGGGAGAATGGGGCGGGGTGATAGAATGAGGGAGAATGGGGCGGGGTGATGTAAAGAGGGAGAATGGGGCTGGGTGATGGAAGGAGGGAGAATGGGGCGGGATGATGGAAAGCTGGAGAATGAAGTAGGGTGAAGGAAAGCGGGAGAACGGGGCGGGGTGATGGAAAGCGGGAGAATGGGGCTGGGTGATGGAAAGCAGGAGAATGGGGCGGGGTGATGAAAGGAGGGAGAATGGGGCAGGGTGATGGAAAGAGGGAGAATGGGGCGGGGTGATGGAAAGAGGGCGAATGGGGCAGGGTGATGGAAAGAGGGAGAATGGGGCGGGGTGATGGAAAGAGGGAGAATGGGCCGGGGTGATGGAATGCGGGAGAATGGGGCGGGGTGATGGAAAGCAGGAGAATGGGGCGGGGTGATGGAAAGAGGGCGAATGGGGCGGGGTGATGGAAAGAGGGAGAATGGGGCGGGATGATGGAAAGCGGGAGAATGGGGCGGGGTGATGGAAAGCGGGAGAATGGGGCGGGGTGATGGAAAGCGGGAGTATGGGGCGGGGTGATGGAAATAGGGAGAATGGGGTGGGGTGATGGAAAGAGGGAGAATGGGGCGATGTGATGGAAAGCAGGAGAATGGGGCGGGGTGATAAAAAGAGGGAGAATAGGGCGGGGTGATGGAAAAAGGGAGGATGGGGCGGGGTGATGGAAAGGGGGTGAATGGGGCGGGGTGATGGAAAAAGGGAGAATGGGGCGAGGTGATGGAAAGAGGGACAATGGGGCGGGGTGATGGAAGGAGGGAGAATGTGGTGGGGTGAAGGAAAGAGGGAGAATGGGGCGGGGTGATGGAAAGCGGGAGAATGGGGCGAGGTGATGGAAAGCAGGAGAATTGGGAGGGGTGATGGAAAGCGGGAGAGGGGGGCTGGGTGATGGAAAGCGGGAAAATGGGGCAGGGTGATGGAAAGCGGGCGAATGGGGCGGGGTGATGGAAAGCGGGAGAATGAGGCGGGGTGATGGAAATAGGGAGAATGGGGCGGGGTGATGGAAAGAGGCATAATGGGGTGAGAGATGGAAAGCAGGAGAATGGGACGGGGTGATAAAAAGAGGGAGAATAGGGCGGGGTGATGGAAAGGGGGCGAATGGGGCAGGGTGATGGAAAGAGGGAGAATGGGGCGGGGTGATGGAAAGCGAGAGAATGGGGCGGAGTGATGGAAAGCGAGAGGATGAGGCGGGGTGATGGAAAGCGGGAAGATGGGGCGGGGTGATGGAAAGCGGGAAGATGGGGCGGGGTGATGGAAAGGGGGAGAATGTGGCGGGTTGATGGAAAGTGGGAGAACGGGGCGGGGTGATGGAAAGCGGGAGAATGGGGCGGGGAGATGGAAAGAGAGGAGAATGGGACGGGGTGATGGTATGACGTGGACGTGGAGATGGACGTGGACGTGGACGTGGATGTGGACATGGACGTGGACATGGACGTGGACGTGGACGTGGACATGGACGTGGACGTGGACAGGGACGTGGACGTGGACGTGGACGTGGACGTGGAGGTGGACATGGACGTGGACGTGGACGTGGACGTGGACCTGGACGTGGACGTGGACGTGGTCGTGGTGGTCGTGGACGTGGACATGGACGTGGTCGTGGACATGGACGTGGACGTGGACGTGGACATGGACGTGGACGTGGACGTGGACGTGGACGTGGACGTGGACATGGACGTGGAGGACGTGGACGTGGACGTGGACGTGGACGTGGACGTGGAGGACTTGGACGTGGACGTGGACGTGGACGTGGACGTGGACGTGGACGTGGACGTGGCCATGGTCGTGGACGTGGACGTGGTCGTGGACGTGGCCATGGTCGTGGACATGGACGTGGACGTGGACCTGGACGTGGACGTGGACGTGGACTTGGACGTGGACGTGGACGTGGACCTGGACGTGGACGTGGACGTGGACCTGGACCTGGACGTCGACGTGGACGTGGTCGTGGACGTCGACCTGGACGTGGACGTCGACCTGGACGTGGACGTCGACCTGGACGTCGACGTCGACGTCGACGTGGACGTGGTCGTGGACGTGGACGTGGACGTGGACGTGGTTGTGGACGTTGACGTGGTTGTGGACGTGGACGTGGACGTGGACGTGGACGTGGAGGACGTGGACGTGGACGTGGACGTAGACGTCGACGTGGACGTGGTCGTGGACATGGAGGACTTGGACGTAGACGTCGACGTGGACGTCGACGTGGAGGATGTGGACGTGGAGGACGTGGACGTGGACGTGGAGGACGTGGACGTGGATGTGGACGTGGACGTAGACGTGGACGTGGTCGTGGACATGGAGGACTTGGACGTGGACGTGGACGTGGATGTGTTCGTGTTCGTGGTCGTGGACGTGGACGTGGACGTGGAAGACGTGGACGTGGACGTGGACGTGGACGTGGACGTGGTTGTGGACGTGGACGTGGACGTGGTCGTGGACGTGGACGTGGACTTGGGCGTGGACGTGGACGTGGACGTGGACGTGGAGGACGTGGACGTGGACATGGACGTGGACATGGACGTGGACGTGGACCTGGAGGTGGACGTGGACGTGGACCTGGACGTGGACGTCGACGTGGACTTGGACGTGGACGTGGACGTGGACGTGGACGTGGACGTGGATGTGGACGTGGTCGTGGAGTGGACGTGGTCGTGGACGTGGTCGTGGACATGGACGTGGTCGTGGAGGACGTGGACGTGGACGTGGAGTACGTGGACATGGACGAGGACGTGGACGTGGACGTCGAATAGTACGTGGACGTGGACGTGGACCTGGGCGTGGACGTGGACGTGGACCTGGACTTGGACGTGGACATGGTCGTGGAGTGGACGTGGTCGTGGACATGGACGTTGACGTGGTCGTGGACGTGGTCGTGGTCGTGGTCGTGGACGTGGTCGTGGTCTTGGACGTGGACGTGGTCGTGGACGTAGACGTGGACGTGGACGTCGTCGCGAACGTGGAGGACTTGGACGTGGACGTGGACGTGGTCGTGGACGTGGACGCGGACCTGGACGTGGACGTGGTCGTGGACGTGGTCGTGGTCGTGGACGTGGAGGACGTGGTCGTGGACGTAGACGTGGACGTGGAAGTGGACGTGGTCGTAGTCGTGGACGTGGTCGTAGACGTGGACGTGGTAGTCCACGACGTGGACGTGGACGTGGACGTGGATATGGACGTGGTCGTGGACGTGGAGGACTTGGACGTGGACGTGGACGTGGTCTTGGACGTGGACGTGGACGTGGACGTGGTCGTGGACGTGGACGTGGTCGTGGACGTGGACGTGGACTTGGACGTGGACGTGGACGTGGACGTGGTCGTGGATGTGGAGGACTTGGACGTGGACATGGACGTGGACGTGGACGTGGACGTGGACCTGGAGGTGGTCGTGGACGTGGACGTGGTCGTGGACGTGGACGTGGTCGTGGAGGACGTAGACGTGGACGTGGACGTGGTCTTGGACGTGGACGTGGACGTGGACGTGGTCGTGGACGTGGACGTGGTCGTGGACGTGGACGTGGACGTGGACTTGGACGTGGACGTGGACGTGGACGTGGTCGTGGATGTGGAGGACTTGGACGTGGACATGGACGTGGACGTGGACGTGGACGTGGACCTGGAGGTGGTCGTGGACGTGGACGTGGTCGTGGACGTGGACCTGGACGTGGACGTAGACGTGGACGTGGACCTGGACGTGGACGTGGACGTGGACATGGACTTGGATGTGGACGTGGATGTGGACGTGGTTTTTGAGTGGACGTGGTCGTAGACGTCGACGTCGACGTGGACGTGGACGTGGTCGTGGACGTGGACGTGGACGTGGACGTTGACGTGGTCGTGGACGTGGTCGTGGTCATGGTCGTGGACGAGGTCATGGACGTGGACGTGGATGTGGACGTGGACGTGTTCGTGGACGTGGACGTGGACGTGGACGTGGTCGTGGACGTGGTCATGGACGTGGACGCGGTCGTGGACGTGGTCGTGGACGTGCACGTGGACATGGTCGGGGACGTGGACGTGGAGGACGTGGACGTGGAGGACGTGGACGTGGCGGACGGGGACGTGGTCGTGGTCGTGGACGTGGTCGTGGACGTGGACGTGGACGTGGTCGTGGACGTGGACGTGGACGTGGACGTGGACGTGGACGTGGACCTGGACGTGGACGTGGACCTGGACCTGGACGTGGACCTGGACCTGGACCTGGACGTGTACGTGGACGTGGTCGTGGACGTCGACGTGGACGTGGACGTGGACGTGGTCGTGGACGTCGACGTGGACGTGGACGTGGACGTCGTCGTGGACGTGGACGTGGTCGTGGACGTGGACGTGAACGTGGACGTGGTTGTGGACGTGGACGTGGTTGTGGACGTGGACGTGGACGTGGACGTGGACGTGGACGTGGACATGAACGTGGACGTGGACGTGGACGTGGAGGACTTGGACGTGGACTTGGACGTGGACGTCGATGTGGACGTGGACGTGGACATGGAGGACTTGGACGTGGACTTGGACGTGGACGTGGACGTGGACGTGGTCGTGGACGTGGACGTGGACGTGGTCGTGGACGTGGACGTGGTCGTGGACGTGGACGTGAACTTGGACGTGGACGTGGACGTGGACGTGGACGTGGACGTGGACGTGGAGGACGTGGACGTGGACGTGGACTTGGAGGTGGACGTGGACGTGGACCTGGACGTGGACGTCGACGTGGACCTGGACGTGGACGTGGACGTGGACCTGGACGTGGACGTGGACGTGGATGTGGACGTGGTCGTGGAGTGGACGTGGTCGTGGACGTGGTCGTGGACGTGGACGTGGTCGTGGAGGACGTGGACGTAGACGTGGACATGGACGAGGACGTGGACGTGGACGTGGACGTCGAATAGGACGTGGACGGGACGTGGACGTGGACCTGGGCGTGGACGTGGACGTGGACGTGGACTTGGACTTGGACGTGGACGTGGTCGTGGAGTGGACGTGGTCGTCGAAGTGGACGTTGACGTGGTCGTGGACGTGGTCGTGGTCGTGGTCGTGGACGTGGTCGTGGTCTTGGACGTGGACGAGGTCGTGGACGTGGACGTGGACGTGGACGTCGTCGCGAACGTGGAGGACTTGGACGGGGACGTGGACGTGGTCGTGGACGTGGACGCGGACCTGGACGTGGACGTGGTCGTGGACGTGGTCGTGGTCGTGGACGTGGAGGACGTGGTCGTGGACGTGGACGTGGACGTGGAAGTGGACGTGGTCGTGGTCGTGGACGTGGTCGTAGACGTGGACGTGGTCGTCCACGACGTGGACGTGGACGTGGACGTGGACATGGACGTGGTCGTGGACGTGGAGGACTTGGACATGGACGTGGATGTGGACGTGACCTGGACGTGGACGTGGACGTGGACGTGGTCGTGGACGTGGACGTGGTCGTGGAGGACGTGGACGTGGACGTGGACGTGGTCTTGGACGTGGACGTGGACGTGGACGTGGTCGTGGACGTGGACGTGGTCGTGGACGTGGACGTGGACGTGGACTTGGACGTGGACGTGGACGTGGACGTGGTCGTGGATGTGGAGGACATGGACGTGGACATGGACGTGGACGTGGACGTGGACGTGGACCTGGAGGTGGTTGTGGACGTGGACGTGGACGTGGACGTGGACGTAGACGTGGACGTGGACATGGACTTGGATATGGACGTGGATGTGGACGTGGTTTTGGAGTGGACGTGGTCGTGGACGTCGACGTGGACGTGGACGTGGACGTGGTCGTGGACGTGGACGTGGACGTTGACGTGGTCGTGGACGTGGTCGTGGTCATGGTCGTGGACGAGGTCGTGGACGTGGACGTGGACGTGGACGTGTTCGTGGACGTGGACGTGGACATGGACGTCGTTGTGGACGTGGTCGTGGACGTGGACGTGGACGTGGTAGTGGACGTGGTCGTGGACGTGCACGTGGACGTGGTCGTGGACGTGGACGTGGAGGACGTGGACGTGGAGGACGTGGAGGACGTGGACGTAGATGTGGACGTGGATCTAGATGTCGATGTGGACGTGGTCGTGGACATGGAGGACTTGGACGTGGACGTGGACGTGGAAGTGGAGGACCTGGACGTGGACGTGGACGTAGACGTGCACGTGGACGTGGTCGTGGACATGGAGGACTTGGACGTGGACGTGGACGTGGACGTGGTCGTGGACGTGGACGTGGACGTGGTCGTGGACGTGGACGTGGACGTGGACGTGGACGTGGACTTGGACGTGGACGTGGACGTGGACGTGGACGTGGACGTGGATGTGGACGTGGACGTTGACGTGGTCGTGGACGTGGTCGTGGTCGTGGACGTGGACGTGGTCGTGGTCTTGGACGTGGACGTGGTCGTGGACGTGGACGTCGTCGTGGACGTGGTCGTGGACGTGGACGTGGACGTGGACGTGGTCGTAGACGTGGACGCGGACCTGGACGTGGACGTGGTCATGGACGTGGTCGTGGTCATGGACGTGGAGGACGTGGTCGTGGACGTGGACGTGGACGTGGTCGTGGTCGTGGACGTGATCGTAGACGTGGACGTGGTCGTCCACAATGTGGACGTGGACGTGGACGTGGACATGGACGTGGTCGTGGACGTGGAGGACTTGGACGTGGAGGTGGACGTGGACCTGGACGTGGACGTGGACGTGGTCGTGGAGGACGTGGACGTGGACGTGGACGTGGACGTGGACGTGGACGTGGTCGTGGAGGACGTGGACGTGGACGTGGACGTGGACATGGACGTGGACGTGGTCGTGGACGTGGACGTGGACGTGGTCGTGGACGTGGACGTGGACATGGTCGTGGACGTGGAGGACGTGGACGTGGACGTGGACGTGGACTTGGACGTGGACGTGGACGTGGACGTGGACGTGGACGTGGTCGTGGACGTGGATGTGGACGTGGACATGGACGTGGACGTGGACGTGGACGTGGACGTGGACCTTGACCTGGACGTGGACGTGGACGTGGACCTGGACGTGGACGTGGACGTGGACCTGGACTTGGACGTGGTCGTGGACGTCGACGTGGACGTGGACGTGGACGTGGACGTGGTCGTGGACGTGGACGCGGACCTGGACGTGGACGTGGTCATGGACGTGGTCGTGGTCGTGGACGTGGAGGACGTGGTCGTGGACGTGGACGTGGACGTGGTCGTGGTCGTGGACGTGGTCGTAGACGTGGACGTGGTCGTCCACAACGTGGACGTGGACGTGGACGTGGACATGGACGTGGTCGTGGACGTGGAGGACTTGGACGTGGAGGTGGACGTGGACCTGGACGTGGACGTGGACGTGGACGTGGACGTGGACGTGGACGTGGTCGTGGAGGACGTGGACGTGGACGTGGACATGGACGTGGACGTGGTCGTGGACGTGGACGTGGACGTGGACGTGGTCGTGGACGTGGACGTGGACATGGTCGTGGACGTGGACGTGGACGTGGACGTGGACGTGGACTTGGACGTGGACGTGGACGTGGACGTGGACGTGGACGTGGTCGTGGACGTGGATGTGGACGTGGACATGGACGTGGACGTGGACGTGGACGTGGACGTGGACCTTGACCTGGACGTGGACGTGGACGTGGACCTGGACGTGGACGTGGACGTGGACCTGGACTTGGACGTGGTCGTGGACGTCGACGTGGACGTGGAGTGGACGTGGACGTCGATGTCGACGTGGACATGGACGTGGACGTGGTCGTGGACGTCGACGTGGACGTGGACGTGGACGTGGAGGACGTGGACATGGACGTGGACGTGGACCTGGACGTGGACGTGGACGTGGACGTGGACGTGGAGGACGTGGACGTGGACGTGGACGTGGACGTGGACGTGGACGTGGTCGTGGACGTGGACGTGGACGTGGACGTGGACGTGGCCGTGGACGTGGACGTGGACGTGGACGTGGACGTGGAGGTGGACCTGGTCGTGGAGGTGGACGTTGACGTGGACGTGGACGTGGACGTGGACGTGGACGTGGACGTGGACGTGGACGTGGACGTGGACGTGGACGTGGACGTGGACGTGGACGTGGACGTGGACGTGGACGTGGACGTGGACGTGGACTGGACGTGGACGTGGACGTGGACGTGGACGTGGACGTGGACGTGCACGTGGACGTGGACGTGGACGTGGACGTGGACGTGGACGTGGACGTGGACGTGGATATGGACGTGGACGTGGATATGGACGTGGATATGGACGTGGTTTTGGAGTGAACGTGGTCGTGGACGTCGACGTGGACGTGGACGTGGACGTGGACGTAGACGTGGTCGTGGACGTGGACGTTGACGTGGTCGTGGACGTGGTCGTGGTCATGGTCGTGGACGAGGTCGTGGACATGGACGTGGACGTAGACGTGTTCGTTGACGTGGACGTGGACGTGGACATGGACGTCGTCGTGGACGTGGTCGTGGACGTGGACGTGGACGTGGTAGTGGACGTGGTCGTGGACGTGCACATGGACGTGGTCGTGGACGTGGACGTGGAGGACGTGGACGTGGAGGACGTGGACGTGGACGTGGAGGACGTGGACGTAGACGTGGACGTGGACGTGGACGTGGACGTGGACCTTGACCTGGACGTGGACGTGGACGTGGACCTGGACGTGGACGTGGACGTGGACCTGGACTTGGACGTGGTCGTGGACGTCGACGTGGACGTGGAGTGGACGTGGACGTCGATGTCGACGTGGACATGGACGTGGACGTGGTCGTGGACGTCGACGTGGACGTGGACGTGGACGTGGAGGACGTGGACATGGACGTGGACGTGGACCTGGACGTGGACGTGGACGTGGACGTGGACGTGGACGTGGAGGACGTGGACGTGGACGTGGACGTGGACGTGGACGTGGACGTGGTCGTGGACGTGGACGTGGACGTGGACGTGGACGTGGCCGTGGACGTGGACGTGGACGTGGACGTGGACGTGGAGGTGGACCTGGTCGTGGAGGTGGACGTTGACGTGGACGTGGACGTGGACGTGGACGTGGACGTGGACGTGGACGTGGACGTGGACGTGGACGTGGACGTGGACGTGGACGTGGACGTGGACGTGGACGTGGACGTGGACGTGGACTTGGACGTGGACGTGGACGTGGACGTGGACGTGGACGTGGACGTGCACGTGGACGTGGACGTGGACGTGGACGTGGACGTGGACGTGGATATGGACGTGGACGTGGATATGGACGTGGATATGGACGTGGTTTTGGAGTGGACGTGGTCGTGGACGTCGACGTGGACGTGGACGTGGACGTGGACGTAGACGTGGTCGTGGACGTGGACGTTGACGTGGTCGTGGACGTGGTCGTGGTCATGGTCGTGGACAAGGTCGTGGACATGGACGTGGACGTAGACGTGTTCGTGGACGTGGACGTGGACGTGGACATGGACGTCGTCGTGGACGTGGTCGTGGACGTGGACGTGGACGTGGTAGTGGACGTGGTCGTGGACGTGCACATGGACGTGGTCGTGGACGTGGACGTGGAGGACGTGGACGTGGAGGACGTGGACGTGGACGTGGAGGACGTGGACGTAGACGTGGACGTGGATGTAGACGTCGACGTGGACGTGGTCGTGGACATGGAGGACTTGGACGTGGACGTGGACGTGGAAGTGGAGGACGTGGATGTGGAGGAGGTGGACGTGGACGTGGAGGACCTGGACGTGGACGTGGACGTAGACGTGCACGTGGACGTGGTCGTGGACATGGAGGACTTGGACGTGGACGTTGACGTGGACGTGGTCGTGGACGTGGACGTGGACATGGAGGACGTAGACGTGGATGTGGACGTGGTCGTGGACGTGGACGTGGACGTGGTCGTGGACGTGGACGTGGACGTGGACTTGGACGTGGACGTGGACGTGGACGTGGACGTGGATGTGGACGTGGACGTTGACGTGGTCGTGGACGTGGTCGTGGTCGTGGTCGTGGACGTGGTCGTGGTCTTGGACGTGGACGTGGTCGTGGACGTGGACGTGGACGTGGACGTCGTCGTGAACGTGGAGGACTTGGACGTTGACGTGGACGTGGTCGTGGACGTGGACGCGGACCTGGACGTGGACGTGGACATGGACGTGGTCGTGGACGTGGAGGACTTGGACGTGGACGTGGAGGTGGACGTGGACCTGGACGTGGATGTGGACGTGGACGTGGACGTGGTCGTGGAGGACGTGGACGTGGACGTGGACTTGGACATGGACGTGGTCGTGGACGTGGAGGACTTGGACGTGGACGTGGAGGTGGACGTGGACCTGGACGTGGATGTGGACGTGGACGTGGACGTGGTCGTGGAGGACGTGGACGTGGACGTGGACGTGGACATGGACGTGGACGTGGTCGTGGACGTGGACGTGGTCGTGGACGTGGACGTGGACATGGTCGTGGACGTGGACGTGGACGTGGACGTGGACGTGGAATTGGACGTGGACGTGGACGTGGACGTGGACGTGGTCGTGGACGTGGAGGACTTTGACGTGGACATGGACGTGGACGTGGACGTGGACGTGGACCTTGAGGTGGTCGTGGACGTGGACGTGCTCGTGGACGTAGATGTGGACCTGGACGTGGACGTGGACGTGGACCTGGACGTGGACGTGGACGTAGACGTGGACGTGGACGTGGACGTGGATGTGGACGTGGTCGTGGAGTGGACGTGGTCGTGGACGTCGACGTGGATGTGGACGTGGACGTGGTCGTGGACGTCGACGTGGACGTGGACGTGGACGTGGTCGTGGACGTGGACGTGGACGTGGACGTTGACGTGGTCGTGGACGTGGTCGTGGTCATGGTCGTGGACGTGGTCGTGGACGTGGACGTGGACGTGGACGTGGTCGTGGACGTGGACGTGGACGTCGTCGTGGACGTGGACGTGGTCGTGGACGTGGACGTGGACGTGGACGTGGTTGTGGACGTGGACGTGGTTGTGGACGTGGACGTGGACGTGGACGTGGACGTGGAGGACGTGGACGTGGAGGACGTGGACGTGGACGTGGAGGACGTGGACGTGGACGTGGACGTGGACGTAGACGTCGACGTGGACGTGGTCGTGGACATGGAGGACTTGGACGTGGACGTCGACGTGGACGTGGACGTGGAGGATGTGGACGTGGAGGACGTGGACGTGGACGTGGAGGACGTGGACGTGGACGTAGACGTGGACGTGGTCGTGGACATGGAGGACTTGGACGTGGACGTGGACGTGGACGTGGATGTGTTCGTGGTCGTGGATGTGGACGTGGACGTGGAAGACGTGGACGTGGACGTGGACGTGGAAGACGTGGACGTGGACGTGGACGTGGACGTGGACGTGGACATGGTCATGGACGTGGACGTGGACGTGGACGTGGACGTGGACGTGGTCGTGGACGTGGTCGTGGACGTGGACATGGACGTGGACATGGACGTGGACATGGACGTGGACATGGACGTGGACGTGGACGTGGACGTGGACGTGGACGTGGACGTGGACGTGGACGTGGACGTGGACGTGGACGTGGACGTGGACGTGGACGTGGACGTGGACGTGGACGTGGACGTGGACGTGGACGTGGACGTGGACGTGGACATGGACATGGACGTGGACGTAGACGTGGACATGGACGTGGACGTGGACGTGGACATGGACGTGGACGTGGACGTGGACGTGGACATGGAGGTGGACATGGACGTGGACATGGACGTGGTGGACATGGACGTGGACGTGGACGTGGACGTGGACATAGACGTGGAGGTGGACGTGGACGTGGACGTGGACGTGGACGTGGACGTGGAGGTGGACGTGGACGTGGACGTGGACGTGGACGTGGAGGTGGACGTGGACGTGGACGTGGACTTGGACGTGGACGTGGACGTGGACGTGGACGTGGACGTAGACGTGGACGTGGACGTGGACGTGGACGTGGACGTGGACTGGACGTGGACGTGGACGTGGACGTGGACGTGGACGTGGACGTGGACGTGGACATGGACGTGGACGTGGACGTGGACGTGGACATGGACGTGGTGGACGTGGACGTGGACATGGACGTGGACGTGGACGTGGACGGTCGTGGACGTGGACGTGGACGTGGACGTGGTCGTGGACGTGGACGTGGACGTGGACGTGGACCTGGTCGTGGACGTGGACGTGGACGTGGACGTGGACCTGGTCGTGGACGTGGACGTTGACGTGGACGTGGTCGTGGACGTTGACGTGGACGTGGTCGTGGACGTGGACATGGACGTCGACATGGTCGTGGACGTGGACGTCGACGTGGACGTGGACATGGACGTGGATATGGACATGGACGTGGACGTGGACATGGACATGGACGTGGACGTGGACATGGACGTGGACATGGACGTGGACGTGGACCTGGACGTGGACGTGGACCTGGACGTGGACCTGGACGTGGACGTGGACGTGGAGGTGGACATGGACGTGGACCTGGACATGGACGTGGACATGGACGTGGACGTGGACATGGACGTGGACATGGACGTGGACGTGGACGTGGACATGGACGTGGACGTGGACGTGGACGTGAACGTGGACGTGGACGTGGACGTGGACATGGACGTGGACGTGGACGTGGAGGACTTGGACGTGGACATGGACGTGGACGTGAATGTGGACGTGGACATGGACGTGGACGTGGACATGGACGTGGACGTGGACGTGGACGTCGACCTGGACGTGGACGTGGACCTGGACTTGGACGTGGACGTGGATGTGGACGTGGTCGTGGAGTGGACGTGGTCGTGGACGTCGACGTGGACGTGGTCGTGGACGTGGACGTGGACGTGGACGTTGACGTGGTCGTGGACGTGGTCGTGGACATGGTCGTGGACGTGGTCGTGGTCGTGGATGTGGACGTGGACGTGGACGTGGTCGTGGACGTGGACGTGGTTGTGGTCGTGGACGTGGAGGACGTGGTCGTGGACGTGGACGTGGTCGTGGACGTGGACGTGGACGTGGTCGTGGACGTGGACGTGGTCGCGGACGTGGAGGACTCGACGTGGACGAGGTCGTGGACGTGGACGTGGACGTGGTCGTGGACGTGGACGTGGACGTGGTCGTGGACGTGGAGGAGTGGACGTGGACGTGGACGTGGACATGGACGTGGTCGTGGAGGTGGAAGACTTGGACGTGGACGTGGACGTGGAGGACTCGGACGTGGACGTGGACCTGGACGTGGACGTGGACGTGGTCGTGGACGTGGACGTGGTCGTGGACGTGGTCATGAATGTGGACGTACATGGACGTGGACGTACGTGGTCGTGGACGTCGATGTATATGTGGACGTGGTTGTGGACGTGGTCGTGGACGTGGTCGTGCAGTCGCGGACGCGGTCGCGGACTCGGTTGTGGACGTAGACGCGGACGGGGGCGGACATGGACGCGTTCGTGGGGGCGGACGTGGACGCGGTCGTGGATGCGGACGCGGACGCGGTCGCGGACGTGGACGCGGACGTGGACGCGGTCGTGGACGCGGACGTGGACGTGGACGTGGTCGTGGTCGTGGTAGTGGAGGACGTGGTCGTGGACGTGGTCGTGGACGTGGACGTGGACGTGGACGTGGTCGTGATCGTGGACGTGGACGTGGTCGTGATCGTGGACCTGGACTTGGACGTGGACGTGGTCATGGACCTGGACGTGGACGTGGTTGGGTCGTGGACGTGGACACGTGGACGTATACGTGGACGTGGACATAGTCGTGGTCATGGACGTGGACGTGGACGTGGACGTGGACATGGTCATGGACGTGGACGTGGACGACGTGGACGTGGTCGTTGACGTGGAGGACGTGGACGTGAACGTGGTCGTGGACGTGGACGTGGACGTGGTCCTGGACGTGGACGTGGTCGTGGACGTGGTCGTGGGCGTGGACGTGGTCGTGGTCGTGCACGTGGACGTGGGCGTGGACGTGGGCGTGGGCGTGGGCGTGGACGTCCAGGGTTTAGGGTTTAGGGTTTAGGTTTTAGGGTTTAGGGTTTAGGGTTTAGGGACGTAAACCATAAACCCTAAACCCTCCACGACCACGTCCACGTCCACGTCCAAGTCCACGTCCACGTCCACGTCCACGTCCAGGACCACGTCCACGTCCACGTCCACGTCCAAGTCCTCCACGTCCACGACCACGTCCATGTCCACGTCCACGTCCACGTCCACGTCCACGTCCAAGTCCACGTCGTAGACGATCACGTGCACGTCCACGACCACGTCCACCACCACGTCCACGTCCACGTCCACGACCACGTCCACGTCCACGTCCAAGTCCAGGGCCACGTCCGCGTCCACGTCCACTAGCACGTCCGCGTCCACGTCCACGTCCACGTTGAAGTCCTCCACGTCCATGTCCACGTCCTCCACCACGTCCACGTCCACGTCCATGTCCACGTCCAGGTCCACGTCCATGACCACGTCCACGACCACGTCCACGTCCATGTCCTCCACGTCCACGTCCAAGTCCTCCACGTCCAAGTCCAAGTCCTCCACGTCCACGACCACGTCAACGTCCACGTCAACGTCAACATCCACGTCCACGTCCACGACCACGTCCACGTCCACGTCCACATCCACGTCCACGTCCTCGACCACGTCCATGACCACGTCCACGTCCACGACCACGTCCACGTCCACGTCCAAGTCCAGGTCCACGTCCGCGTCCACGTCCACGACCACGTCCGCGTCCACGTCCACGTCCACCTCCACGTCCTCCACCACGTCCACGTCCAGGTCCACGTCCATGACCACGTCCACGACCACGTCCACGTTCATGTCCACGTCCACGTCCACGTCCACGACCACGTCCACGTCCACGTCCTCCACGTCCAGGTCCACGTCCACGACCACGTCCACGTCCACGTCCACGTCCACGTCCACGTCCAAGTCCTCAATGTCCACGACCACGTCCACGTCTACGTCCACGTCCACGTCCACGTCAACGTCCACGTCCTCGACCACGTCCTCCACATCCACGACCACGACCACGTCCACGACCACGTCCACGTCCAGGTCCGCGTCCACGTCCACGTCCACGTCCAAGTCCACGTCCACGTCCACGTCCACGTCCAAGTCCACGTCCACGTCCACGACCACGTCCACGTCTACGACCACGTCCACGACCACGACCACGTCCATGTCCACGTCCACGTCCACGACCACGTCCTCCACGTCCACGACCACGACCACGTCCACGACCAGGTCCACGTCCAGGTCCGCGTCCACGTCCACGACCACGTCCACATCCAGGTCCACCTCCACCTCCACGTCCACGTCCACGTCCACGTCCACGACCACGTCCACGACCACGTCCACGTCCAGGTCCGCGTCCACGTCCACGACCACGTGCACGTCCAGGTCCACGTCCACGTCCATGTCCAAGTCCACGCCCACGTCCACGTCCACGTCCAAGTCCACGTCCACGTCCACGCCCACGTCCACGTCCACGACGACGTCCACGTCCACGTCCACGTCCACGTCCAAGTCCACGTCCAGGTCCACGTCCACGACCACGTCCACGTCCATGACCACGTCCACGTCCACGTCCACGTCCACCTCCAAGTCCTCCACGTCCACAACCACGTCCACGTCCACGTTTACGTCCACGTCCACGTCCTCCACGACCACGTCCACGTCCACAACCACGTCCACGTCCACGTCCACGACCACGTCCACGTCCACGACCACGTCCACGTCCACGTCCACATCCACGACCACGTCCACGTCCACGACCACGTCCACGTCCACGTCCATGTCCACGACCACGTCCACGTCCACGACGACGTCCACGTCCACGTCCACGTCCACGACCACGTCCACGTCCACGTCCACGACCACGTCCACGACCATGACCACGACCACATCCACGACCACGTCAACGTCCACGTCCACGTCCACGTCCACGACCACGTCCACGTCCACGTCGACGTCCACGACCACGTCCACGACCACGTCCACGACCATGACCACGACCACGTCCACGACCACGTCAACGTCCACGTCCACGTCCATGACCACGACCACGTCCACGACCACGTCAACGTCCACGTCCACGTCCACGTCCACGACCACGTCCACGTCCACGTCGACGTCCACGACCACGTCCACTCCACGACCACGTCCACATCCACGTCCACGTCCAAGTCCAGGACCACGTCCACGTCCACGTCCAGGTCCACATCCACGTCCACGTCCAGGTCCACGTCCACGTCCACGACCACGTCCACGTCCACGACCACCTCCAGGTCCACGTCCAAGTCCACGTCCATGTCCACGTCCAAGTCCTCCACGTCCACGACCACGTCCACGTCCACGTCCACGTCCACGTCCAAGTCCACGTCCACGTCCACGTCCACGTCCACGTCCACGACCACATCCACGTCCAAGTCCACGACCACGTCCACGTCCACGTCCACGTCCTCCACGTCCACGTCCACGTCCACGTCCACGTCCACGTCCAAGTCCTCCATGTCCACGACCACGTCCACGTGCACGTCTACGTCCACGTCCACGTCCACGTCCTCCACGTCCACGTCCACCTCCTCAACATCCACGTCCTCCACGTCCACGTCCACGTCCACGTCCAAGTCCTCCATGTCCACGACCACGTCCACGTCGACGTCTACGTCCACGTCCACGTCTACGTCCACGTCCTCCACGTCCACGTCCACGTCCTCCACGTCCACGTCCTCCACGTCCACGTCCACTACCACGTCCACGTGCACGTCCACCACCACGTCCACGTCCACGACCACGTCCATGTCCACGTCCACGACCACGTCCACGACGACGTCCACGTCCACGTCCACGTCCACGTCCACGAACACGTCCACGTCCACGTCCACGTCCACGACCTCGTCCACGACCATGACCACGACCACGTCCACGACCACGTCAACGTCCACGTCCACGTCCACGTCCACGACCACGTCCACGTCCACGTCCATGTCGACATCCACGACCACGTCCACTCCACGACCACGTCCACATCCACGTCCACATCCAAGTCCATGTCCACGTCCACGTCCACGTCCAGGTCCACGTCCACGTCCATGTCCAGGTCCACGTCCACGACCACGTCCACGTCAACGACCACCTCCAGGTCCACGTCCACGTCCACGTCCAGGTCCATGTCCACGTCCAAGTCCTCCACGTCCACGACCACGTCCACGTCCACGTCCACGTCCAAGTCCACGTCCACGTCCACGTCTACGTCCACGACCACGTCCACGTCCACGTCCACGACCACGTCCACATCCACGTCCACGTCCAAGACCACGTCCACGTCCACGTCCACGTCCTCCACGTCCACGTCCACGTCCACGTCCACGACCACGTCCACGTCCACGTCCAGGTCCACGTCCACATCCACGTCCACGTCCAAGTCCTCCACGTCCACGACCACGTCCATGTCCACGTCCACGTCCACGTCCACGTCGTGGACGACCACGTCCACGTCTACGACCACGTCCACGACCACGACTACGTCCACGTCCACGTCCACGTCCACGACCACGTCCTCCACGTCCACGACCACGACCACGTCCACGACCACGTCCACGTCCAGGTCCGCGTCCACGTCCAAGACCACGTCCACGTCCACATCCAAGTCCTCCACGTTCACGACGACGTCGACGTCCACATCCACGTCCACGACGACGTCCACGTCCAAGACCACGACCAGGTCCACGACCACGACCACGACCGCGTCCATGACCACGTCAACGTCCACGTCCACTCCACGACCACGTCCACGTCCAAGTCCAGGTCCACGTCCACGTCCACGTCCACGCCCAGGTCCACGTCCACGTCCACGTCCTATTCGACGTCCACGTCCACGTCCACGTCGACGTCCACGTCCACGTCCTCGTCCACATCCACGTCCTCCATGTCCACGTCCATGTCCTCCACGACCACGTCCACGTCCACGACCACGTCCACGACCACGTCCACTCCACGACCACGTCCACATCCATGTCCACGTCCACGTCCAGGTCCACGTCCACCTCCACGTCCAGGTCCACGTCGACGTCCACGTCCAGGTCCACGTCCACGACCACCTCCAGGTCCACGTCCACGTCCACGTCCACGTCCATGTCCACGTCCACGTCCTCCACGTCCACGTCCACGTCCACGTCCAAATCCACGTCCACGTCCACGACCACGTCCACGTCCACGTCCACGACCACGTCCACGTCCACGTCCACGTCCACGTCTTCCACGTCCACGTCCACGTCCACGTCCACGTCCAAGTCCTCCATGTCCACGACCACGTCCACGTCTACGTCTACGTCCACGTCCACGTCCATGTCCTCCACGTCCACGTCCACGTCCACGTCCTCCACGTCCTCCACGTCCACATCCTCCACGTCCACGTCCACGTCCAAGTCCTCCATGTCCACGACCACGTCCACGTCGATGTCTACGTCCACGTCCACGTCCACGTCCAAGTCCTCCATGTCCACGTCCACGTCCTCCACGTCCACGTCCACGTCCACGTCCAAGTCCTCCATGTCCACGTCCACGTCCTCCACGTCCACGTCCTCCACGTCGACATCCTCCACGTCCACGTCCACGTCAACGTCTATGTCCACAACCACGTCCACGTCCACGTCCACGACCACGTCCACGACCACGTCCACGTCCAGGTCCGCGTCCACGTCCACGACCACGTCCACGTCCAGGTCCACGTCCACCTCCACGTCCACGTCCACGACCACGTCCACGTCCAGGTCCACGTCCACATCCACGTCCACGTCCTCGACCACGTCCTCCACGTCCACGACCACGACCACGTCCACGACCACGTCCACGTCCAGGTCCGCGTCCACGTCCACGTCCACGTCCAAGTCCACGTCCACGTCCACGTCCACGTCCAAGTCCACGTCCACGTCCACGACCACGTCCACGTCTACGACCACGTCCACGACCACGACCACGTCCATGTCCACGTCCACGTCCACGACCACGTCCTCCACGTCCACGACCACGACCACGTCCACGACCAGGTCCACGTCCAGGTCCGCGTCCACGTCCACGACCACGTCCACATCCAGGTCCACCTCCACCTCCACGTCCACGTCCACGTCCACGACCACGACCACGTCCACGACCACGTCCAGGTCCAGGTCCGCGTCCACGTCCACGACCACGTGCACGTCCAGGTCCACGTCCACGTCCATGTCCAAGTCCACGCCCACGTCCACGTCCACGTCCAAGTCCACGTCCACGTCCACGCCCACGTCCACGTCCACGTCCACGACGACGTCCACGTCCACGTCCACGTCCACGTCCAAGTCCACGTCCAGGTCCACGTCCACGACCACGTCCACGTCCATGACCACGTCCACGTCCACGTCCACGTCCACCTCCAAGTCCTCCACGTCCACAACCACGTCCACGTCCACGTTTACGTCCACGTCCACGTCCTCCACGAACACGTCCACGTCCACAACCACGTCCACGTCCACGTCCACGACCACGTCCACGTCCACGACCACGTCCACGTCCACGTCCACGTCCACGACCACGTCCACGTCCACGACCACGTCCACGTCCACGTCCATGTCCACGACCACGTCCACGTCCACGACGACGTCCACGTCCACGTCCACGTCCACGACCACGTCCACGTCCACGTCCACGACCACGTCCACGACCATGACCACGACCACATCCACGACCACGTCAACGTCCACGTCCACGTCCACGTCCACGACCACGTCCACGTCCACGTCGACGTCCACGACCACGTCCACGACCACGTCCACGACCATGACCACGACCACGTCCTCGACCACGTCAACGTCCACGTCCACGTCCATGACCACGACCACGTCCACGACCACGTCAACGTCCACGTCCACGTCCACGTCCACGACCACGTCCACGTCCACGTCGACGTCCACGACCACGTCCACTCCACGACCACGTCCACATCCACGTCCACGTCCAAGTCCAGGACCACGTCCACGTCCACGTCCAGGTCCACATCCACGTCCACGTCCAGGTCCACGTCCACGTCCACGACCACGTCCACGTCCACGACCACCTCCAGGTCCACGTCCAAGTCCACGTCCATGTCCACGTCCAAGTCCTCCACGTCCACGACCACGTCCACGTCCACGTCCACGTCCACGTCCAAGTCCACGTCCACGTCCACGTCCACGTCCACGACCACATCCACGTCCACGTCCACGACCACGTCCACGTCCACGTCCACGTCCTCCACGTCCACGTCCACGTCCACGTCCACGTCCACGTCCACGTCCAAGTCCTCCATGTCCACGACCACGTCCACGTGCACGTCTACGTCCACGTCCACGTCCACGTCCTCCACGTCCACGTCCACCTCCTCAACATCCACGTCCTCCACGTCCACGTCCACGTCCACGTCCAAGTCCTCCATGTCCACGACCACGTCCACGTCGACGTCTACGTCCACGTCCACGTCTACGTCCACGTCCTCCACGTCCACGTCCACGTCCTCCACGTCCACGTCCTCCACGTCCACGTCCACTACCACGTCCACGTGCACGTCCACGACCACGTCCACGTCCACGACCACGTCCATGTCCACGTCCACGACCACGTCCACGACGACGTCCACGTCCACGTCCACGTCCACGTCCACGAACACGTCCACGTCCACGTCCACGTCCACGACCTCGTCCACGACCATGACCACGACCACGTCCACGACCACGTCAACGTCCACGTCCACGTCCACGTCCACGACCACGTCCACGTCCACGTCCATGTCGACATCCACGACCACGTCCACTCCACGACCACGTCCACATCCACGTCCACATCCAAGTCCATGTCCACGTCCACGTCCACGTCCAGGTCCACGTCCACGTCCATGTCCAGGTCCACGTCCACGACCACGTCCACGTCCACGACCACCTCCAGGTCCACGTCCACGTCCACGTCCAGGTCCATGTCCACGTCCAAGTCCTCCACGTCCACGACCACGTCCACGTCCACGTCCACGTCCACGTCCACGTCCAAGTCCACGTCCACGTCCACGTCTACGTCCACGACCACGTCCACGTCCACGTCCACGACCACGTCCACATCCACGTCCACGTCCAAGACCACGTCCACGTCCACGTCCTCCACGTCCACGTCCACGTCCACGACCACGTCCACGTCCACGTCCACGTCCAGGTCCACGTCCACATCCACGTCCACGTCCAAGTCCTCCACGTCCACGACCACGTCCATGTCCACGTCTACGTCCACGTCCACGTCGTGGACGACCACGTCCACGTCTACGACCACGTCCACGACCACGACTACGTCCACGTCCACGTCCACGTCCACGTCCACGACCACGTCCTCCACGTCCACGACCACGACCACGTCCACGACCACGTCCACGTCCAGGTCCGCGTCCACGTCCAAGACCACGTCCACGTCCACGTCCAAGTCCTCCACGTTCACGACGACGTCGACGTCCACATCCACGTCCACGACGACGTCCACGTCCAAGACCACGACCAGGTCCACGACCACGACCACGACCGCGTCCACGACCACGTCAACGTCCACGTCCACTCCACGACCACGTCCACGTCCAAGTCCAGGTCCACGTCCACGTCCACGTCCACGCCCAGGTCCACGTCCACGTCCACGTCCTATTCGACGTCCACGTCCACGTCCACGTCGACGTCCACGTCCACGTCCTCGTCCACATCCACGTCCTCCATGTCCACGTCCATGTCCTCCACGACCACGTCCACGTCCACGACCACGTCCACGACCACGTCCACTCCACGACCACGTCAACATCCATGTCCACGTCCACGTCCAAGTCCACGTCCACCTCCACGTCCAGGTCCACGTCGACGTCCACGTCCAGGTCCACATCCACGACCACCTCCAGGTCCACGTCCACGTCCACCTCCAGGTCCACGTCCACGTCCACGTCCACGTCCATGTCCACGTCCACGTCGTCCACGTCCACGTCCACGTCCACGTCCAAATCCACGTCCACGTCCACGACCACGTCCACGTCCACGTCCACGACCACGTCCACGTCCACGTCCACGTCCACGTCTTCCACGTCCACGTCCACGTCCACGTCCACGTCCAAGTCCTCCATGTCCACGACCACGTCCACGTCTACGTCTACGTCCACGTCCACGTCCATGTCCTCCACGTCCACGTCCACGTCCACGTCCTCCACGTCCTCCACGTCCACATCCTCCACGTCCACGTCCACGTCCACGTCCAAGTCCTCCATGTCCACGACCACGTCCACGTCGACGTCTACGTCCACGTCCACGTCTACGTCCACGTCCTCCACGTCCACGTCCACGTCCTCCACGTCCACGTCCTCCACGTCCACGTCCACTACCACGTCCACGTGCACGTCCACGACCACGTCCACGTCCACGACCACGTCCATGTCCACGTCCACGACCACGTCCACGACGACGTCCACGTCCACGTCCACGTCCACGAACACGTCCACGTCCACGTCCACGTCCACGACCTCGTCCACGACCATGACCACGACCACGTCCACGACCACGTCAACGTCCACGTCCACGTCCACGTCCACGACCACGTCCACGTCCATGTCGACATCCACGACCACGTCCACTCCACGACCACGTCCACATCCACGTCCACATCCAAGTCCATGTCCACGTCCACGTCCACGTCCAGGTCCACGTCCACGTCCATGTCCAGGTCCACGTCCACGACCACGTCCACGTCCACGACCACCTCCAGGTCCACGTCCACGTCCACGTCCAGGTCCATGTCCACGTCCAAGTCCTCCACGTCCACGACCACGTCCACGTCCACGTCCACGTCCACGTCCAAGTCGACGTCCACGTCCACGTCTACGTCCACGACCACGTCCACGTCCACGTCCACGACCACGTCCACATCCACGTCCACGTCCAAGACCACGTCCACGTCCACGTCCACGTCCTCCACGTCCACGTCCACGTCCACGACCACGTCCACGTCCACGTCCACGTCCAGGTCCACGTCCACATCCACGTCCACGTCCAAGTCCTCCACGTCCACGACCACGTCCATGTCCACGTCTACGTCCACGTCCACGTCGTGGACGACCACGTCCACGTCTACGACCACGTCCACGACCACGACTACGTCCACGTCCACGTCCACGTCCACGACCACGTCCTCCACGTCCACGACCACGACCACGTCCACGACCACGTCCACGTCCAGGTCCGCGTCCACGTCCAAGACCACGTCCACGTCCACGTCCAAGTCCTCCACGTTCACGACGACGTCGACGTCCACATCCACGTCCACGACGACGTCCACGTCCAAGACCACGACCAGGTCCACGACCACGACCACGACCGCGTCCACGACCACGTCAACGTCCACGTCCACTCCACGACCACGTCCACGTCCAAGTCCAGGTCCACGTCCACGTCCACGTCCACGCCCAGGTCCACGTCCACGTCCACGTCCTATTCGACGTCCACGTCCACGTCCACGTCAACGTCCACGTCCACGTCCTCGTCCACATCCACGTCCTCCATGTCCACGTCCATGTCCTCCACGACCACGTCCACGTCCACGACCACGTCCACGACCACGTCCACTCCACGACCACGTCCACATCCATGTCCACGTCCACGTCCAGGTCCACGTCCACCTCCACGTCCAGGTCCACGTCGACGTCCACGTCCAGGTCCACGTCCACGACCACCTCCAGGTCCACGTCCACGTCCACCTCCAGGTCCACGTCCACGTCCACGTCCACGTCCATGTCCACGTCCACGTCCTCCACGTCCACGTCCACGTCCACGTCCAAATCCACGTCCACGTCCACGACCACGTCCACGTCCACGTCCACGACCACGTCCACGTCCACGTCCACGTCCACGTCTTCCACGTCCACGTCCACGTCCACGTCCACGTCCAAGTCCTCCATGTCCACGACCACGTCCACGTCTACGTCTACGTCCACGTCCACGTCCATGTCCTCCACGTCCACGTCCACGTCCACGTCCTCCACGTCCTCCACGTCCACATCCTCCACGTCCACGTCCATGTCCACGTCCAAGTCCTCCATGTCCACGACCACGTCCACGTCGATGTCTACGTCCACGTCCACGTCCACGTCCAAGTCCTCCATGTCCACGTCCACGTCCTCCACGTCCACGTCCACGTCCTCCACGTCGACATCCTCCACGTCCACGTCCACGTCCACGTCTATGTCCACAACCACGTCCACGTCCACGTCCACGACCACGTCCACGACCACGTCCACGTCCAGGTCCGCGTCCACGTCCACGACCACGTCCACGTCCAGGTCCACGTCCACCTCCACGTCCACGTCCACGACCACGTCCACGTCCAGGTCCACGTCCACATCCACGTCCACGTCCTCGACCACATCCTCCACGTCCACGACCACGACCACGTCCACGACCACGTCCACGTCCAGGTCCGCGTCCACGTCCACGTCCACGTCCAAGTCCACGTCCACGTCCACGTCCACGTCCAAGTCCACGTCCACGTCCACGTCCACGTCCACGTCTTCGTCCACGTCCACGTCCAAGTCCACGTCCACGTCCACGTCCACGACCACGTCCACATCCACGACCACGTCCACGTCCACGTCCACCTCCAAGTCCTCCACGTCCACGACCACGTCCACGTCCACGTTTACGTCCACATCCACGTCCTCCACGACCACGTCCACGTCCACGACCACGTCCACGTCCACGTCCACGACCAAGTCCACGTCCACGACCACGTCCACGTCCACGTCCACGTCCACGACCACGTCCACGTCCACGACGATGTCCAAGTCCACGTCCACGCCCACATCCACGACCACTTCCACGTCCACGTCCACGTCCACGACCACTTCCACGACCACGTCAACGTCCACGTCCACGTCCACGTCCACGACCACGTCCACGTCGACGTCCACGACCACGTCCACGTCGACGTCCACGTCCACGTCCACTCCTCGGCCACGTCCACATCCACGTCCACGTCCAAGTCCAGGTCCACGTCCACGTCCACGTCCAGGTCCACGTCCACGTCCACGTCCATGTCCACGTCCACGTCCACGACCACGTCCACGTCCACGACCACCTCCAGGTCCACGTCCACGTCCACGTCCATGTCCACGTCCAAGTCCTCCATGTCCACGACCACGTCCACGTCCACGTCCACGTCCACGTAAAAGTCCACGTCAAAGTCCACGTCCACGTCCACGTCCACGACCACGTCCACGTCCACGTCCACGACCACGTCCACGTCCACGTCCACGTCCTCCATGTCCACGTCCACGTCCACGACCACGTCCACGTCCATGACCACGTCCACGTCCACGTCCACGTCCACGACCACGTCCACGTCCACGACGACGTCCACGTCCACGTCCACGTCTACGTCCACGTCCACGACCACGTCCACGTCCACGTCCACGTCCACGTCCACGACCACGTCCACGACCAGGACCACGACCACGTCCACGACCACGTCCACGTCCACGACCATGTCCACGACCACGTCCACGTCCACGTCCACGTCGACGTCTACGACCACGTCCACTCCACGACCACGTCCACATCCACATCCACGTCCAAGTCCAGGTCCACGTCCACGTCCACGTCCAGGTCCACGTCCACGTCCAGGTCCACGTCCACGTCCACGACCACGTCCATGTCCACGACCACCTCCAGGTCCACGTCCACGTCCACATCCACGTCCATGTCCACGTCCAAGTCCTCCACGTCCACGACCACGTCCACGCCCACGTCCACGTCCACGTCCAAGTCCACGTCCACGTCCACGTCCACGTCCACGACCACGTCCACGTCCACGTCCACGACCACGTCCGCGTCCACGTCCTCCACGTCCACGTCCACGTCCACGACCACGTCCACGTCCACGTCCACGTCCAAGTCCTCCATGTCCACGACCACGTCCACGTCTACGTCCACGTCCACGTCCACGTCTACGTCCACGTCCACGTCCACGTTTTCCACGACCTCGTCCACGTCCACGACCACGTCCACGTCCACGTCCACGTCCAGGTCCACGTCCACATCCACGTCCACGTCCAAGTCCTCCACGTCCACGACCATGACCATGTCCGCGTCCACGTCCACGTCCACGTCGTGGACGACCACGTCCACGTCTACGACCACGTCCACGACCACGACCACGTCCACGTCCACGTCCACGACCGCGTCCTCCACGTCCACGACCATGACCACGTCCACGACCACGTCCACGTCCAGGTCCGCGTCCACGTCCACGACCACGTCCACATCCAGGTCCACGTCCACCTCCACGTCCACGTCCACGACCACGTCCACGTCCAGGTCCACGTCCACATCCACGTCCACGTCCACGACCACGTCCTCCACGTCCACGACCACGACCACGTCCATGACCACGTCCACGTCCAGGTCCGCGTCCACGTCCACGACCACGTCCACGTCCAGGTCCACGTCCACGTCCACGTCCAAGTCCACGTCCACGTCCACGTCCACGTCCACGTCCAAGTCCACGTCCACGTACACGCCCACGTCCACGTCCACGTCCACGACGACGTCCACGTCCACGTCCACGTCCACGTCCACGTCCACGTCCACGTCCACGTCCAAGTCCACGTCCACGTCCACGTCCACGACCACGTCCACGTCCACGACCACGTCCACGTCCACGTCCACGTCCACCTTCAAGTCCTCCACGTCCACGACCACGTCCACGTCCACGTTTACGTCCACGTCCACGTCCTCCACGACCACGTCCACGTCCACGACCACGTCCACGTCCACGTCCACGACCACGTCCACGTCCACGTCCACGACCACGTCCACGTCCACGTCCACGACCACGTCCACGTCCACGACCACGTCCACGTCCACGTCCACGTCCATGTCCACGATCACGTCCACATCCACGACGACGTCCACGTCCACGTCCACGTCCACGACCACGTCCACGTCCACGACCACGTCCACGTCCACGTCCACGACCACATCCACGTCCACGTCCACGACCACGTCCACGTCCACGTCCACGTCCTCCACGTCCACGTCCACGACCACGTCCACGTCCACGTCCACGTCCACGTCCAGGTCCTCCATGTCCACGACCACGTCCACGTGCACGTCTACGTCCACGTCCACGTCCACGTCCACGTCCTCCACGTCCACGTCCACCTCCTCCACATCCACGTCCTCCACGTCCACGTCCAAGTCCTCCATGTCCACGACCACGTCCACGTCGACGTCTACGTCCACGTCCACGTCTACGTCCACGTCCTCCACATCCACGTCCACGTCCTCCACGTCCACGTCCTCCACGTCCACGTCCACTACCACGTCCACGTGCACGTCCACGACCACGTTCACGTCCACGACCACGTCCATGTCCACGTCCACGACCACGTCCACGACGACGTCCACGTCCACGTACACGTCCACGTCCACGAACACGTCCACGTCCACGTCCACGACCTCGTCCACGACCATGACGACGACCACGTCCACGACCACGTCAACGTCCACGTCCACGTCCACGTCCACGACCACGTCCACGTCCACGTCCATGTCGACATCCACGACCACGTCCACTCCACGACCACGTCCACATCCACGTCCACATCCAAGTCCATGTCCACGTCCACGTCCACGTCCAGGTCCACGTCCACGTCCACGTCCAGGTCCACGTCCACGACCACGTCCACGTCCACGACCACCTCCAGGTCCACGTCCACGTCCACGTCCAGGTCCATGTCCACGTCCAAGTCCTCCACGTCCACGACCACGTCCACGTCCACGTCCACGTCCACGTCCAAGTCCACGTCCACGTCCACGTCTACGTCCACGACCACGTCCACGTCCACGTCCACGACCACGTCCACGTCCACGTCCAAGACCACGTCCACGTCCACGTCCACGTCCACGTCCTCCACGACCACGTCCACGTCCACGACCACGTCCACGTCCACGTCCACGTCCAGGTCCACGTCCACATCCACGTCCACGTCCAAGTCCTCCACGTCCACGACCACGTCCATGTCCACGTCCACGTCCACGTCCACGTCGTGGACGACCACGTCTACGACCACGTCCACGACCACGACCACGTCCACGTCCACGTCCACGTCCACGTCCACGTCCACGACCACGTCCTCCACGTCCACGACCACGACCACGTCCACGACCACGTCCTCCACGTCCACGACCACGTCCACGTCCAAGACCACGTCCACGTCCACGTCCAAGTCCTCCACGTTCACGACGACGTCGACGTCCACATCCACGTCCACGTCCACGACGACGTCCACGTCCAAGACCACGACCACGTCCACGACCACGACCACGACCGCGTCCACGACCACGTCAACGTCCACGTCCACTCCACGACCACGTCCATGACCACGTCCACGTCCACGACCACCTCCAGGTCGACGTCCACGTCCACGTCCATGTCCACGTCCAAGTCCTCCATGTCCACGACCACGTCCACGTCCACGTCCACGTAAAAGTCCACGTCAAAGTCCACGTCCACGTCCACGTCCACGACCACGTCCACGTCCACGTCCACGACCACGTCCACGTCCACGTCTACGTCCACGTCCTCCATGTCCACGTCCACGTCCACGACCACGTCCACGTCCATGACCACGTCCACGTCCACGTCCACGTCCACGACCACGTCCACGTCCACGACGACGTCCACGTCCACGTCCACGTCTACGTCCACGTCCACGACCACGTCCACGTCCACGTCCACGTCCACGTCCACGACCACGTCCACGACCAGGACCACGACCACGTCCACGACCACGTCCACGTCCACGACCATGTCCACGACCACGTCCACGTCCACGTCCACGTCCACGTCGACGTCTACGACCACGTCCACTCCACGACCACGTCCACATCCACATCCACGTCCAAGTCCAGGTCCACGTCCACGTCCACGTCCAGGTCCACGTCCACGTCCAGGTCCACGTCCACGTCCACGACCACGTCCACGTCCACGACCACCTCCAGGTCCACGTCCACGTCCACATCCACGTCCATGTCCACGTCCAAGTCCTCCACGTCCACGACCACGTCCACGCCCACGTCCACGTCCACGTCCAAGTCCACGTCCACGTCCACGTCCACGTCCACGACCACGTCCACGTCCACGTCCACGACCACGTCCGCGTCCACGTCCTCCACGTCCACGTCCACGTCCACGACCACGTCCACGTCCACGTCCACGTCCAAGTCCTCCATGTCCACGACCACGTCCACGTCTACGTCCACGTCCACGTCCACGTCTACGTCCACGTCCACGTCCACGTTCTCCACGACCTCGTCCACGTCCACGACCACGTCCACGTCCACGTCCACGTCCAGGTCCACGTCCACATCCACGTCCACGTCCAAGTCCTCCACGTCCACGACCACGACCATGTCCACGTCCACGTCCACGTCCACGTCGTGGACGACCACGTCCACGTCTACGACCACGTCCACGACCACGACCACGTCCACGTCCACGTCCACGACCACGTCCTCCATGTCCACGACCATGACCACGTCCACGACCACGTCCACGTCCAGGTCCGCGTCCACGTCCACGACCACGTCCACATCCAGGTCCTCGTCCACCTCCACGTCCACGTCCACGACCACGTCCACGTCCAGGTCCACGCCCACATCCACGTCCACGTCCACGACCACGTCCTCCACGTCCACGACCACGACCACGTCCATGACCACGTCCACGTCCAGGTCCGCGTCCACGTCCACGACCACGTCCACGTCCAGGTCCACGTCCACGTCCAAGTCCACGTCCACGTCCACGTCCACGTCCAAGTCCACGTCCACGTACACGCCCACGTCCACGTCCACATCCACGACGACGTCCACGTCCACGTCCACGTCCACGTCCACGTCCACGTCCACGTCCAAGTCCACGTCCACGTCCACGTCCACGACCACGTCCACGTCCACGACCACGTCCACGTCCACGTCCACGTCCACCTTCAAGTCCTCCACGTCCACGACCACGTCCACGTCCACGTTTACGTCCACGTCCACGTGCTCCACGACCAAGTCCACGTCCACGACCACGTCCACGTCCACGTCCACGACCACGTCCACGTCCACGACCACGTCCACGTCCACGTCCATGTCCACGATCACGTCCACATCCACGACGACGTCCACGTCCACGTCCACGTCCACGACCACGTCCACGTCCACGTCCACGACCACGTCCACGTCCACGTCCACGACCACATCCACGTCCATGTCCACGACCACGTCCACGTCCACGTCCACGTCCTCCACGTCCACGTCCACGACCACGTCCACGTCCACGTCCACGTCCACGTCCAGGTCCTCCATGTCCACGACCACGTCCACGTGCACGTCTACGTCCACGTCCACGTCCACGTCCTCCACGTCCACGTCCACCTCCTCCACATCCACGTCCTCCACGTCCACGTCCACGTCCACGTCCAAGTCCTCCATGTCCACGACCACGTCCACGTCGACGTCTACGTCCACGTCCACGTCTACGTCCACGTCCTCCACATCCACGTCCACGTCCTCCACGTCCACGTCCTCCACGTCCACGTCCACTACCACGTCCACGTGCACGTCCACGACCACGTCCACGTCCACGACCACGTCCATGTCCACGTCCACGACCACGTCCACGACGACGTCCACGTCCACGTACACGTCCACGTCCACGAACACGTCCACGTCCACGTCCACGACCTCGTCCACGACCATGACCACGACCACGTCCACGACCACGTCAACGTCCACGTCCACGTCCACGTCCACGACCACGTCCACGTCCACGTCCATGTCGACATGCACGACCACGTCCACTCCACGACCACGTCCACATCCACGTCCACATCCAAGTCCATGTCCACGTCCACGTCCACGTCCAGGTCCACGTCCACGTCCACGTCCAGGTCCACGTCCACGACCACGTCCACGTCCACGACCACCTCCAGGTCCACGTCCACCTCCACGTCCAGGTCCATGTCCACGTCCAAGTCCTCCACGTCCACGACCACGTCCACGTCCACGTCCACGTCCACGTCCAAGTCCACGTCCACGTCCACGTCTACGTCCACGACCACGTCCACGTCCACGTCCACGACCACGTCCACGTCCACGTCCAAGACCACGTCCACGTCCACGTCCACGTCCACGTCCTCCACGACCACGTCCACGTCCACGACCACGTCCACGTCCACGTCCACGTCCAGGTCCACGTCCACATCCACGTCCACGTCCAAGTCCTCCACGTCCACGACCACGTCCATGTCCACGTCCACGTCCACGTCCACGTCGTGGACGACCACGTCCACGTCTACGACCACGTCCACGACCACGATCACGTCCACGTCCACGTCCACGTCCACGTCCACGTCCACGACCACGTCCTCCACGTCCACGACCACGACCACGTCCACGACCACGTCCACGTCCAGGTCCGCGTCCACGTCCAAGACCACGTCCACGTCCACGTCCAAGTCCTCCACGTTCACGACGACGTCGACGTCCACATCCACGTCCACGTCCACGACGACGTCCACGTCCAAGACCACGACCACGTCCACGACCACGACCACGACCGCGTCCACGACCACGTCAACGTCCACATCCACTCCACGACCACGTCCACGTCCAAGTCCAGGTCCACGTCCACGTCCACGTCCACGCCCAGGTCCACGTCCACGTCCACGTCCTATTCGACGTCCACGTCCACGTCCACGTCGACGTCCACGTCCACGTCCACGTCCTCGTCCACGTCCACGTCCTCCATGTCCACGTCCACGTCCTCCACGACCACGTCCACGTCCACGACCACGTCCACGTCCACTCCACGACCACGTCCACATCCACGTCCACGTCCAAGTCCTCCATGTCCACGACCACGTCCACGTCTACGTCTACGTCCACGTCCACGTCCACGTCCATGTCCTCCACGTCCACGTCCACGTCCTCCACGTCCTCCACGTCCACATCCTCCGCGTCCACGTCCACGTCCACGTCCACGTCCAAGTCCTCCATGTCCACGACCACGTCCACGTCGATGTCTACGTCCACGTCCACGTCCACGTCCAAGTCCTCCATGTCCACGTCCACGTCCTCCACGTCCACGTCCACGTCCTCCACGTCGACATCCTCCACGTCCACGTCCACGTCCACGTCTATGTCCACAACCACGTCCACGTCCACGTCCACGACCACGTCCACGACCACGTCCACGTCCAGGTCCGCGTCCACGTCCACGTCCACGTCCTCGACCACGTCCTCCACGTCCACCTCCACGTCCACGTCCACGACCACGTCCACGTCCAGGTCCGCGTCCACATCCACGTCCACGTCCTCGACCACGTCCTCCACGTCCACGACCACGACCACGTCCACGACCACGTCCACGTCCAGGTCCGCGTCCACGTCCACGTCCACGTCCAAGTCCACGTCCACGTCCACGTCCACGTCCAAGTCCATGTCCACGTCCACGTCCACGTCCACGTCCACGTCCAAGTCCACGTCCACGTCCACGTCCACGACCACGTCCACGTCCACGACCACGTCCACGTCCACGTCCACGTCCACCTCCAAGTCCTCCACGTCCAAGACCACGTCCACGTCCACATTTACGTCCACATCCACGTCCTCCATGACCATGTCCACGTCCACGACCACGTCCACGTCCACGACCAAGTCCACGTCCACGACCACGTCCACGTCCACGTCCACGACCACGTCCACGTCCACGTCCACGACGATGTCCAAGTCCACGTCCACGTCCACATCCACGACCACGTCCACGTCCACGTCCACGTCCACGACCACTTCCACGACCACGTCAACGTCCACGTCCACGTCCACGTCCACGACCACGTCCACGTCGACGTCCACGACCACGTCCACGTCCACGTCCACGTCCACGTCCACTCCACGACCACGTCCACATCCACGTCTACGTCCAAGTCCAGGTCCACGTCCACGTCCACGTCCAGGTCCACGTCCACGTCCACGTCCAGGTCCACGTCCACGTCCACGACCACGTCCACGTCCACGACCACCTCCAGGTCCACGTCCACGTCCACGTCCATGTCCACGTCCAAGTCCTCCACGTCCACGACCACGTCCACGTCCACGTCCACGTCCACGTCCACGTCAAAGTCCACGTCCACGTCCACGTCCACGTCCACGACCACGTCCACGTCCAATTCCACGACCACGCCCACGTTCACGTCCACGTCCTCCATGTCCACGTCCACGTCCACGACCACGTCCACGTCCATGACCACGTCCACGTCCACCTACACGTCCACGACCACGTCCACGTCCACGTCCACGTCCACGACCAGGACCACAACCACGTCCACGACCACTTCCACATCCATGACCACGTCCACGACCACGTCCACGTCCACGTCCATGTCGACGTCCACGACCACGTCCACTCCACGACCACGTCCACATCCACGTCCACGTCCAAGTCCAGGTCCACGTCCACGTCCACGTCCAGGTCCACGTCCACGTCCAGGTCCACGTCCACGTCCACGACCACGTCCACGTCCACGACCACCTCCAGGTCCACGTCCACGTCCACATCCATATCCATGTCCACGTCCAAGTCCTCCACGTCCACGACCAAGTCCACGCCCACGTCCACGTCCACGTCCAAGTCCACGTCCACGTCCACGTCCACGTCCACGACCACGTCCACGTCCACGACCACGTCCGCGTCCACGTCCTCCACGTCCACGTCCACGACCACGTCCACGTCCACGTCCACGTCCAAGTCCTCCATGTCCACGACCACGTCCACGTCTACGTCCACGTCCACGTCCACGTCTACGTCCACGTCCACGTCCACGTCCTCCACGACCTCGTCCACGTCCACGACCACGTCCACGTCCACGTCCACGTCCAGGTCCACGTCCACATCCATGTCCACGTCCAAGTCCTCCACGTCCACGACCACGTCCATGTCCACGTCCACGTCCACGTCCACGTCGTGGACGACCACGTCCACGTCTACGACCACGTCCACGACCACGACCACGTCCACGTCCACGTCCACGTCCACGACCACGTCCTCCACGTCCACAACCATGACCACGTCCACGACCACGTCCACGTCCAGGTCCGCGTCCACGTCCACGACCACGTCCACATCCAGGTCCACGTCCACCTCCACGTCCACGTCCACGACCACGTCCACGTCCAGGTCCACGTCCACATCCACGTCCACGTCCACGACCACGTCCTCCACGTCCACGACCACGACCACGTCCACGACCACGTCCACGTCCAGGTCCGCGTCCACGTCCACGACCACGTCCACGTCCAGGTCCACGTCCACGTCAACGTCCAAGTCCACGTCCACGTCCACGTCCACGTCCAAGTCCACGTCCACGTACACGCCCACGTCCACGTCCACGTCCACGACGACGTCCACGTCCACGTCCACGTCCACGTCCAAGTCCACGTCCACGTCCACGACCACGTCCACGTCCACGACCACGTCCACGTCCACGTCCACGTCCACCTTCAAGTCCTCCACGTCCACGACCACGTCCACGTCCACGTTTACGTCCACGTCCACGTCCTCCACGACCACGTCCACGTCCACGACCACGTCCACGTCCACGTCCACGACCACGTCCACGTCCACGACCACGTCCACGTCCACGTCCATGTCCACGACCACGTCCACGTCCAAGACGACGTCCACGTCCACGTCCACGTCCACGACCACGTCCACGTCCACGTCCACGACCACGTCCACGTCCACGACCACATCCACGTCCACGTCCACGACCACGTCCACGTCCACGTCCACGTCCTCCACGTCCACGTCCACGTCCACGACCACGTCCACGTCCACGTCCACGTCCACGTCCAGGTCCTCCATGTCCACGACCACGTCCACGTCCACGTCTACATCCACGACCACGTCCACGTCCACGTCCACGTCCACGACCACTTCCACGACCACGTCAACGTCCACGTCCACGTCCACGTCCACGACCACGTCCACGTCGACGTCCACGACCACGTCCACGTCGACGTCGACGTCCACGTCCACTCCACGACCACGTCCACATCCACGTCCACGTCCAAGTCCAGGTCCACGTCCACGTCCACGTCCAGGTCCACGTCCACGTCCACGTCCAGGTCCACGTCCACGTCCACGACCACGTCCACGTCCACGACCACCTCCAGGTCCACGTCCACGTCCACGTCCATGTCCACGTCCAAGTCCTCCACGTCCACGACCACGTCCACGTCCACGTCCACGTCCACGTCAAAGTCCACGTCCACGTCCACGTCCACGTCCACGACCACGTCCACGTCCACGTCCACGACCACGTCCACGTCCACGTCCACGTCCACGTCTTCCATGTCGACGTCCACGTCCACGACCACGTCCACGTCCATGACCACGTCCACGTCCACGTCCACGACCACGTCCACGTCCACGACGACGTCCACGTCCATGTCCACGTCCAGGTCCACGTCCACGTCCAGGTCCACGTCCACGTCCACGACCACGTCCACGTCCACGACCACCTCCAGGTCCACGTCCACGTCCACATCCACATCCATGTCCACGTCCAAGTCCTCCACGTCCACGACCACGTCCACGCCCACGTCCACGTCCACGTCCAAGTCCACGTCCACGTCCACGTCCACGTCCACGACCACGTCCACGTCCACGACCACGTCCGCGTCCACGTCCTCCACGTCCACGTCCACGTCCACGACCACGTCCACGTCCACGTCCACGTCCAAGTCCTCCATGTCCACGACCACGTCCACGTCTACGTCCACGTCCACGTCCACGTCTACGTCCACGTCCACGTCCACGTCCACGTCCTCCACGACCTCGTCCACGTCCACGACCACGTCCACGTCCACGTCCACGTCCAGGTCCACGTCCACATCCATGTCCACGTCCAAGTCCTCCACGTCCACGACCACGTCCATGTCCACGTCCACGTCCACGTCCACGTCGTGGACGACCACGTCCACGTCTACGACCACGTCCACGACCACGACCACGTCCACGTCCACGTCCACGACCACGTCCTCCACGTCCACGACCATGACCACGTCCACGACCACGTCCACGTCCAGGTCCGCGTCCACGTCCACGACCACGTCCACATCCAGGTCCACGCCCACCTCCACGTCCACGTCCACGACCACGTCCACGTCCAGGTCCACGTCCACTTCCACGTCCACGTCCACGACCACGTCCTCCACGTCCACGACCACGACCACGTCCACGACCACGTCCACGTCCAGGTCCGCGTCCACGTCCACGATCACGTCCACGTCCAGGTCCACGTCCACGTCCACGTCCAAGTCCACGTCCACGTCCACGTCCACGTCCAACTCCACGTCCACGTACACGCCCACGTCCACGTCCACGTCCACGACGACGTCCACGTCCACGTCCACGTCCACGTCCACGTCCAAGTCCACGTCCACGTCCACGACCACGTCCACGTCCACGACCACGTCCACGTCCACGTCCACGTCCACCTTCAAGTCCTCCACGTCCACGACCACGTCCACGTCCACGTTTACGTCCACGTCCACGTCCTCCACGACCACGTCCACGTCCACGACCACGTCCACGTCCACGACCACGTCCACGTCCACGACCACGTCCACGTCCACGTCCATGTCCACGACCACGTCCACGTCCACGACGACGTCCACGTCCACGTCCACGTCCACGACCACGTCCACGTCCACGTCCACGACCACGTCCACGTCCACGACCACATCCACGTCCACGTCCACGACCACGTCCACGTCCACGTCCACGTCCTCCACGTCCACGTCCACGTCTACGACCACGTCCACGTCCACGTCCACGTCCACGTCCAGGTCCTCCATGTCCACGACCACGTCCACGTCCACGTCTACATCCACGACCACGTCCACGTCCACGTCCACGTCCACGACCACTTCCACGACCATGTCAACGTCCACGTCCACGTCCACGTCCACGACCACGTCCACGTCGACGTCCACGACCACGTCCACGTCGACGTCGACGTCCACGTCCACTCCACGACCACGTCCACATCCACGTCCACGTCCAAGTCCAGGTCCACGTCCACGTCCACGTCCAGGTCCACGTCCACGTCCACGTCCAGGTCCACGTCCACGTCCACGACCACGTCCACGTCCACGACCACCTCCAGGTCCACGTCCACGTCCACGTCCATGTCCACGTCCAAGTCCTCCACGTCCACGACCACGTCCACGTCCACGTCCACGTCCACGTCAAAGTCCACGTCCACGTCCACGTCCACGTCCACGACCACGTCCACGTCCACGTCCACGACCACGTCCACGTCCACGTCCACGTCCACGTCCACGTCTTCCATGTCCACGTCCACGTCCACGACCACGTCCACGTCCATGACCACGTCCACGTCCACGTCCACGACCACGTCCACGTCCACGACGACGTCCACGTCCACGTCCACGTCTACGTCCACGTCCACGACCACGTCCACGTCCACGTCCACGTCCACGACCACGTCCACGACCAGGACCACGACCACGTCCACGACCACGTCCACATCCACGACCACGTCGACGACCACGTCCACGTCCACGTCCATGTCGACGTCCACGACCACGTCCACTCCACGACCACGTCCACATCCACGTCAACGTCCAAGTCCAGGTCCAGGTCCACGTCCACGTCCAGGTCCACGTCCACGTCCAGGTCCACGTCCACGTCCACGACCACGTCCACGTCCACGACCACCTCCAGGTCCACGTCCACGTCCACATCCACATCCATGTCCACGTCCAAGTCCTCCACGTCCACGACCACGTCCACGCCCACGTCCACGTCCACGTCCAAGTCCACGTCCACGTCTATGTCCACGTCCACGACCACGTCCACGTCCACGTCCACGACCACGTCCACGTCCACGTCCTCCACGTCGACGTCCACGTCCACGACCACGTCCACGTCCATGTCCACGTCCAAGTCCTCCATGTCCACGACCACGTCCACGTCTACGACCACGTCCACGTCCACGTCTACGTCCACGTCCAAGTCCACGTCCACGTCCTCCACGACCTCGTCCACGTCCACGACCACGTCCACGTCCACGTCCACGTCCAGGTCCACGTCCACATCCACGTCCACGTCCAAGTCCTCCACGTCCACGACCACGTCCATGTCCACGTCCACGTCCACGTCCACGTCGTGGACGACCACGTCCACGTCTACGACCACGTCCACGACCACGACCACGTCCACGTCCACGTCCACGACCACGTCCTCCACGTCCACGACCATGACCACGTCCACGACCACGTCCACGTCCAGGTCCGCGTCCACGTCCACGACCACGTCCACATCCAGGTCCACGTCCACCTCCACGTCCACGTCCACGACCACGTCCACGTCCAGGTCCACGTCCACATCCACGTCCACGTCCACGACCACGTCCTCCACGTCCACGACCACGACCACGTCCACGACCACGTCCACGTCCAGGTCCGCGTCCACGTCCACGACCACGTCCACGTCCAGGTCCACGTCCACGTCCACGTCCAAGTCCACGTCCACGTCCACGTCCAAGTCCACGTCCACGTACACGCCCACGTCCACGTCCACGTCCACGACGACGTCCACGTCCACGTCCACGTCCACGTCCACGTCCAAGTCCACGTCCACGTCCACGTCCACGACCACGTCCACGTCCCCGACCACGTCCACGTCCACGTCCACGTCCACCTTCAAGTCCTCCACGTCAACGACCATGTCCACGTCCACGTTTACGTCCACGTCCACGTCCTCCACGACCACGTCCACGTCCACGACCACGTCCACGTCCACGTCCACGACCACGTCCACGTCCACGACCACGTCCACGTCCACGTCCATGTCCACGACCACGTCCACCTCCACGACGACGTCCACGTCCACGTCCACGACCACGTCCACGTCCACGTCCACGACCACGTCCACGACCATGACCACGACCACGTCCACAACCACGTCAACGTCCACGTCCACGTCCACGTCCACGTCCACGACCACGTCCACGTTCACGTCGACGTCCACGACCACGTCCACGACCACGTCCACGACCATGACCACGACCACATCCACGACCACGTCAACGTCCACGTCCACGTCCACGACCACGTCCACGTCGACGTCCACGTTGACGTCCACGTCCACGACCACGTCCACGTCCACGTTGACGTCCACGACCACGTCCACGTCCACGTCCACGACCACGTCGACGTCGACGTCCACGACCACGTCCACGTCCACGTCGACGTCCACGACCACGTCAACGTCCACGTCCACGTCCACGTCCACGACCAGGTCCACGTCCACGTCCACGACCACGTCCACGTCCACGTCCACGACCACGTCCGCGTCCACGTCCTCCACGTCCACGTCCACGTCCACGACCACGTCCACGTCCACGTCCACGTCCAAGTCCTCCATGTCCACGTCCACGTCCACGTCTACGTCCACGTCCACGTCCACGTCCACGTCCTCCACGACCTCGTCCACGTCCACGACCACGTCCACGTCCACGTCCACGTCCAGGTCCACGTCCACATCCACGTCCACATCCAAGTCCTCCACGTCCACGACCACGTCCATGTCCACGTCCACGTCCACGTCCACGTCGTGGACGACCACGTCCACGTCTACGACCACGTCCACGACCACGACCACGTCCACGTCCACGTCCACGACCACGTCCTCCACGTCCACGACCATGACCACGTCCACGACCACGTCCACGTCCAGGTCCGCGTCCACGTCCACGACCACGTCCACATCCAGGTCCACGTCCACCTCCACGTCCACGTCCACGACCACGTCCACGTCCAGGTCCACGTCCACATCCACGTCCACGTCCACGACCACGTCCTCCACGTCCACGACCACGTCCACGTCCACGACCACGTCCACGTCCAGGTCCGCGTCCACGTCCACGACCACGTCCACGTCCAGGTCCACGTCCACGTCCACGTCCAAGTCCACGTCCACGTCCACGTCCAAGTCAACGTCCACGTACACGCCCACGTCCACGTCCACGACGACGTCCACGTCCACGTCCACGTCCACGTCCACGTCCAAGTCCACGTCCGCGTCCACGTCCACGACCACGTCCACGTCCACGACCACGTCCACGTCCACGTCCACGTCCACCTTCAAGTCCTCCACGTCAACGACCACGTCCACGTCCACGTTTACGTCCACATCCACGTCCTCCACGACCACGTCCACGTCCACGACCACGTCCACGTCCACGTCCACGACCACGTCCACGTCCACGACCACGTCCACGTCCACGTCCATGTCCACGACCACGTCCACATCCACGACGACGTCCACGTCCACGTCCACGACCACGTCCACGTCCACGTCCACGACCACGTCCACGACCATGACCACGACCACGTCCACGACCACGTCAACGTCCACGTCCACGTCCACGTCCACGTCCACGACCACGTCCACGTCCACGTCGACGTCCACGACCACGTCCACGACCACGTCCACGACCATGACCACGACCACGTCCACGACCACGTCAACGTCCACGTCCACGTCAACGACCACGTCCACGTCGACGTCCACGTTGACGTCCACGTCCACGACCACGTCCACGTCCACGTCGACGTCCACGACCACGTCCACGTCCACGTCCACGACCACGTCCACGTCGACGTCCACGACCACGTCCACGTCCACGTCGACGTCCACGACCACGTCAACGTCCACGTCCACGTCCACGTCCACGACCAGGTCCACGTCCACGTCCACGTCCACGACCACGTCCACGTCCACGACCACGTCCACATCCACGTCCAAGTCCACGTCCACGTCCACGTCCATGTCCACGTCCAAGTCCTCCACGTCCACGACCACGTCCACGTCCACGTCCACGTCCACGTCCAAGTCCACGTCCACGTCCTCGTCCAAGTCCACGTCCACGTCCAAGTCCACGTCCACGTCCACATCAACGACCACGTCCACGTCGACGTCCACGTTGACGTCCACGTCCACGACCACGTCCACGTCCACGTCGACGTCCACGACCACGTCCACGTCCACGTCCACGACCACGTCCACGTCGACGTCCACGACCACGTCCACGTCCACGTCGACGTCCACGACCACGTCAACGTCCACGTCCACGTCCACGTCCACGACCAGGTCCACGTCCACGTCCACGTCCACGACCACGTCCACGTCCACGACCACATCCACATCCACGTCCAAGTCCACGTCCACGTCCACGTCCATGTCCACGTCCAAGTCCTCCACGTCCACGACCACGTCCACGTCCACGTCCACGTCCACGTCCAAGTCCACGTCCACGTCCTCGTCCAAGTCCACGTCCACGTCCAAGTCCACGTCCACGTCCACGTCCACGTCCAAGTCCTCCATGTCCACGACCACGTCCACGTGCACGTCTACGTCCACGTCTACGTCCACGTCCTCCACGTCCACGTCCACCTCCTCCACATCCACGTCCTCCACGTCCACGTCCACGTCCACGTCCAAGTCCTCCATGTCCACGACCACGTCCACGTCGACGTTTACGTCCACGTCCACGTCTACGTCCACGTCCTCCACGTCCACATCTACGTCCTCCACGTCCACGTCCTCCACGTCCACGTCCACGACCACGTCCACGTGCACGTCCACGACTACGTCCACGTCCACGACCACGTCCACGTCCACGACCACGTCCACGACGACGTCCATGTCCACGTCCACGTCCACGAACACGTCCACGTCCACGTCCACGACCTCGTCCACGACCATGACCACGACCACGTCCACGACCACGTCAACGTCCACGTCCACGTCCACGTCCACGACCACGTCGACGTCCACGTCCACGTCGACGTCCACGACCACGTCCACTCCACGACCACGTCCACATCCACGTCCACATCCAAGTCCATGTCCACGACCACGTCCACGTCCACGACCACGTCCACGACCACGTCCACGTCCACGTCCACGTCGATGTCCACGACCACGTCCACTCCACGACCACGTCCACATCCACGTCCACGTCCAAGTCCAGGTCCACGTCCACGTCCACGTCCAGGTCCACGTCCACGTCCACGTCCAGGTCCACGTCCACGTCCACGACCACGTCCACGTCCACGACCACCTCCAGGTCCACGTCCACGTCCACGTCCACGTCCATGTCCACGTCCAAGACCTCCACGTCCACGACCACGTCCACGCCCACGTCCACGTCCACGTCCAAGTCCACGTCCACGTCCACGTCTATGTCCACGTCCACGACCACGTCCACGTCCACGTCCACGACCACGTCCGCGTCCACGTCCTCCACGTCCACGTCCACGACTACGTCCACGTCTACGTCCACGTCCACGTCCACGTCTACGTCCACGTCCACGTCCACGTCCACGTCCTCCACGACCACGTCCACGTCCACGACCACGTCCACGTCCACGTCCACGTCCAGGTCCACGTCCACATCCACGTCCACGTCCAAGTCCTCCACGTCCACGACCACGTCCATGTCCACGTCCACGTCCACGTCCACGTCGTGGACGACCACGTCCACGACCATGACCACGTCCACGACTACGTCTACGTCCAGGTCCGCGTCCACGTCCACGACCACGTCCACATCCAGGTCCACGTCCACCTCCACGTCCACGTCCACGACCCCGTCCACGTCCAGGTCCACGTCCACATCCACGTCCACGTCCACGACCACGTCCTCCACGTCCACGACCACGACCACGTCCACGACCACGTCCACGTCCAGGTCCGCGTCCACGTCCACGACAACGTCCACGTCCAGGTCCACGTCCACGTCCAAGTCCACGTCCACGTCCACGTCCACGTCCAAGTCCACGTCCACGTACACGCCCACGTCCACGTCCACGTCCACGACGACGTCCACGTCCACGTCCACGTCCACGACCATGACCACGACCACGTCCACGACCACGTCAACGTCTACGTCCACGTCCACGTCCACGTCCACGTCCACGTCGACGTCCACGACCACGTCCACGACCACGTCCACGACCAGGACCACGACCAGGTCCACGACCACGTCAACGTCCACGTCCACGTCCACGACCACGTCCACGTCCACGACCACGACCACGTCCACGTCAACATCCACGTCCACGACCACGTCCACGACCACGTCCACGTCCACGTCGACGTCCACGACCACGTCCACTCCACGACCACGTCCACATCCACGTCCACGTCCAAGTCCAGGACCACGTCCACGTCCACGTCCAGGTCCACGTCCACGTCCACGTCCAGGTCCACGTCCACGTCTACGACCACGTCCACGTCCACGACCACCTCCAGGTCCACGTCCACGTCCATGTCCACGTCCAAGTCCTCCACGTCCACGACCACGTCCACGTCCACGTCCACGTCCACGTCCAAGTCCACGTCCACGTCCACGTCCAAGTCCACGTCCACGTCCAAGTCCACGTCCACGTCCACGTCCAAGTCCTCCATGTCCACGACCACGTCCACGTGCACGTCTACGTCCACGTCCACGTCCACGTCCTCCACGTCCACGTCCACGTCCAGGTCCACGTCCACGTCCACGACCACGTCCACGTCCACGACCACCTCCAAGTCCACGTCCACGTCCATGTCCACGTCCAAGTCCTCCACGTCTACGACCACGTCCACGTCCACGTCCACGTCCACGTCCAAGTCCACGTCCACGTCCACGTCCAAGTCCACGTCCACGTCCAAGTCCACGTCCACGTCCACGTCCAAGTCCTCCATGTCCACGACCACGTCCACGTGCACGTCTACGTCCACGTCTACGTCCACGTCCTCCACGTCCACGTCCTCCACATCCACGTCCTCCACGTCCACGTCCACGTCCACGTCCAAGTCCTCCATGTCCACGACCACGTCCACGTCGACGTCTACGTCCATGTCCACGTCTACGTCCACGTCCTCCACGTCCACGTCCACGTCCTCCACGTCCACGTCCTCCACGTCCACGTCCACGACCACGTCCACGTGCACGTCCACGACCACGTCCACGTCCACGACCACGTCCACGTCCACGTCCACGTCCACGACCACGTCCACGACGACGTCCACGTCCAGGTCCACGTCCACGACGACGTCCACGTCCACGTCCACGTCCACGACCTCGTCCACGACCATGACCACGACCACGTCCACGACCACGTCAACGTCCACGTCCACGTCCACGATCACGTCGACGTCCACGTCCACGTCGACGTCCACGACCACGTCCACTCCACGACCACGTCCACATCCACGTCCACATCCAAGTCCATGTCCACGACCACGTCCACGTCCACGACCACGTCCATGACCACGTCCACGTCCACGTCGACGTCCACGACCACGTCCACTCCACGACCACGTCCACATCCACGTCCACGTCCAAGTCCAGGTCCACGTCCACGTCCACGTCCAGGTCCACGTCCACGTCCACGTCCACGTCCAGGTCCACGTCCACGTCCACGACCACGTCCACGTCCACGACCACCTCCAGGTCCACGTCCACGTCCATGTCCATGTCCACGTCCAAGTCCTCCACGTCCACGACCACGTCCACGCCCACGTCCACGTCCACGTCCAAGTCCACGTCCACGTCCACGTCCACGTCCACGACCTTGTCCACGTCCACGTCCACGACCACGTCTGCGTCCACGTCCTCCACGTCCACGTCCACGACCACGTCCACGTCCACGTCCACGTCCAAGTCCTCCATGTCCACGACCACGTCCACGTCTAGGTCCACGTCCACGTCCACGTCTACGTCCACGTCCACGTCCTCCACGACCACGTCCACGACCACGTCCACGTCCACGTCCAGGTCCACGTCCACATCCACGTCCACGTCCAAGTCCTCCACGTCCACGACCACGTCCGTGTCCACGTCCACGTCCACGTCGTGGACGACCACGTCCACGTCTACGACCACGTCCACGACCACGACCACGTCCACGTCCACGTCCACGACCACGTCCTCCACGTCCACGACCATGACCACGTCCACGACCACGTCCACGTCCAGGTCCGCGTCCACGTCCACGACCACGTCCACATCCATGTCCACGTCCACCTCCACGTCCACGTCCACGACCACGTCCACGTCCAGGTCCACGTCCACATCCACGTCCACGTCCACGACCACGTCCTCCACGTCCACGACCAAGACCACGTCCACGACCACGTCCACGACCACGTCCACGTCCAGGTCCGCGTCCACGTCCACGACCACGTCCACGTCCAGGTCCACGTCCACGTCCACGTCCAAGTCCACGTCCACGTCCACGTCCACGTCCACGTCCAAGTCCACGTCCACGTACACGCCCACGTCCACGTCCACGTCCACGTCCACGACGACGTCCACGTCCACGTCCACGTCCACGTCCACGTCCACGTCCAAGTCCACGTCCACGTCCACGTCCACGACCACGTCCACGTCCACGACCACGTCCAAGTCCACGTCCACGTCCACGTCCACCTTCAAGTCCTCCACGTCCACGTCCACGTCCACGTCCACGTTTACGTCCACGTCCACGTCCTCCACGACCACGTCCACATCCACGACCACGTCCACGTCCACGTCCACGACCACGTCCACGTCCACGTCCACGTCCACGTCCACGACCACGTCCACGTCCACGACCACGTCCACGTCCACGTCCACGACCACGTCCACGTCCACGTCCACGACCACGTCCACGACCATGACCACGTCAACGTCCACGTCCACGTCCACGTCCACGTCCACGACCACGTCCACGTCCACGTCGACGTCCACGACCACGTCCACGACCACGTCCACGTCCACGTCCAGGTCCACGTCCACGTCCAGGTCCACGTCCACGTCCACGACCACGTCCACGTCCACGACCACCTCCAGGTCCACGTCCACGTCCACGTCCATGTCCACGTCCAAGTCCTCCACGTCCACGACCACGTCCAAGTCCTCCACGTCCACGACCAAGTCCACGTCCACGTCCACGTCCAAGTCCACGTCCACATCCACGTCCACGTCCACGACCACGTCCACGTCCACGTCCACGTCCACGTCCTCCACGTCCACGTCCACGACCACGTCCACGTCCACGTCCACGTCCACGTCCAAGTCCTCCATGTCCACGACCACGTCCTCGTGCACGTCTACGTCCACGTCCACGTCCACGTCCTCCACGTCCGCGTCCACCTCCTCCACATCCACGTCCTCCACGTCCACGTCCACGTCCAAGTCCTCCATGTCCACGACCACGTCCACGTCGACGTCTACGTCCACGTCTACGTCCACGTCCTCCACGTCCACGTCCACGTCCTCCACGTCCACGTCCACGACCACGTCCACGTCAACGTCCACGTCCACGTCCACGTCCACGACCACGTCCACGTCCACGTCGACGTCCACGACCACGTCCACTCCACGACCACGTCCACATCCACGTCCACGTCCAAGTCCAGGACCACATCCACGTCCACGTCCAGGTCCACGTCCACGTCCACGTCCAGGTCCACGTCCACGTCCACGACCACGTCCACGTCCACGACCACCTCTAGGTCCACGTCCACGTCCACGTCCATGTCCACGTCCAAGTCCTCCACGTCCACGACCACGTCCACGTCCACGTCCACGTCCACGTCCAAGTCCAAGTCCACGTCCACGTCCACGTCCACGTCCACGACCACATCCACGTCCACGTCCACGACCACGCCCACGTCCACGTCCACGTCCACGTCTTCCACGTCAACGTCCACGACCACGTCCACGTCCACGTCCACGTCCAAGTCCTCCATGTCCACGACCACGTCCACGTGCACGTCTACGTCCACGTCCACGTCCACGTCCTCCACGTCCACGTCCACCTCCTCCACATCCACGTCCTCCACGTCCACGTCCACGTCCAAGTCCTCCATGTCCACGACCACGTCCACGTCGACGTCTACGTCCACGTCCACGTCTACGTCCACGTCCTCCACGTCCACGTCCACGTCCTCCACGTCCACGTCCTCCACGTCCACGTCCACGACCACGTCCACGTCCAGGTCCGCGTCCACGTCCACGACCACGTCCACATCCATGTCCACGTCCACCTCCACGTCCACGTCCACGACCACGTCCACGTCCAGGTCCACGTCCACATCCACGTCCACGTCCACGACCACGTCCTCCACGTCCACGACCAAGACCACGTCCACGACCACGTCCACGACCACGTCCACGTCCAGGTCCGCGTCCACGTCCACGACCACGTCCACGTCCAGGTCCACGTCCACGTCCACGTCCAAGTCCACGTCCACGTCCACGTCCACGTCCACGTCCAAGTCCACGTCCACGTACACGCCCACGTCCACGTCCACGTCCACGTCCACGACGACGTCCACGTCCACGTCCACGTCCACGTCCACGTCCACGTCCAAGTCCACGTCCACGTCCACGTCCACGACCACGTCCACGTCCACGACCACGTCCAAGTCCACGTCCACGTCCACGTCCACCTTCAAGTCCTCCACGTCCACGTCCACGTCCACGTCCACGTTTACGTCCACGTCCACGTCCTCCACGACCACGTCCACATCCACGACCACGTCCACGTCCACGTCCACGACCACGTCCACGTCCACGTCCACGTCCACGTCCACGACCACGTCCACGTCCACGACCACGTCCACGTCCACGTCCACGACCACGTCCACGTCCACGTCCACGACCACGTCCACGACCATGACCACGTCAACGTCCACGTCCACGTCCACGTCCACGTCCACGACCACGTCCACGTCCACGTCGACGTCCACGACCACGTCCACGACCACGTCCACGTCCACGTCCAGGTCCACGTCCACGTCCAGGTCCACGTCCACGTCCACGACCACGTCCACGTCCACGACCACCTCCAGGTCCACGTCCACGTCCACGTCCATGTCCACGTCCAAGTCCTCCACGTCCACGACCACGTCCAAGTCCTCCACGTCCACGACCAAGTCCACGTCCACGTCCACGTCCAAGTCCACGTCCACATCCACGTCCACGTCCACGACCACGTCCACGTCCACGTCCACGTCCACGTCCTCCACGTCCACGTCCACGACCACGTCCACGTCCACGTCCACGTCCACGTCCAAGTCCTCCATGTCCACGACCACGTCCACGTGCACGTCTACGTCCACGTCCACGTCCACGTCCTCCACGTCCGCGTCCACCTCCTCCACATCCACGTCCTCCACGTCCACGTCCACGTCCAAGTCCTCCATGTCCACGACCACGTCCACGTCGACGTCTACGTCCACGTCTACGTCCACGTCCTCCACGTCCACGTCCACGTCCTCCACGTCCACGTCCACGACCACGTCCACGTCAACGTCCACGTCCACGTCCACGTCCACGACCACGTCCACGTCCACGTCGACGTCCACGACCACGTCCACTCCACGACCACGTCCACATCCACGTCCACGTCCAAGTCCAGGACCACATCCACGTCCACGTCCAGGTCCACGTCCACGTCCACGTCCAGGTCCACGTCCACGTCCACGACCACGTCCACGTCCACGACCACCTCTAGGTCCACGTCCACGTCCACGTCCATGTCCACGTCCAAGTCCTCCACGTCCACGACCACGTCCACGTCCACGTCCACGTCCACGTCCAAGTCCAAGTCCACGTCCACGTCCACGTCCACGTCCACGACCACATCCACGTCCACGTCCACGACCACGTCCACGTCCACGTCCACGTCCACGTCTTCCACGTCAACGTCCACGACCACGTCCACGTCCACGTCCACGTCCAAGTCCTCCATGTCCACGACCACGTCCACGTGCACGTCTACGTCCACGTCCACGTCCACGTCCTCCACGTCCACGTCCACCTCCTCCACATCCACGTCCTCCACGTCCACGTCCACGTCCAAGTCCTCCATGTCCACGACCACGTCCACGTCGACGTCTACGTCCACGTCCACGTCTACGTCCACGTCCTCCACGTCCACGTCCACGTCCTCCACGTCCACGTCCTCCACGTCCACGTCCACGACCACGTCCACGTGCACGTCCACGACCACGTCCACGACCACGTCCACGTCCACGTCCACGTCCACGACCACGTCCACGACGACGTCCACGTCCACGTCCACGACCATGACCATGACCACGTCCACGACCACGTCAACGTCCACGTCCACGTCCACGTCCACGACCACGTCGACGTCCACGTCCACGTCGACGTCCACGACCACGTCCACTCCACGACCACGTCCACATCCACGTCCACATCCAAGTCCATGTCCACGTCCACGTCCACGTCCAGGTCCACGTCCACGTCTACGTCCAGGTCCACGTCCACGACCACGTCCACGTCCACGACCACCTCTAGGTCCACGTCCACATCCACGTCCACGTCCATGTCCACGTCCAAGTCCTCCACGTCCCCGACCACGTCCACGTCCACGTCCACGTCCACGTCCAAGTCCACGTCCACGTCCAAGTCCACGTCCACGTCCACGTCCACGTCCACGACCACGTCCACGTCCACGTCCACGACCATGTCCACGTCCACGTCCACGTCCAAGACCACGTCCACGTCCACGTCCACGTCCACGTCCTCCACGACCACGTCCACGTCCACGACCACGTCCACGTCCACGACCATGTCCACGTCCACGTCCACGTCCAAGACCACGTCCACGTCCACGTCCACGTCCACGTCCTCCACGACCACGTCCACGTCCACGACAACGTCCACGTCCACGTCCATGTCCATGTCCACGTCCACGTCCATGTCGTGGACGACCACGTCCACGTCTACGACCACGTCCACGACCACGACCGAGTCCACGTCCACGTCCACGTCCACGTCCACGACCACGTCCTCCACGTCCACGACCACGACCACGTCCACGACCACGTCCACGTCCAGGTCCGCGTCCACGTCCACGACCACGTCCACGTCCAAGTCCTCCACGTTCACGACGACGTCGATGTCGACGTCCACGTCCACGTCCACGACGACGTCCACGTCCAAGACCACGACCACGTCCACGACCACGACCACGACCACGTCCACGACCACGTCAACGTCCACGTCCACTCCACGACCACGTCCACGTCCAAGTCCAGGTCCACGTCCACGTCCACGCCCAGGTCCACGTCCACGTCCATGTCCTATTCGACGTCCACGTCCACGTCCACGTCGACGTCCACGTCCACGTCCACGTCCTCCACGTCCACGTCCACGACCACGTCCACGTCCACGTCCAAGTCCTCCATGTCCACGACCACGTCCACGTCTAGGTCCACGTCCACGTCCACGTCTACGTCCACGTCCACGTCCTCCACGACCACGTCCACGACCACGTCCACGTCCACGTCCACGTCCAGGTCCACGTCCACATCCACGTCCACGTCCAAGTCCTCCACGTCCACGACCACGTCCGTGTCCACGTCCACGTCCACGTCCACGTCGTGGACGACCACGTCCACGTCTACGACCACGTCCACGACCACGACCACGTCCACGTCTACGTCCACGTCCACGACCACGTCCTCCACGTCCACGACCATGACCACGTCCACGACCATGTCCACGTCCAGGTCCGCGTCCACGTCCACGACCACGTCCACATCCATGTCCACGTCCACCTCCACGTCCACGTCCACGACCACGTCCACGTCCAGGTCCACGTCCACATCCACGTCCACGTCCACGACCACGTCCTCCACGTCCACGACCACGACCACGTCCACGACCACGTCAACGTCCAGGTCCGCGTCCACGTCCACGACCACGTCCACGTCCAGGTCCACGTCCACGTCCACGTCCAAGTCCACGTCCACGTCCACGTCCACGTCCAAGTCCACGTCCACGTACACGCCCACGTCCACGTCCACGTCCACGACGACGTCCACGTCCACGTCCACGTCCACGTCCACGTCCAAGTCCACGTCCACGTCCACGTCCACGACCACGTCCACGTCTACGACCACGTCCAAGTCCACGTCCACGTCCACGTCCACCTTCAAGTCCTCCACGTCCACGTCCACGTCCACGTTTACGTCCACGTCCACGTCCTCCACGACCACGTCCACATCCACGACCACGTCCACGTCCACGTCCACGACCACGTCCACGTCCACGTCCACGTCCACGTCCACGTCCACGACCACGTCCACGTCCACGACCACGTCCACGTCCACGTCCACGTCCACGACCACGTCCACGTCCACGTCCACGACCACGTCCACGACCATGACCACGTCAACGTCCACGTCCACGTCCACGTCCACGTCCACGACCACGTCCACGTCCACGTCGACGTCCACGACCACGTCCACGACCACGTCCACGACCACGTCCACGTCCACGTCCAGGTCCACGTCCACGTCCAGGTCCACATCCACGTCCACGACCACGTCCACGTCCACGACCACCTCCAGGTCCACGTCCACGTCCACGTCCATGTCCACGTCCAAGTCCTCCACGTCCACGACCACGTCCAAGTCCTCCACGTCCACGACCAAGTCCACGTCCACGTCCACGTCCACGTCCAAGTCCACGTCCACATCCACGTCCACGTCCACGACCACGTCCACGTCCACGTCCACGTCCACGTCCTCCACGTCCACGTCCACGACCACGTCCACGTCCACGTCCACGTCCACGTCCAAGTCCTCCATGTCCACCACCACGTCCACGTGCACGTCTACGTCCACGTCCACGTCCACGTCCTCCACGTCCACGTCCACCTCCTCCACATCCACGTCCTCCACGTCCACGTCCACGTCCAAGTCCTCCATGTCCACGACCACGTCCACGTCGACGTCTACGTCCACGTCTACGTCCACGTCCTCCACGTCCACGTCCACGTCCTCCACGTCCACGTCCACGACCACGTCCACGTCAACGTCCACGTCCACGTCCACGTCCACGACCACGTCCACGTCCACGTCGACGTCCACGACCACGTCCACTCCACGACCACGTCCACATCCACGTCCACGTCCAAGTCCAGGACCACGTCCACGTCCACGTCCAGGTCCACGTCCACGTCCACGTCCAGGTCCACGTCCACGACCACGTCCACGTCCACGGCCACCTCTAGGTCCACGTCCACGTCCACGTCCATGTCCACGTCCTAGTCCTCCACGTCCACGACCACGTCCACGTCCACGTCCACGTCCACGTCCACGTCCACGTCCACGTCCAAGTCCAAGTCCACGTCCACGTCCACGTCCACGTCCACGTCCACGACCACATCCACGTCCACGTCCACGACCACGTCCACGTCCACGTCCACGTCCACGTCGACGTCCACGTCCTCCACGTCAACGTCCACGACCACGTCCACGTCCACGTCCACGTCCACGTCCAAGTCCTCCATGTTCACGACCACGTCCACGTGCACGTCTACGTCCACGTCCACGTCCACGTCCTCCACGTCCACGTCCACCTCCTCCACATCCACGTCCTCCACGTCCACGTCCACGTCCAAGTCCTCCATGTCCACGACCACGTCCACGTCGACGTCTACGTCCACGTCCACGTCTACGTCCACGTCCTCCACGTCCACGTCCACGTCCTCCACGTCCACGTCCTCCACGTCCACGTCCACGACCACGTCCACGTGCACGTCCACGACCACGTCCACGACCACGTCCACGTCCACGTCCACGTCCACGACCACGTCCACGACGACGTCCACGTCCACGTCCACGACCATGACCATGACCACGTCCACGACCACGTCAACGTCCACGTCCACGTCCACGTCCACGACCACGTCGACGTCCACGTCCACGTCGACGTCCACGTCCACGTCGACGTCCACGACCACGTCCACTCCACGACCACGTCCACATCCACGTCCACATCCAAGTCCATGTCCACGTCCACGTCCACGTCCAGGTCCACGTCCACGTCCACGTCCAGGTCCACGTCCACGACCACGTCCACGTCCACGACCACCTCCAGGTCCACGTCCACATCCACGTCCACGTCCATGTCCACGTCCAAGTCCTCCACGTCCCCGACCACGTCCACGTCCACGTCCACGTCCACGTCCAAGTCCACGTCCACGTCCAAGTCCACGTCCACGTCCACGTCCACGACCACGTCCACGTCCACGTCCACGACCATGTCCACGTCCACGTCCACGTCCAAGACCACGTCCACGTCCACGTCCACGTCCTCCACGACCACGTCCACGTCCACGACCACGTCCACGTCCACGACCATGTCCACGTCCACGTCCACGTCCAAGACCACGTCCACGTCCACGTCCACGTCCACGTCCTCCACGACCACGTCCACGTCCACGACAATGTCCACGTCCACGTCCACGTCCATGTCCACGTCCACGTCCACGTCGTGGACGACCACGTCCACGTCTACGACCACGTCCACGACCACGACCGAGTCCACGTCCACGTCCACGTCCACGTCCACGACCACGTCCTCCACGTCCACGACCACGACCACGTCCACGACCACGTCCACGTCCAGGTCCGCGTCCACGTCCACGACCACGTCCACGTCCACGTCCAAGTCCTCCACGTTCACGACGACGTCGATGTCGACGTCCACGTCCACGTCCACGACGACGTCCACGTCCAAGACCACGACCACGTCCACGACCACGACCACGACCACGTCCACGACCACGTCAACGTCCACGTCCACTCCACGACCACGTCCACGTCCAAGTCCAGGTCCACGTCCACGTCCACGCCCAGGTCCACGTCCACGTCCATGTCCTATTCGACGTCCACGTCCACGTCCACGTCCACGTCGACGTCCACGTCCACGTCCACGTCCTCGTCCACGTCCACGTCCTCCACGTCCACGTCCACGTCCTCCACGACCACGTCCACGTCCACGACCACGTCCACGACCACGTCCACTCCACGACCACGTCCACATCCCCATCCACGTCCAGGTCCCCGTCCACGTCCATGTCCAGGTCCACGTCTACGTCCACGTCCAGGTCCACGTCCACGACCACCTCCAGGTCCACGTCCACGTCCACCTCCAGATCCACGTCCACGTCCACGTCCACGTCCATGTCCACGTCCACGTCCTCCACGTCCACGTCCACATCCACGTCCACGTCCACGTCCAAGTCCATGTCCACGTCCACGACCACGTCCACGTCCACGTCCACGACCACGTCCACGTCCACGTCCACGTCCACGTCTTCCACGTCCACGTCCACGTCCACGTCCACGACCACGAACACATCCACATCCACGTCCACGTCCACGTCCAAGTCCTCCATGTCCACGACCACGTCCACGTCTACGTCTACGTCTACATCCACGTCCACGTCCACGTCCACGTCCATGTCCTCCACGTCCACGTCCACATCCTCCACGTCCACGTCCACGTCCACGTCCACGTCAAAGTCCTCCATGTCCACGACCACGTCCACGTCGATGTCTACGTCCACGTCCACGTCTACGTCCTCCACGTCCACGTCCACGTCCTCCACGTCCACGTCCTCCACGTCCACGTCCACGTCCACGTCCACGTCCACAACCACGTCCACGTCCACAACCACGTCCACGTCCACGTCCACGACCACGTCCACGACCACGTCCACGTCCAGGTCCGCGTCCACGTCCACGACCACGTCCACGTCCAGGTCCACGTCCACATCCACGTCCACGTCCACGACCACGTCCTCCACGTCCACGACCACGACCACGTCCACGACCACGTCCTCCACGTCCACGACCACGACCACGTCCACGACCACGTCCACGTCCAGGTCCGCGTCCACGTCCAAGTCCACGTCCACGTCCACGTCCAAGTCCACGTCCACGTCCACGTCCACGTCCACGACGACGTCCACGTCCACGTCCACGTCCAAGTCCACGTCCACGTCCACGTCCACGACGACGTCCACGTCCACCACCACGTCCACGTCCACGTCCACGTCCACCTCCAAGTCCTCCACGTCCACGACCACGTCCACGTCCACGTTTATGTCCACGTCCACGTCCTCCACGACCACGTCCACGTCCACGACCACGTCCACGTCCACGTCCACGACCACGTCCACGTCCACGACCACGTCCACGTCCACGTCCACGTCCACGACCACGTCCACGTCCACGACGATGTCCACGTCCACGTCCACGTCCACGTCCACGACCACGTCCACGTCCACGTCCACGTCCACGACCACGTCCACGACCATGAATACGACCACGTCCACGACCACGTCAACGTCCACGTCCACGTCCACGTCCACGTCCACGACCACGTCCACGTCGACGTCCACGACCACGTCCACTCCACGACCACGTCCACATCCACGTCCACGTCCAAGTCCAGGTCCACGTCCACGTCCACGTCCAGGTCCATGTCCACGTCCACGTCCAGGTCCACATCCATGTCCACGACCACGTCCACGTCCACGACCACCTCCAGGTCCACGTCCACGTCCACGTCCATGTCCACGTCCAAGTCCTCCACGTCCACGACCACGTCCACGTCCACGTCCACGTCCACGTCCACGACCACGACCACGTCCTCCATGTCCACGTCCACGTCCACGACCACGTCCACGTCCACGTCCACTTCCACGTCCAAGTCCTCCATGTCCACGACCACGTCCACGTGCACGTCTACGTCCATGTCCACGTCCAGGTCCTCCACGTCCACGTCCACCTCCTCCACATCCACGTCCTCCACTTCCACGTCCACGTCCACGTCCAAGTCCTCCATGTCCACGACCACGTCCACGTCGACGTCTACATCCACGTCCACGTCTACGTCCACGTCCTCCACGTCCACGTCCACGTCCTCCACGTCCACGTCCTCCACGTACACGTCCACGACCACGTCCACGACCACGTCCACGACGACGTCCACGTCCACGACGACGTCCACGTCCACGTCCACGTCCACGAACATGTCCACGTCCACGTCCAAGTCCACGACCTCGTCCACGACCATGACCACGACCACGTCCACGACCACGTCAACGTCCACGTCCACGTCCACGTCGACGTCCACGACCACGCCCACTCCAAAACCACGTCCACATCCACGTCCACATCCAAGTCCATGTCCACGTCCACGTCCACGTCCAGGTCCACGTCCACGTCCACGTCCAGGTCCACGTCCACGACCACGTCCACGTCCACGACCACCTCCAAGTCCACGTCCACGTCCACGTCCACGTCCATGTCCACGTCCAAGTCCTCCACGTCCACGACCACGTCCACGTCCACGTCCACGTCCAAGTCCACGTCCACGTCCACATCCACGTCCACGACCACGTCCACGACCACGTCCACGTCCACGTCCAGGTCCACGTCCACATCCACGTCCACGTCCAAGTCCTCCACGTCCACGTCCTCCACGTCCACGTCCACGTCCACGTCCACGTCCACAACCACGTCCACGTCCACAACCACGTCCACGTCCACGACCACGTCCACGACCACGTCCACGTCCAGGTCCGCGTCCACGTCCACGACCACGTCCACGTTCAGGTCCACGTCCACATCCACGTCCACGTCCACGACCACGTCATCCACGTCCACGACCACGACCACGTCCACGACCACGTCCTCCACGTCCACGACCACGACCACGTCCACGACCACGTCCACGTCCAGGTCCGCGTCCACGTCCAAGTCCACGTCCACGTCCACGTCCAAGTCCACGTCCACGTCCACGTCCACGTCCACGACGACGTCCACGTCCACGTCCACGTCCAAGTCCACGTCCACGTCCACGTCCACAACGACGTCCACGTCCACCACCACGTCCACGTCCACGTCCACGTCCACCTCCAAGTCCTCCACGTCCACGACCACGTCCACGTCCACATTTATGTCCACGTCCACGTCCTCCACGACCACGTCCACGTCCACGACCAAATCCACGTCCACGTCCACGACCACGTCCACGACCACGTCCACGTCCACGTCCACGTCCACGACCACGTCCACGTCCACGACGATGTCCACGTCCACGTCCACGTCCACGTCCACGACCACGTCCACGTCCACGTCCACGTCCACGACCACGTCCACGACCATGAATACGACCACGTCCACGACCACGTCAACGTCCATGTCCACGTCCACGTCCACGACCACGTCCACGTCGACGTCCACGACCACGTCCACTCCACGACCACGTCCACATCCACGTCCACGTCCAAGTCCAGGTCCACGTCCACGTCCACGTCCAGGTCCATGTCCACGTCCACGTCCAGGTCCACATCCACGTCCACGACCACGTCCACGTCCACGACCACCTCCAGGTCAACGTCCACGTCCACGTCCATGTCCACGTCCAAGTCCTCCACGTCCACGACCACGTCCACGTCCACGTCCACGTCCACGTCCACGACCACGACCACGTCCTCCATGTCCACGTCCACGTCCACGACCACGTCTACGTCCACGTCCACTTCCACGTCAAAGTCCTCCATGTCCACGACCACGTCCACGTGCACGTCTACGTCCATGTCCACGTCCAGGTCCTCCACGTCCACGTCCACCTCCTCCACATCCACGTCCTCCACTTCCACGTCCACGTCCACGTCCAAGTCCTCCATGTCCACGACCACGTCCACGTCGACGTCTACATCCACGTCCACGTCTACGTCCACGTCCTCCACGTCCACGTCCACGTCCTCCACGTCCACGTCCTCCACGTCCACGTCCACGACCAGGTCCACGACCACGTCCACGACGACGTCCACGTCCACGACGACGTCCACGTCCACGTCCACGTCCACGAACACGTCCACGTCCACGTCCAAGTCCACGACCTCGTCCACGACCATGACCACGACCACGTCCACGACCACGTCAACGTCCACGTCCACGTCCACGTCGACGTCCACGACCACGCCCACTCCAAAACCACGTCCACATCCACGTCCACATCCAAGTCCATGTCCACGTCCACGTCCACGTCCACGTCCACGTCCACGTCCACGTCCAGGTCCACGTCCACGACCACGTCCACGTCCACGACCACCTCCAAGTCCACGTCCACGTCCACGTCCACGTCCACGTCCATGTCCACGTCCACGTCCACGTCCACGACCACGTCCACGTCCACGTCCACGTCCAAGTCCACGTCCACGTCCACATCCACGTCCACGACCACGTCCACGACCACGTCCACGTCCACGTCCAGGTCCACGTCCACATCCACGTCCACGTCCAAGTCCTCCACGTCCACGACCACGTCCATGTCCACGTCCACGTCCACGTCCACGTCGTGGACGACCACGTCCACGTCTACGACCACGTCCACGACCACGACCACGTCCACGTCCACGTCCACGACCACGTCCTCCACGTCCACGACCACGACCACGTCCACGACCACGTCCACGTCCAGGTCCGCGTCCACGTCCACGACCACGTCCACGTACACGTCCAAGTCCTCCACGTTCACGACGATGTCCACGTCCACGTCCACGTCCACGTCCACGTCCACGACCACGTCCACGTCCAAGACCACGACCACGTCCACGTCCACGACCACGACTACGTCAACGTCCACGTCCACGACCACGTCCACTCTACGACAACGTCCACGTCCACGTCCACGTCCACGTCCACGCCCAGGTCCACGTCCACGTCCACGTCCTATTCGACGTCCACGTCCACGTCCACGTCCACGTCCTCGTCCATGTCCACGTCCTCCACGTCCACGTCCACGTCCTCCACGACCACGTCCACGTCCACGACCACGTCCACGACCACGTCCACTCCACGACCACGTCCACATCCACGTCCACGTCCAGGTCCACGTCCACGTCCACGTCCAGGTCCACGTCGACGTCCACGTCCAGGTCCACGTCCACGTCCACCTCCAGGTCCACGTCCACGTCCTCCACGTCCACGTCCACGTCCACGTCCACGTCCAAGTCCACGTCCACGTCCACGACCACGTCCACGTCCACGACCACGTCCACGTCCACGTCCACGTCTTCCACGTCCACGTCCACGTCCACGTCCACGACCACGAACACATCCACGTCCACGTCCACGTCCAAGTCCTCCATGTCCACGAGCACGTCCACGTCTACGTCCACGTCCACGTCCACGTCCACGTCCTCCACGTCCACGTCCACGTCCTCCACGTCCACATCCTCCACGTCCACGTCCACGTCCACGTCCACGTCCAAGTCCTCCATGTCCACGACCACGTCCACGTCGACGTCTACGTCCACGTCCACGTCCACGTCCTCCACGTCCACGTCCACGTCCTCCACGTCCACGTCCTCCACGTCCGCGTCCACGTCCACGTCCACAACCACGTCCACGTCCACAACCACGTCCACGTCCACGTCCACGTCCACGACCACGTCCACGTCCACGACGACGTCCACGTCCACGTCCACGTCCACGACCACGTCCACGACCACGTCCACGACCATGACCACGACCACGTCCACATCCACGTCCACGTCCAAGTCCAGGTCCACGTCCACGTTCACGTCTAGGTCCACGTCCACGTCCACGTCCAGGTCCACATCTACGTCCACGACCACGTCCACGTCCACGACCACCTCCAGGTCCACGTCCACGTCCACGTCCACGTCCACGTCCATGTCCACGTCCAAGTCCTCCACGTCCACGACCACGTCCACGTCCACGTCCACGTCCACGTCCAAGTCCACGTCCACGTCCACGTCCACGTCCACGTCCACGACCACGTCCACGTCCACGTCCACGACCACGTCCACGTCCACGTCCACGACCACGTCCACGTCCATGTCCACGTCCATGTCCACGTCCACGTCCTCCACGACCACGTCCACGTCCACGACCACGTCCACGTCCACATCCACGTCCAGGTCCACGTCCACCTCCACGTCCACGTCCAAGTCCTCCACGTCCACGACCACGTCCATGTCCACGTCCACGTCCACGTCCACGTTGTGGACGACCACGTCCACGTCTACGACCACGTCCACGACCACGACCACGTCCACGTCCACGTCCACGTCCACGACCACGTCCTCTACGTCCATGACCACGACCACGTCTATGACCACGTCCACGTCAAGGTCCGCGTCCACGTCCACGACCACGTCCACGTCAACGTCCAAGTCCTCCACGTTCACGACGACGTCCACGTCCACGTCCACGTCCACGACCACGTCCACGTCCAACACCACGACCACGTCCACGACCAGGACCACGACCACGTCCACGACCACGTCCACGTCCACGTCCACGTCCAAGACAACGTCCACGTCCACGTCCACGTCCTCCACGACCACGTCCACGTCCACGACACGTCCACGTCCACGTCCACGTCCAGGTCCACGTCCACATCCACGTCCACGTCCAAGTCCTCCACGTCCACGACCACGTCCATGTCCACGTCCACGTCCACGTCGTGGACGACCACGTCCACGTCTACAACCACGTCCACGACCACGACCACGTCCACGTCCACGACCACGTCCTCCACGTCCACGACCACGACCACGTCCACGACCACGTCCACGTCCAGGTCCGCGTCCACGTCCACGACCACGTCCACGTCCACGTCCAAGTCCTCCACGTTCACGACGACGTCCACGTCCTCGTCCACGACCACGACCACGACCACGTCCACGACCACGTCAACGTCCACGTCCACGACCACGTCCACTCCACGACCACGTCCACGTCCAAGTCCAGGTCCACGTCCACGTCCACGTCCACGTCCATGTCCACGCCCAGGTCCACGTCCACGTCCACGTCCTATTCGATGTCCACGTCCACGTCCATGTCCTCGTCCATGTCCACGTCCTCCACGTCCACGTCCACGTCCTCCACGACCACGTCCACGTCCACGACCACGTCCACGACCACGTCCACTCCACGACCACGTCCACATCCACGTCCACGTCCAGGTCCACGTCCACGTCCACGTCGAGGTCCACGTCGACGTCCAGGTCCACGTCCACGTCCACCTCCAGGTCCAGGTCCACGTCCATGTCTACGTCCATGTCCACGTCCACGTCCTCCACGTCCACGTCCACGTCCACGTCCAAGTCCACGTCCACGTCCACGACCACGTCCACGTCCACGTCCACGTCCACGTCTTCCACGTCCACGTCCACGTCCACGACCACGAACACATCCACTGTCAGAACTTATAGCTTACTTGTTTCTGTAGGCTATAGTGGGGTATCCCATAGGGGGTACAACCCAATTAGGGTTTCCTATTTATACTCACTTCGTTCATAGTCATTTCATTCTCGTTCTTTGTTTCCACATGGAATCAGAGCAGGTTCCCTCCTAGGGACTGCTTCTAGGGCCCACCGAACCGCGCCCCGAGGCGCGTTTTTTTTTAGCGACCCGTCGTGTCGCCCCTAGCGGACCGTTGCGCCGCCCTTCCCCTCGCGGCTCCGCCGCCCTTCCCTAGCGGCCCCGCCGCCCTTCGATCGCGGCCCCGCCGCCCTCTGCTACGCGGCCCCGCCGCCGCCCTTCGTTCGCGGCCCCGCCGCCCTCGGCTACGCGGCCCCGCCGCCCTCTGCTACGCGGCCCCGCCGCCCTCTGCTACGCGGCCCCGCCGCCCTCTGCTACGCGGCCCCGCCGCCCTTCGATCGCGGCCCCGCCGCCCTTTGCCACGCGGCCCCGCCGCCCTCTACTACGCGGCCCCGCCGCCCTCTGCTACGCGGCCCCGCCGCCCTTCGATCGCGGCCCCGCCGCCCTCTGCTACGCGGCCTCGCCGCCCTCTGCTACGCGGCCCCGCCGCCCCCTGCTACGCGGCCCCGCCGCTCTCTTCGGTCGCGGCCCCGCCGCCCTCTGCTACGCGGCCCCGCCGCCCTCTGCTACGCGGCCCCGCCGCCCTCTGCTACGCGGCCCCGCCGCTCTCTTCGGTCGCGGCCCCGCCGCCACTCTGCTACGCGGCCCCGCCGATCCGCCCAGCAGCAGCCGCCGCCGCCTGAGCCGCCGCCGAGCCGCCGCCGAGCCGTCGCCGAGCCGCCGCCGAGCCGCCGCCGAGCCGCCGCCGAGCCGCCGCCCGAGCCGCCGCCGAGCCGCCAGAGCCGCCGCCGAGCCGCCCGTGACGCCCGAGCCGCCCGCGCCGCCCAGCAGCAGCCGAGCCGCCGCCGAGCCGCCGCCGCCTGAGCCGCCGCCGAGCCGCCGCCGAGCCGCCGCCGAACCGCCGCCGAGCCGCCGCCCGAGCCGCCGCCGAGCCGCCCGCGCCGCCCGAGCCGCCTGCGGAGCCGTGCTGCTGTTCCTCTGCTGCTGACCTACCCGCCTCTCCCAGCCCGGTGAGATTTTCAGCTGCTGTCATGGCCACCCCCAATGTTCTTACCTTTGACGCTGAGGGGAGGGCCATTGACTTTGCCGTCTGGATTGAAGACCTGCAGCTGTACTTACTGTGTGATGCGATAGATGAGGTCTCTCTCTTTGACTTTGTCTCTGGCGCTGTCCCTGCCCCACCTGCTGATGCTGACTCTGCCGTTCGCTCCAAGTGGGCGACCCGCGATGCTGCTGCACGTCTTGCTGTGCGTCGCCACCTCCCTTCCTCTGAGCGTGCCCACTTTAGTCAGTGCAAGACCGCTCAGGCCTTGTACGACGCTGTAGTTGCACGCTACTCCTCCCCTTCCTCCGCTACCCTTAGCCGCCTCATGCTACCGTTTCTCTTCCCTGACCTCGCTTCCTTTCCCACTGTCGCTGACCTCGTTACCCACCTCCGTGCTAGTGACACCCGCTACCGCGCTGCCCTTCCTGCTGAGTTCCGCGCTGCGAACCCTCCTCCCATGTACATCACTCTCTACTTTCTCGTCACCCGTCTCCCTGAGTCCCTTCGTGTCGTTAGGGACCAGTTTCTCTCTGTCTGTCCCACCACTCTCACTGTCGACCTCCTTGAGGAGTCCCTGCTAGCGGCTGAGAAGAGTATTGTCGCTGTAGGGGCCTCTCGGGGTGACCCTCGCACCCCTATCTTTGAGGGGTGTGGTCCTTCCCCCCTGCTGCCCTCTGTCGCCTCTGCCGCTGCGGCCGACCTCACTGGTTTTGAGTCGGTCGGCGCGGCGTCTGCCCCCAGCGGCAGACGCCGCGCTGGCAAGGGCAAGGGGGGCAAGGGAGCGGGTGGAGCTAGAGGGGGCGGTGGAGGAGGCGGTGGGGGTGGCGGGGGGAGTGGGGGTGGCGGTGGGGGTGGTGGCGGGAGTGGAGGTACTGGTGGCGGCGGTGGAGGCGGAGGTGGCGGCGGAGGTGGTAGCGGAGGAGGCGGTGGGAGCGGTGGGAGCGACGGTCCTTGTGGGGGAGGTGGAGGTGGAGACGGGGGTGGCGGTGGAGGCGGGGGTGGCAGTGGAGGCGGGGGTCGGAGTGGCTCGTCCCAGCGGAGCAGCTCCGGGGGTGGTCAGCGCCAGCAGCAGCAGCAGCAGCAGCCGCAGCAGCAGCCACAGCAGCAGCAGCGCTCTCGCACCGTCCCCGCCCCTCAGCAGCTCCGTGAGTGGTACTCGCAGCGTCAGCGTGGTGGTGCGCTTGGTCCTTGCCCCTACGTTCTCCGCACCGGTGACCGTGCAGGGGAGAGGTGTGGAGGCGCCCACACTGCCCGCCGCTGCTTTGGCCGCCTGACTGACGCCTGGCGTCAGCAGTTTCCGGAGGCAGCTGAGATCCCCCGCTGGGGAGAGCTGTCTAGGGCTGGTGTAGCTATTTATGATCTTGATTTTGATGCTATTCTCTCTGCTATGTATGCTGCGATTGGTAGTGATGAGGATGACTGTTACCGGTGTTTCCCGCCCGACCCGGGCATTGGTACTGCCGCGTCAGGTACTAGTGAGGCTGCTGCTCTAGGTGCCAGTGCGTCTGTGCTCTCAGGTGCTGGTGAGTCTGCCCTCTCAGGTACTGTGTCGGCTTCGGCCTCTCACACCTTCACCCTTGACTCTGGAGCGTCTCGCTCCTTCTTTCGGGACCGCACCACTCTCACGCCGCTGAGTCGGCCGGTTGCGGTGTCCCTGGCTGACCCCTCTGGGGGGCCTGTCCTGTCTCGCTTCTCCACTGTCCTCCCGTGTCCGGCGGCCCCCTCTGGCACCCTGACTGGTCTCTACCTCCCCTCGTTCTCGACGAACTTGGTGAGTGGTGCTGACCTCCAGGATGCGGGTGTCCACCAGTTCACCCCTGCTCGTCAGCGGGTGACCCACTGCACGGAGGCGGATACAGGTCGCCACCTGGCTACGTTTACACGTCGGCCAGGGTCGAGCCTGTACACTCTGACCACTGCTTCTCCTCCAGGTGCTGAGTCTGGTAGGGTCACTTCGTCTGGTCAGGTGTTTGCTGCAGCGTCCAGGTCTGGTCCTGAGTCTGCCCCCTGCTCGTGCCGTCGTTTGTCTCACGAGACCCTCCTCTGGCACCACTGCCTTGGCCACCCCTCTCTGCTTCGGCTCAGAGGCATGGCCTCGCGAGTCCTTGTGTCTGGTCTTCCCCGGTCTCTCCCTCCCCTTCCTCCGGGCCCTGGCCCCACCTGTGTCCCCTGTGTCGAGGGGCGCCAGCGTGCTGCCCCTCACTCCTCCCAGTTTCCTCCGACAGAGGCCCCGTTGCAGACGCTTCACATGGATGTGTGGGGCCCAGCCCGCGTCCGTGGACAGGGTCAGGAGCGCTACTTCCTGCTGGTGGTTGACGACTACTCGCGTTACACCACAGTCTTCCCCTTGCGCAGCAAGGGTGAGGTCACTGCGGTGTTGATCGACTGGATCCGCGCAGCTCGTCTCCAGCTTCGGAGGAGCTTTGGCTCTGACTTCCCTGTTTTGCGTCTGCACTCGGACAGAGGCGGAGAGTTCTCCTCTGGCCTCCTGAGTGCCTACTGTCGTGCGCGAGGCATCCGTCAGACCTTCACGCTTCCGGACTCACCGCAGCAGAATGGGATTGCTGAGCGCCGCATTGGCATGGTCATGGACGTCGCTCGTACGTCCATGATGCATGCGGCTGCTCCCCATTTTCTGTGGCCGTTTGCGGTCAGGTACGCTGCGCACCAGATCAACCTCCACCCCAGGGTCTCTCGACCGGAGACCTCCCCAGCCCTGCTGTGGACGGGGAAGGTTGGCGATGCGTCGGCGTTCCGGGTCTGGGGATCTCGGGCGTTTGTTCGCGACCTGTCTGCGGACAAGCTATCCCCTCGTGCTTCTCCCTGCGTCTTCCTGGGGTTCCCCCCCGACGCCCCTGGGTGGCAGTTTTACCACCCCACCTCTCGACGTGTTCTGTCCTCCCAGGACGTCACGTTCGACGAGTCGGTACCCTACTACCGCCTCTTCCCCTACCGCACTCCGTCCCTCCCCCCACCCCCGCTCTTCTTGGTACCAGGTCCCCCCCCGGTAGTCCCCCTCCCCCCTCAGGGTCCTGCCCCTTCAGGTGTGTCCCAGGTAGACGCGGTCGAGCCTGTCGAGGTCACTGGTGACTCTGGTGCTGCTGTGGGAGCTGAGCCTGGGGGTGCGGAGTCTGGGGGTGCTGAGCCTGGAGGTGCCGAGTCTGGGGGTGCTGAGCCTGGGGGTGCTGAGCCTGGGGGTGCTGTGCCTGGGGGTGCTGAGTCTGGAGGTGCCGAGTCTGGGGGTGCTGTGCCTGGGGGTGCTGAGCCTGGGGGTGCTGAGCCTGGGGTTGCTGAGCCTGGGGGTGCTGAGCCTGGGGGTGACGTGCCTGGGGGTGCTGTGTCTAGGGGTGCTGAGCCTGGAGGTGCTGTGCCTGGGGGTGCTTCGTCTCGCCGGGAGCCACTCTCCCCACAGGAGCTGCGTGAGTGGTTTGCCGGGCGCTGGAGGCGTGCTGCTGGTGCTGGTGGTTCTTCGGCTGCAGAGGGTACTGCTGCTGCGCGCCCCGCCGGCGCTCGTACTGTGGGTGCTGGAGCTGCTGAGTCTGAGAGTTCTCCTGGAGCTGGTCCTGCTGAGGGTGTTGGCGCTGAGCCTGCCGTTGGCGGCCCGACTGACAGTGCTCCTGGTGCTGCGGCTGGAGGTTCTGGAGCTTCTGGTGGTGCTGCTGGAGGTGCTACTGGAGTGGGTGCTCCTGCCGGGGCTGCTGGTGCTGTTCCTGCTGTTTCTAGCGTCGCCGCGCGGCCCCGACCGTACTTCGTTCCGCTCCTGCAGCAGGTTCTTGGTCTTACACCTCCTCCTCCTCCCTTAGAGGGTCCGCAGCCTGTCCGGTCACAGCCACAGCTACAGCCTGCCTCCCCTTTGCCTGCTCCTTCTCCCTACGCTGGTCCGACTGGAGGTCTTACTGAGCGTCGTGAGCCTGCGTCTCGTCCTGTGTCGCCTGTTCGTACTGAGCGCGCTAGTGGTCGCGGGTCGCGTCAGCGTCCTCCTCCTGTCCCTGGCACGCACCGGATGTCACTGCGTCCGTCCACTGCTCCTCTGCGTGCCCCTTTGCCTTCTCCTCCTGCTTCCTCTCTTCCTGCTCTTGCCGACCCGGAGTCGGACGCCCTTCGTGCTGCCAGTCCTACTGTCACGCGTCTCCTGGCTACTGCTGTCACTGACCCCTCCTTCGAGTCGTCTGCTGCGTCTGCCCTTGTCACTGAGCTTGTCGACTTTGCTGCGCGCTGTCGTCTAGACTACGCTGCTCGTCTTGTCACTGAGTCTGAGTCCGCCTGTCCTCCGCCCGTCGGGGGTGAGTGTGCCCTTGGCACGGACGTCCTTGAGGACAGACAGGAGGAGTTCCAGTGTCTGGCCGCCGCTTCACCTCGTCTCGCGTCTGTACTGCTAGCCCCTGAGGGAGACCCGGATGCACCAGACATCCCGACTCCGCGCTCTTACGCGGAGGCGATAGAGGGTCCCTACTCCTCTCAGTGGCAGGCAGCTATGGATGCAGAGATGGCTTCCTGGAAGTCCACAGGCACCTACGTTGACGCTGTTCCCCCTCCTGGGGCGAACATCGTCAGTGGCATGTGGATTTTCAGGGTGAAGCGGCCGCCGGGTTCTCCGCCTGTCTTCAAGGCGCGTTACGTGGCTCGTGGCTTCAGTCAGCGGCAGGGGGTTGACTACTTTCAGACCTTCTCCCCCACCCCGAAGATGACCACTCTTCGGGTTCTGCTACACGTTGCTGCTCACCGTGACTACGAGCTGCACTCTCTCGACTTCAGCACAGCTTTCTTGCAGGGCAGCCTGCACGAGGAGATCTGGCTGCGTCGCCCACCTGGCTTCACTGGGTCTTTCCCTCCTGGTACCCAGTGGAGTCTCCGGCGTCCAGTCTACGGTCTCCGCCAGGCGCCACGTGAGTGGCACGACACACTGAGGACTACGCTCGCGGCACTTGGGTTTGCTCCTTCCACTGCCGACCCGTCGCTGTTTCTGCGCACCGACACCTCTCTGCCGCCGTTCTACATCCTCGTGTACGTCGACGACTTGGTCTTTGCCACAGCTGACACTGCTGGACTCGCCTACGTGAAGTCCGAGCTGCAGAAGAGACACACGTGCACTGACCTGGGTGAACTGCGCAGCTACCTTGGCTTGCAGATCACCCGGGACAGAGCACGCCGCACCATTACCCTGACTCAGTCACACATGGTGCAGCAGGTCCTTCAGCGCTTCGGCTTCACGTACTCCTCGCCTCAGGCCACTCCTCTGCCTACTCGCCACTCGCTCTCAGCTCTGCCTTCGGATGAGTCCGTAGAGTCGAGTGGCCCGTTTGCAGAGCTTGTTGGCTGCCTCATGTACCTGATGACCTGCACACGACCTGACCTCGCATACCCTCTTAGCATTCTCGCACGCTTTGTTGCTCCTGGGAGACACCGACCAGAGCACATGGCTGCAGCGAAGAGGGTGTTGCGCTACTTGTGCAGTACGTCGGGCATGGGGCTAGTGCTTGGAGGGCGCAGTCCAGTGGTCCTCACTGGGCACGCAGACGCTTCTTGGGCTGACGACCAGGCTACGCAGCGGTCGTCACAGGGTTACACCTTCAGCCTTGGTTCCGGCTCTGTCTCGTGGCGGGCTACCCGCTCGTCTTCTGTTCTCGGCTCCAGTTGTGAGGCTGAGATCTACGCTGGGGCTATGGCTGCACAGGAGTTACGCTGGCTCACCTACCTGCTGACCGACCTTGGAGAGCAGCCTCGTTCTCCTCCAGTCCTGTACGTAGACAACAAGGCCATGCTGGCCTTGTGTCGAGAGTAGCGACTGGAGCACAGAACGAAGCACATTGCTCTTCGTTACTTTCTTGCTCGTGAGCTACAGCAGCGTGGACAGCTGCGACTTGCGTACGTGGCCTCTGAGGCCAACACTGCTGATGTCTTCACCAAGGCACTTGCGCCTTGTGATCATCAGCGTTGCTGCACGCAGTTGGGTCTTGTGCCTGTCTTGCCTCACTTGCTCTCCTCTTGACCTTGCTTGTACTTTCGCATATATATACTCTTGTTCTTGTATATCTCTATATATGATCTTGCATGTGAACTGGCCTTGTGGCCTTTGAACTTGTGCTCGGAATGCGTGGTGACTTTGTGATCCACCCTGAGCTTTGCTTTGCTTTGCTTGACTGGTCTTGTGACCCCTTGTTCTCCCCCACTTTGCCTATGGGGGTGTGTCAGAACTTATAGCTTACTTGTTTCTGTAGGCTATAGTGGGGTATCCCATAGGGGGTACAACCCAATTAGGGTTTCCTATTTGTACTCACTTCGTTCATAGTCATTTCATTCTCGTTCTTTGTTTCCACATCCACGTCCACGTCCACGTCCACGTCCAAGTCCTCCATGTCCACGACCACGTCCACGTCTACGTCCACGTCCACGTCCACGTCCACGTCCTCCACGTCCACGTCCACGTCCTCCACGTCCACATCCTCCACGTCCACGTCCACGTCGACGTCCACGTCCAAGTCCTCCATGTCCACGACCACGTCCACGTCGACGTCTACGTCCACGTCCACGTCCACGTCCTCCACGTCCACGTCCATGTCCTCAACGTCCACGTCCTCCACGTCCACGTCCACGTCCACGGCCACGTCCACGTCCACGTCCACAACCACGTCCACGTCCACAACCACGTCCACGTCCACGTCCACGTCCACGACCACTTCCACGTCCACGACGACGTCCACGTCCACGTCCACGTCCACGACCACGTCCACGTCCACGTCCACGACCATGTCCACGACCATGACCACGACCACGTCCACGACCACGTCAACGTCCACGTCCACGTCCACGTCCACGACCACGTCCACGTCCTCGTCGACGTCCACGACCACGTCCACGTCCACGTCCACGTCGACGTCCACGACCACGTCCACTCCACGACCACGTCCACGTCCACGTCCACGTCCACGTCCAGGTCCACATCTACGTCCACGACCACGTCCACGTCCACGACCACCTCCAGGTCCACGTCCACGTCCACGTCCACGTCCATGTCCACGTCCAAGTCCTCCACGTCCACGACCACGTCCACGTCCACGTCCACGTCCACGTCCACGTCCAAGTCCACATCCACGTCCACATCCACGTCCACGACCACGTCCACGACCACGTCCACGACCACGTCCACGACCACGTCCACGTCCACGACCACGTCCACGTCCAGGTCCACGACCACGTCCACGTCCATGTCCACGTCCACGTCCAAGTCCACGTCCACGTCCACGTCCACGACCACGTCCACGTCCATGTCCACGTCCACGTCCACGTCCTCCATGACCACGACCACGTCCACGACCACGTCAACGTCCACGTCCACGTCCATGTCCACCTCCACGTCCACGACCACGTCCATGTTCACGTCCACGTCCACGTCCACGTTGTGGACGACCACGTCCACGACCACGACCACGTCCACGTCCACGTCCACGTCCACGACTCTTTACTTTGTGAGAAATGACCGTTTGCGTTCTCCCTGGCCGTACTTGCACTATAAGTGCGAAATGCCGGCCAGACTGGCCGATGCACCATTTTCTCTACACATGTGCGTTAGTTACCTTTTAAACCCTTACGTTCACTAGATGAATATATTTCCTACCTTCTATTTGAGTGAGACCACTAGATTCCGTGTACTATGCGAGATCTGAGCGGTTCCGTTCTCCCAGGCATTTGCACTCTAAGTTCCCATACTGACCGACCTGACCAATGCACCATTTTCCATATACATATGCATTAGATTCCTTTCGAACCTTATTAGCTCACTAGATTTATATATTTCCCACCTTCTGATCGAGTGAGACCGCTAGATTCCCTTTACTTTTTTAGAAATGAGCGTTTGCGTTCTCCCTGGCCCTACTTGCACTATAAGTGCGAAATGCCGGCCAGACTGTCCGATGCACCATTTTCTCTACACATGTGCGTTAGTTACCTTTCAAACCCTTACGTTCACTAGATGAATATATGTCCTACCTTCTATTTGAGAGAGACCACTAGATTCCGTGTACTATGCGAGATCTGAGCACTTCCGTTCTCCCTGGCATTTGCATTTTAAGTTCTCATACTGGCCGACCTGGCCAATGCACCATTTTCCATATACATGTGCATAAGATACCTTTTGAACCTTATTAGCTCACTAGATTTATATATTTCCCACCTTCTGATCGAGTGAGACCGCTAGATTCCCTTTACTTATTGAGAAATGAGCGTTTCCGTTCTCCTTGGCCCCACTTGCACTATAAGTGCGAAATGCCGGCCAGACTGGCCGATGCACCATTTTCTCTACACATGTGCGTTAGTTACCTTTCAAACCCTTACGTTCACTCGATTAATATATTTCCTACCTTATATTTGAGTGAGACCACTAGATTCCGTGTACTATGCGAGATCTGAGCGGTTCCGTTCTCCAAGGCATTTGCACTCTAAGTTCCCATATTGACCGACCTGGCCAATACACCATTTTCCATATACATATGCATTAGATTCCTTTCGAACCTTATTAGCTCACTAGATTTATATATTTCCCACCTTCTGATCGAGTGAGACCGCTAGATTCCCTTTACTTTTTTAGAAATGAGCGTTTGCGTTCTCCCTGGCCCTACTTGCACTATAAGTGCGAAATGCCGGCCAGACTGGCCGATGCACCAGTTTCTCTACACATGTGCGTTAGTTACCTTTCAAACCCTTAAATTCACTAGATGAATATATTTCCTACCTTCTATTTGAGTGAGACCACTAGATTCAGTGTACTATGCGAGATCTGAGCGGTTCCGTTCTCCCAGGCATTTGCACTCTAAGTTCCCGTACAGACCAACCTGGCCAATGCACCATTTTCCATATACATATGCATTAGATTCCTTTCGAACCTTATTAGCTGACGAGATTTATATATTTCCCACCTTCTGATCGAGTGAGACCGCTAGATTCCCTTTACTTTTTGAGAAATGAGCGTTTCCGTTCTCCTTGGCCCTACTTGCACTATAAGTGCGAAATGCCGGCCAGACTGTCCGATGCACCATTTTCTCTACACATGTGCGTTAGTTACCTTTCAAACCCTTACGTTCACTAGATGAATATATTTCCTACCTTCTATTTGAGTGAGACCACTAGATTCCGTGTACTATGCGAGATCTGAGCGCTTCCGTTCTCCCTGGCATTTGCATTTTAAGTTCCCATACTTACCGACCTGGCCAATGCACTATTTTCCAAATAAATGTGCATTAGATACCTTTTAAACCTTATTAGCTCACTAGATTTATATATTTCCCACCTTCTGATCGAGTGAGACCACTAGATTCCCTTTACTTTTTGAGAAATGAGCGTTTCCGTTCTCCCTGGCCCTACTTGGACTAAAAGTGCGAAATGCCGGCCAGACTGGCCGATGCACCATTTTCTCTACACATGTGCGTTAGTTACCTTTCAAACCCTTACGTTCACTCGATTAATATATTTCCTACATTATATTTGAGTGAGACCACTAGATTCCGTGTACTATGCGAGATCTGAGCGGTTCCGTTCTCCCAGGCATTTGCACTCTGAGTTCCCATACTGACCGACCTGACCAATGCACCATTTTCCATATACATATGCATTAGATTCCTTTCGAACCTTATTAGCTCACTAGATTTATATATTTCCCACCTTCTGATCGAGTGACACCGCTAGATTCCCTTTACTTTTTGAGAAATGAGCGTTTGCGTTCTCCCTGGCCATACTTGCACTATAAGTGCGAAATGCCGGCCAGACTGGCCGATGCACCATTTTCTCTACACATGTGCGTTAGTTACCTTTTAAACCCTAACGTTCACTAGATAAATATATTTCCTACCTTCTATTTGAGTGAGACCACTAGATTCTGTGTACTATGCGAGATCTAGGCGCTTCCGTTCTCCCTGGCATTTGCATTTTAAGTTCCCATACTGACCGACCTGGCCAATGCACTATTTTCCATATAAATGTGCATTAGATACCTTTCGAAACTTATTAGCTCACTAGATTTATATATTTCCCACCTTCTGATCGAGTGAGACCGCTAGATTCCCTTTACTTTTTGAGAAATGAGCGTTTGCGTTCTCCCTGGCCGTACTTGCACTATAAGTGCGAAATGCCGGCCAGACTGGCCGATGCACCATTTTCTCTACAAATGTGCGTTAGTTACCTTTCAAACCCATACTTGCCTCGTCCAGGGGCGTGCCTGGTCCAGGAGCTTGCCTGGTCAAGGAGCTTGCCTGGTCCAGGAGCTTGCTTGGTCCACGAGCTTGCATGGTTCACGAGCTTGCCTGGTCCAAAAGCGTGCGTGGTCCACGAGCGTGCTTGGTCCAGGAGCTTGCCTCGTCCTATAGCTTGCCTCGTCCAGGAGCTTGCCTGGTCCAGGAGCTTGCCTGGTCCAGGAGCTTGCATGGTCCACGAGCCTGCCTAGTACAAGAGCTTGCCTGGTCCAAGGGCGTGCGTGGTCCACGAGCGTGCCTGGTCCAGGAGCTTGCCTCGTCCAGGAGCTTGCCTCGTCCAGGAGCTTGCCTGGTCCATGAGCTTGCCTGGTCCATGAGCTTGTCTGGTCCATGAGCGTGCCTGGTCCAAGTGCTTGCGTGGTCCAGGTGCTTGCATTGGTCTGGGAGCTTGCCTGGTCCAGAAGCTTGCCTGGTTCAGGAGCTTGCCTGGTCCAGGAACTTGCCTTTTCCAGGAGCTTGCTTGGTCCAAAAGCTTGCCTGGTACAAGACCTTGCCTGGTCCAGGAGCGTGCCTGGTCCGCGAGCTTGCTGGTCCAGGAGCGTGCCTGGTCCAGGAGCGTGCCTGGTCCACGAGCGGGCCTGGTCCAGGAGCTTGCCTGGTCCACGAGCTTGCCTGGTCCAGTAGCTTGCCTGGTCCACGAGCCTTCCTGGTCAAAGAGCTTGTCGGGTCCAGGAGCGTGCCTGGTCCACGAGCGTGCGTGGTCCAGGAGCTTGCCTGGTCTAGGAGCTTGCCTGGTCCAGGAGCTTGCAGGTCTAGGACCTTGCCTGGTCCAAGAGCTTGCCTGGTCCAGGAGCTTGCTGGTCCACGAGCTTGCCTGGTCTAGGAGCTTGCTTGGTCCAAAAGCGTTCCGTGTCCAAGAGCTTGCTTGGTCCAGGAGCGTGCCTGGTCCATGAGCTTGCGTGGTCCAGGAGCTTGCGTTGTACAGGAGCTTGCCTGGTCCAGGAGCGTGCCTGGTCCATGAGCCTGCCTGGTCCAAGAGCTTGCCTTGTGCAGGAATGTGCCTGGTCCACGAGCATGCCTGGTCCAGGAGCTTGCCTGGTCTAGGAGCTTGCCTGGTCCAGGAGCTTGCCTTGTCAAGGAGCTTGCCTAGTCCAGGAGATTGCTTGGTCCAAAAGCCTTCCTGGTCCAAGAGCTTGTCTGGTCCAAGAGCTTGCGTGGTCCAGGAGCTTGCCTGGTCCTGGAACTTGCCTGGTCAAGGAGCTTGCCTAGTCCTGGAGCTTGCCTAGACCAGGAGCTTGCTTGCTCCAGGAGCTTGCCTGGTCCAGGGGCTTGCGTGGTCCAGAAGCTCGCTGGTCCAAGAGCTTGCCTGGTCCACGAGCGTGCCTGGTCCACGAGCGTGCCTGGTCCAGGAGCTTGCCTGGTCCAGGAGCTTGCCTGGTCCAGGAGCTTGCCTGGTCCAGGAGCGTTCCTGGTCCACGAGCCTGCCTGGTCCAAGAGCTTGCCTAGTCCAGGAGCATGCCTGGTCCACGAGCGTGCCTGGTCCAGGAGCTTGCTTGGTCCAGGAGCTTGGCCGGTCAAGGTTTGTGCCTAGTCCAGGAGCTTGCTTGGTCCAGAAGCTTGCCTGGTCCAAGAGCTTACCTAGTTCAGGAGCGTGCCTAGTCCAAGAGCTTGTCTGGTCTAGGAGCTTGCCTGGTCCAGGAGCGTGCCTCGTCTTGGAGCTTGCCTGGTCCAGTAGCTAGCCTGGTCCAGGAGCTTGCTTGCTCCAAGAGCTTGCTTGGTCCAAGAGCTTGCCTGGTCTAGGAGCTTGCTGGGTCCTGGAGCGTGTCTGGTCCATGAGCTTGCCTGGTCCAAGAGCTTGCCTGGTCTAGGAGCGTGCCTGGTCTACGAGTTTGCCTGGTCCAGGAGCTTGCCTGGTCCAGGAGCTTGCCTTGTCTAGGAGCTTGCGTGGTCTAGGAGCGTGCCTGGTTCAGGAGCTTGCGTGGTCCAGGATCTTGCCTGGTCAAGGAGCTTGCCTGGTCCAGGAGCTTACCTGGTCCACGAGCCTGCCTGGTCCAAGAGCTTGCCTGGTCCAGGAGTGTGCTTGGTCCACGAGCGTCCCTGGTCCAGGAGCTTGCTTGGTCCAGGAGCTTGCCCGGTCCATGAGCTTGCCTTGTCGAGGAGC